TTATCATCGTATGCGCAAAGAAACCTTGAAAAATCTCGGAATTTAATCCTTATGGCCACATAAATTTTTATTCAATTTTTTCGAAAGATTTGAAGATTTCGAGAATCTTGAATAAAATTCGTAAACCAAGCTGAAAAAAGTTGACCTTAATAACTGATATTTTGTATCATTCACTACAAACTGCAACCAGTTTTCTTATGAAAAATGACTGATTTCGTAAAATCATTTGAACTAATCATTTGCTTATAGCTATTTACTTTATTCCAACAAGAAATTGTGTACACGGAACAATTGCATTTAGCAATAATATTTATAAATATTTTAAGCATTGATGAGCGCATAAGTTTTTAAAAATCCGAGCACTTCATTGGTAAGAATGAAATTTGATAAAATCGTTTATTTTGTAAATAAAATTTATTAAAATTTATTAATTTCGATGAATGGAAAATAAGTCGAATTGAAAATAGCATTTTTTTAGAGATTTGGCAAACTGCAAATTGAACCAACAAATAAAAGTGTATATTTCCACAAACTTCATGTCGCTTCATGTCGAAGTTTTCATTCTCTTTCATTCGACTTAATGAAAATAATCTTCGATGCAATTTTTTCGAAAAGTTTATTTTTATTTGGCTTTATAGAGTTATTTACAAAATGATATCTAAATTATTGGAAGTCATTGCAGTTTAAAATCCAACTTAAAGATGGAATACGTCGAATTTTTCACGCATGTAAAGTTCCCTTGAGTAGGATAGAGATCAGTAGAAGGTTCAGAATCTGTATGCATGATATGAGGCATTCTTCATGCTTTGAATACACAAATGTGAATTCGAATCGTTTATGCATATCTATATCATTTTGATTTATAGATTGATAAATATAGTATCAGATCGAGGAAACGTCTTATTCATGCAATCAGTGGAGCTAATCTCACTAACAATGGTACGAGAATAGCAAAGAAGATATTGCAAGAAAGCCTTTTTTCTAGTTATGTACCATAGTAAGTACCAAAATAAGTGCCAGAGAATTTTAATAAAATATAGAAATCAAAACTATATAAATGAGAAAAAAATTTCATGTTTAATGACGAATAATTGGAGTTCTCGCATAACGAATGTTTCCCACCAATCGATTACTGTACGCTGAAAAATTAATTTAAATACATATAGAGTGGATACGGTAGATGGCGTAAATCTTCTTAGGTCATATATGAAATTTTTTTTTCGCTTTGCTCTACGAAAATAAAAGGGAAATCAATGAAATTTATTGGAAAATGACAGATGTTCGTCACTCTTTTGACGAACTCAAGAAGGTCCTCTTATTATGTGCTTCAGTCTACTTGACATAGAATTCAATCATGTGCCATCGTCAAGATATTTTCGTAAGAAAATTCAAAAATCGTTATTTATTAATAAAAATTCATCTAATAATAAAAATTGTAATGAATCCATTACAATCCTATTATAGCGTTGATTAATGTTCATCTGCATAATCGAATAAAATCTACGAAATAAGATTTGAAAAAAAATTCGCATTTTTAGTTTTATTGATTCGAACTGAATTTTGGCATTTTTTTCTATCAATTTTTTAATTAAAAACTAAAATAAGTTAGATTATAAAAAAAAAGATTTTAATTCGACAATAATTTCGAATATAAGGGCAAATTTTCGAACTTCAACTACAAACTTAAAATCGTAATTCGAATATTAAAAACCAGAAATATACCACTAATGAAAAGCCACTACCACTAATAAAGATTTTTCATCTCATATCTCCTAAACCTTAATAAAAGCATTATTCTCAAAGTATTCCATAAGCCAGATTGCCGAAGGAATTATTGGTTAAAAAAAAAGAACTTGAAATTATCACTATCTGAGGACAAACCGTTTTCTTATAAAAAATTTGTCTCATACAGTAAATAATCACAGCAAATAAATTGTTAAATTACAATGAATTAAAACCAAAAGAATTAGCACAAACTGGAAATAAATGGCATTCATTTTTGGGTTTATTCATTTATACATCAAACATTACAATGTGGTAATAAGTGTAAAAGTTTCTACCCGTTTCCTATTGAATAGAACAGAGAAATAAACTCGCTACTCTATTTCCTGATTTTTATTGCTTGATATCCGTCAGGTTTGTCCAGCACTGCAACATCAAAGAGATCTCTAAGACTTTCGAATTTGTGCAACACTCATTTATTTTATATTTTTACTGCAATCATCTTTTCATAAGGGATCATCAAAAAACTATCAATTTTTTAATTAAAAACTAAAAAAAGTTAGGTTGCAAAAGATTCTAATTCGACAGCAATGAAAATTTAAAACTTTAGGGCAAATTTCCGAATTTCAGTTACAAATCGTGAATCCTAAATCTTAAAATCGTAAAAGATAATCTTAACAGATTCATCTATTATATGAGAATATCTCTATTCACAGCTTTTTTGCAGTTAATCTGGATAAAATGTTCTTAAAACCAGCTTCGAGCAACTTTCTTCAACCGAATCCTTAAATTTGCGATTTGAATTGACAATCGAATTGGATTAAATTGTTTCAATTTTCAGTTAAAAAGAATTTGAAAATAATGGCAGAAAAATTAATAGGAGGCACCAAAACCCTTATACATTATGTAATATTTCCTTTTTATCTATGCTCATTTCTATGCTTTTTTGTTTCTCCTAGATCATATTCGAATTTTTTTAAGAGTCCTCACTCTTACTGGTTAAACTCGCTTCACTGGTTTGTCACATTGGGCAATATATCAAGGAGTCCCTTGGCGATAGAAATACAGGTGAGTCGGCAGCATCACCAGGATTTTTGTACAGATTTACTTCTGCGTAGATGATATTCGAACATCCTGGGAAAACGAAGCTAATGATGATTTCATCGCTCAAGGCAAAAGAAATTACTAGATGAATGAAGCGACTTGAAGACACAGACACAGGTCAAACAAAATTTTTTTCAAGTCTTCTCCGCAGTTTTGATAAATTAAAAAGTTTCAGGAAAAAAACTGAAATATTCAACTCATTTGAGGCTTTCGTGTTAATTACAAATTAATCATAATTCTCGTTGTATAAAATCGTATTTCATTAAGCGAAACCACTGTTACCTACTAGAAATAAATTGTCGAAGACGGATTGGCCGAGATGAACTGTTTCGACAGTAAATTCAAGCATCATTGGTTTCAAAATTTCTCCGCGAAGTAATCTTCTTATTAAAAGTGGAATCCAATGTTATCCAATGTTAAATCATTAGAAGAAAAAAAGTAGGAAAACAGAAATTAAATGAAGTATGGATGCTACTGCCTGCCTATCTACTACGAATCACCATGGGAATGGTTGAAACTTTACTTATTAGCGGAATTAGTTAAACTAAGAATTATAAGCATTGTTAGAACTAAACTGCTGAAAATACAAACCTTCTCTTGACCTGAAGACAATCGACATTGTTTATAAAATAGTACTGGTCGATGGTAGCATTATCTCGCCTAGCTGACAACGATAATCCCCAGTGTAAACAGCGTGAACAATGAAAATACAAACAAGTTGAATTGCGCGAGCATGAAGTGCACTATATCATATTACCTCAATGCTTGGATTGAAGGCTTCAAGTACCACTTGAAACATCCAAACACTACCCAAAGTAAATTTCTTCCACAGCCAATAATGCAAACATATCCAATTTGCCAAAAAATCTGACCAGTGGTAAAAATGAATAATTAGTATTTGCAATATACGAATTTGTTTCCGAAGTGAATATTTGGTCAACTCGAAAGCACGATCTTCGTGCTCGATTTGTTTCAATTAAACCACGTCAAAAACAGAGCTCAAGTGATATTTGCAACCCAAATATTTGCGCGAACTCGGGTGAGAAAGTTATCGCCATTTTTCAAAAATTAAACAAATAGAATAAACATTTCTTTCGACGCTTAAAATCCAGCTGCCCGTTATAAAGATTATTTAGATTTATTAGGAATTAAAATTATGGAAAATTTGAAAATTTTTATCCATTCGAAATTTTTTATATTTCGTTTTATCAATATAATTTGATTGTAATTTGGCAATTAGCTAAAAAAATCTTTGCACCATTAGAGATAATGGATAATGGACTGCGCAAGAACATCTGCAATATGATAAATTTACCATTTGCAACAACTTTCGCCTTTACAACAACTAAATTTAGAAATAAACTAAATGAAATGATAACTTGTAATTCAGTGTCACTACACTTGACGTTACTTTTTATCGCTTATAATTATTTCCTACACTAAAATTTCAATGTTGTTGCTTCCTACAGGACCATATTGCTTTGTTTTTCATTTTTCATTCTTCTCCCTTTCAATTAAATTCGCAGTAAATAACTCGAATTTATAGTGTAACATACTACATTCTTCTTATACAAAATATTATTACTGTAGAAAGCAACCAGCGTAGGATTAAATGTTTAGAAAACTATTTCTTTTGGTCGTCTAACAAACCTAAAGGAAACACAAAAGCCAAACAAAAAAATTAGATGCGATATGCAGAAAGCAAAAAAAAATTTACAGAAAATGTTAGAAAAAACCGGAGATTCAAAATTCACAAGAAATTCATCAAAAATCCTGCCAGGACTAATTTTCAAATATTTTTAAGCGCAATCTTATAAAATTGCAGATATTACAAGTGATTACAAGCTATTTTAGTAAGCATCAATAACTAAACGACATATTTTGGAAAAAATAACTATATAGCACATACATATCACATTTCTTTTAAATAATGCTAAGATTATGATTATGTATGATACAAATAAAATTTGGTATAATTTAAAAGAATATCAAAAAAATACGAGAAAATTTTTTCAAGTTAAAGCACACAATAAAAATATATGTAGAGAAAAGAAAAGGATCATGGAAAAAGAAGTTGGTGAGTCTAATAATGCTAGCATCATGTTAAATTATTAAATTATTTGTAGTTGAGAAAATTAGGGGATGAATTTGATTTTCAGTGAAAATCTTCGATCCTACATCGAATTTATCTTCTGTTGACAAAATGATCTGTTAATAGCAAACAATTCATCTCTTGAATAAACTTTTCGTTTTCCTTGAGGCTCATAATCGCAAACTCCTTTTGATGATAACTCAGTGCCTACGTCCAAATTTGTTTCGTGATCTGAAAAATATCTTTTTTTTTATCAAATTGATAAAATATTCAAAACGTTCTACATATTGAATGATAATTTACCATTATTAATGAACAGTTGAACAAAGTTTATGCGACCATTGTAACAAACTGGTTTGAGGCTGAATGTTGCGGGTTTTAAGAATTCCAGAAGTACTTCCGTAAAATTCGATCTTGGATTCGTAATGCCATAGATAGAGCAAGGAATTATCTAAAAATCATCTAAAATATTTGCATTAAATACGTCAAATCAAAAAATTTAACGAAAACCTCCTAAGGCTTAAACAGATTTACAAAATTTTCTCATAAATTTTACAAACATATCTAATTAAATTCAAGTCTTATTTGAAACATTTTTGCCCGATTCAGTTAAGAATGTTACAGCAATTTTTTAAAGACTGGTTAGTGTTGTGTAAAAAAATTATTATATTACACATGTCATACTTTTACGAGCCAAAAATATTTCTATCACTGGAAAAGAAACAAACCTTGAAGCGAGTGAACCCGAATTTAAGGTCGAAGGAGAATATATAAGAAAATTGAACAGAGACTATTATGGCTTTATCAAGAGCTAAGACATCTGCAGTTTTATCGTTTACTTCCAACACTCGTCCTCGCCAGTAGTCATGAAGATTATCGATAGTTGCTTCGAATATAACCAAATCGTCAACCTTAAAAATCGAAGTATAATATCAAATTTTGCAGCTTATAACCACACTCTGACCAGTCTAAATAATATTGAAAGATTGAAGTCGGTCCAAAATAAAGCTGTTTTTATAGATCATTATATACTGGCAAGATACTCCTTTATATATAAAATCCAATAAAAATTCAAAATTTACCAAAAATATTTAATGGAAAAGGCAAAATTGCGAAAAATGAAAGAACATTCCTCAAATCAAATGTCCAAAAATCTCACATTCCCAGAAAAAAGATCTATAAAACAAAATGCTTCGTTATTGTGTGTTCGCGTACATGACACTGTGGCGAAAGAGTCAACTAAATGAACAAAGCTTATCCCACTGCAACAAACTGGTTTGAGGTTGAATGTGGCGGATTTAAGATTTCCAGAACTACTTCCGTAAAATTCGATCAAGCTCATAGAACTGCTTCTTTGATCCAGTTAAAGAATTCGAGCAGATATCAACCTGCTGTGTGCATGTGGCGAAATCCAAAGTTGAATGGAATGTTAGAACGCCAACAGATGTGAAGAGCCCACATTTTAAAGAAAGACCGTGTGAATATTGCTTGTTTACCTTTAACAATTTAATTTCTACCTTCCTAATACTGGATCCAGAGCAGTAATTATATTTGATTCAGATAAAAATTATTAACTGTATTATAATGGTGTTGCCAATAACTTAGGAAAAAATGGAGTAGCTACTGTCCAAAATAGTAGGGTCGTTTCTCACCTATCTTAAAGGCAAGTTTTGCAATTCCTCAGTCATCAGTGTTAAAGCTCCTACGTTATGAACAGAAGATTTGGATAAAGACAGATCCTATACCCAGCTTGCCAATAGCACCTTTCCAAAAAAGCGACTTAACTGCGAAAGATTGGAATTCGCATAAGTCGTGAGGGACATCCTCTTTGGCTCACGTTAGAAACAGATATACCAATAGACAGTTTTGATGAGAATCATGGAAGTTTTTGCCATCAATATTTTTATAGAGCTCACCAGGCAATCCAATCAGATTGACTATATCTTGGTCAATCATCAATGCTGGAATTTTGTAGATAGCAGCACATAATGCGGGGCAGAAATTGGCAACCTCCAACACTTATATATGAAGGCAAGCTGATCTCGAATGATATGGTCCAAATATCCGTCTGGGCTGCCATAGCGCGTATATCAGGAGATGTTAATTATCGACAGCTTGAAAGAATCACAAAGATCGCAGCAAAGCGGGACAAAAACCGATTTTGAAAGAAAAATAGAGTAGTTCGAAGGCGATAGTCGAAAATTATTTCGTCAACTTCGCAAAACAGTCGGAATCCGAGAAATGGTCTGAGATAAAGAGAGTTTTTTGAATCTAAAGTTAATTAAGATGAGCCATCCGGCTTCCTGAACTGGACCGCATTTACAGCCGGACGATTGCGTAAAGCCATGAACCTAACACCAAATAATTGTAATTCACAAGCTTTTTGACGAAATTTTTTCTTCTTTTCTAGGTATAAAGAAAAATGAGAAATATGCGCCCCTAATCAAGCTCGATTTAGACCAGGATGTGGTTATGCTGACCAAATTACACTGAGAACGGCATTGGAGCATCGCTTGAGTGTCTACAACCTACCGCAATGCATCAACGACTTTGCCACAGCTTTTGATACAATTGATAGAGCGGTGCTCTGGGGAATCATGCAACACAATAGTGTTTCAGAGAAGATAATCAAATTTGTTAAAGCATTTTACGGGTCAGCGTATGCTTATATGTGTAACAAAACTGATACAACTTTCTGAAATACACATTCAGCGTGCGCCAAAATTGCATTTTCTCTCCTACAGTTTCCAACTTTAGCGATAAACTGGATAATGGATAACGCTTGTCGGCATTCAAGAGGTGTATAAATCAATCCAAAGTGCGGTATCATGGAACTTGAATACACTGACCATGTTTCCCTTTTCGTTGACTGTTACAAGAAGATGGAACGTTGGACTAGTTGTCGACAGCGAAAAATGGCCCTCAAATCAAACTGGGTTTTTCTTCTTATATACCAGACGTTGATAAAATCAAAATTCAAACAAATTCATCAAAGGTCGAAGAATCGAAAAATTAAATATGGGAATCGTCATACCTAATGGCCAGGCAAAAGAAATACCACCTCAGATGGCTGTAGCCAGACGTGCCTTTTTTCATCTATCAAAACTTCTCCGCCGCGAAATCAGCCTCAAAATAGAAGTTCGCATCGATCTGTTTGACAATGCTGCTTTAAGACTACGAAACGTGACCAATGAGAGTAGATGATGTCTTTGACCACTTCTGACTAAGGGTATACATTCTTCATATTCGCCAAATGGATAGAATCTAACATGATTGATTTCCCCATCGCTCGAATACCATCTGCATTAAGAATATCATCATTAAGCATCATCTGCGCTGGTTCAGTCATGCTTCGTCGTCCACAAGAATTAAGGCACAATTCGCTACTTGCCAAGCCCTGTGGCGGATGGCAGAGGATCAATCAAAACCTGGAACGATACAATCAAGGAAATTTTATGCACAGATGACTCAGCGATATACGCACTTAAACGATGAAAAAAGGTGATTTATGATGACTTTTTTTATTTTCAGAAATGAACTAGGAAATATTCTTACCTAAGTTACCAGTGAAGTGAACCAAATAGCAATGGCTCTAGCCATTAGAAAAAGAAGAAGAACCTAACATGCTACGGTGCCAAAACGCCATTGCATCCTTTTGTTCTAATTCAGTGATGCTCCTTAAAAACCCATCACTACCTTCGAAATCACGATCCATCATTTTGAAACTCTTTTATATCTCCTAAGAGATCTGTATGCTTTCCAAATTCTTTAAATTACCATCTTGACACTATGAAGCCCACCACATCCTTCTGGCTTAATTTATTAGTGATATCACCTCTTTCTGTTCCTTTAATAAATCCAGTCGTAGCTTCTTTCCCACGCATTTAATGTCTTGTCAAAACAAGTCACTTTTGCTATATTCTCAATTATGAATTGCAAAATTACAAAAGATAGCGTTATTGTGAATGAAGTAAGGGAGAAATATAATGAAACTCGGTTGGGAAGAGAGGAGATTATAGTGATTCGATGAAAATGTACCAGGGTTTGAAGAACTGTAAACTGAACATAATGGGCTTGAAGGAATAACACCAAATTTGCCAGAAAATTTCCTGTTCGTCCTAGGAAAAGCCTTTTTACCAGATCTGTCACAATTCCTAAGCATTTTACATCATTTTAATCTATTCAGACGATTCAAGTAGCGCCGAATACCTATCTCCATTAACATTAACATTCACAGTGAATAATCTTCGCAGGTATCAGGTAAAATTATAGAACTGCAAAGAGTAAATATTAGACCGTAACAGAAATACTGAGGAATATAAAGGAAACTGTAGGTAGGAGACAGAAAGGGGAATTAATAAAAAAACAGTTAGGATTTCGATTTTGAAAATAATCTAGCAGGATTCGAAAGGGTATATAAGGGAATATAGGAAACTTTGGGAGGGTGACAAGTGGGTTTGAAAATAGCTTTTAGTTAGTTACTTTACTGGTTATTAAAATTGTGCTTACTTTTATCTCCTTTAATTGCCTGGATAACAATGCATGTTCTTTCATTTGCCGATTTAGTTCTCCTTGTTCTTGTAACATTGTCTTTGTTTGAATAATTTCTTCACTTAAAGGCAATGCATAGAACACGAAAGGCCAGTGATATCGAGGCACCGCTATTTTCACCTGAAATGATTTTAAATTTTTTGGAGAAAAAATATTAACAACAATGAAAAAGTAAAAAATATAAAAATCTTTCTTTAATAGTAAAAAACTGCGCTGCTCTCTAAATAATAAAATAAACAATTGACTGGCGCCAAGAAATTTAAGAAAAAAGCATGTATTATTCACCTGATGAACCTTTCCGATGCCAAGGTCATTGTGCTTAAAGAATAAATTAGAATAAACGAGTGGTATTTGCTTGCGGTGCAACAATGTGTCGCTAAAAATATTGGGCTAATTATATCAAATCTCAAAAATGATATGCTTCGATGAGAATATTTCAAAAATGATTCCAAAACTTTATTAAAGATAATCAGCGCCAGTTCATGGATGAAATAATCGAAGACTAAAGACTTAACGAAATATAACAAACTTCGCAAAATTATTAAGACGAGAGTGACCGGATGAATCTTCTTTTCCGTCTTTGTCTTTACCAACTAACTTATTCGCATCGTCCTTGCGAGCTCTGTTATTTGTGATTGGACGATCTTTTTTTTTATAATCAGAAAACTAAAAAATGAAAATTTAGGAACTATAAAAATATCCATTTATATCCACTATTGTTTTACGTACACTAGTTCCAAATTATCTTTGATATAAATTGCAACTCAGAAAAAAAGCAGGCAAACAAAAAGGCATATCATTGTAATCACTTTTTTTTAAGAGCCCTCATTATTACTGGTTAAACTCGCTCCACTGGCTTGTCGCATTAGGCTATATGCCAGGGATAAAAAAATAGTCCCTTGGCGATAAAAAAAACAGGTGAGTCGCCAGCATCACCCGGATTTTTGTACAATTTTACTCCTGCGGGGAAATCGAACCTCAGCATCTGCTCCAAACTGAGCAACAATCCACTGAGCAATTCTATCCCCATCATTGTAACCTATTCCAAAATTATCGAAAAAAACAATTAAATATGTAAACTGAAAATTATATGCAAATATTTTAATATAAACTTATAATACGGAGCACAAACTTCAATATTTAATATTTTTTATCAAAATAAAAATTTTTGAAGTAAATTAGACAATTTAGACCACTATTTCCATTTTCTTCAAATACATCGAATTTCCTACAAACACTAATCATAAAAAATAACCTTCATGATAACTTGAAATAATAAAAATATCAGAACTAAATTAAATAGTAATTAAATAATCTTCTTGCATATAGAAGCTAATAAGCCAAAAATGAAGGTAAAAAGTATATAAAAACACATAAAATATAAAAACACATGTTTTGTGAAATTGATCATTTTATTTTACTTTGGCGCAAATTAATGCTGAGATGAAAGAAATATACCCGAATGGCTATTAATCAATTTACAATTTGAAAAACAGTGGTTTAGACCCTGCTTTGACAGAAATAAACTTGGCATGAAGAAACCTGAATGGTGTCATTAAGTACCTCTACCGCCCAGTGATCTCCTTGAGAAAAATTTCTTATCATACTATCTATCAACAATAAAGCGATCTAACCAGAAATGGGGAATGTTATCCTTTCTTTACTTCAGTAAGTATAGCTAAGAGCTCAAAAAATGAAAGAGAGAAGAAGAGAAGAGAGAGAATGAGAGAGAAAAAGTGCAGCGTTACCTGAAGACCATTTGAACCGTCTTCCTTAAAACAGCCCTTGTTAAACGCCTGAAGAATCGAATTAGCTGCGTCGGTTGAAACGCATTTTAGAAATCTAATAATTCTTCGAAATAGAAAAGCAAACAATACAAAGGTAAATGAATATGAAAAATTAAATAAAGATAAAATATAAGAAACTAATATTTTAAATGGAATAATTCATAAATTCTAACCCAAAACGTGAAGATCCCTTTTGTTCTGGAGGAATTGAGATGTTATCGACAATTGCACATCTCGCAACTTTTCGAAAAAGATCCCACTAAAAGTGGAAATGAATAGAGTAAAAGATAAAATAAAACGAAAGTTTGAATATTCATCTATTAAGAAAAGGACAGATAAAATCAAAATAAATTACATTCCGCAATATTCTTTCAAACTCTGATGCACTGTTTTAATGCCCGAAAAATCCTTGCAGTTATCCTTAAAAACTTAAAATGCCCATCAAGCTCTTTCGATGCACTTCTCCCATTACCACCTCGATTCTATTTTTTGCAAATTCAGAATAAGCAATCGCCTGTGGCAAAAATGCATTGCGAAATCAACAGTGGACTTAGAGGGAGTAACTTGCTGGCAACAGGGCGTTGAAGAAAAAATGAGATTAAAAGTATGAAAAGATTAGAAATGTGGCTGAAAATGTTCAAACAGTAGAAAATAGAAATAGTTAAAAGGGACTTAAAATAACGTCATTAATAAATTATGGTGAAAGTAGTAAAATAGGCTTTTAAGGATGTTAAAGGAGTAATTGGCTGGCCTAGTTATTCACAAAACATGGTTTTTGATAGTATCAAAGCTATCTCTCGAAAGATCAAGATATCGAAGATATTATGGGTCTCTTCTTCATCTTCTTCTAACAGTTCTCAACATTATTGGTTAGGCTGCCTCCACTGGCTACAAGGATAAAACGTCTTCAAGCTGACGCTATAGCTAATAGTAATATAAGCCATTTCCTTTTCCATCGTCTAAATCCATACATCGCTGGTTCTCTTATACGTTCAAAATCTTTCCTGACTGTATCAGTCTTGACTAGCCCCCACGATGGGTTTTTTAAAGAATTTTAATGGATTTTAAAGATCTAACGAGTTTTTGAAAAACAGTGTATTATGTCAGAGATTAATATAACGGCATTACGGAAAATATAATAGCATAAGAGAGTTTAAGGAAATTTAACTATTTAGTTTCAAAGAAAGAACGGAGCGGTTTAATGGAGTGTCAAAAGTATTAAAGGTGATTTCGGAAGAGCTAGTACCATCCTAGTGGAACTACCAAAGACATGTAATGATCTCTGAAGGATTAATATAGAATAAGGAGATTTAAGTTCAATCATATTGATGAAATATACTGATAAAATAAATGAACTTAGAAGGGCTTTAAGAAATGTTAACAAGTACAGTAATATTGCAAATCATTTGGATAAATAGATTTTTCAACAAAAAAACTTCTTAACTTCTATAATACTTCAGTAATACTTCAATAATAATACTTAATCTATTGTAAAAAAATAAGTAAAAATAACTTTAACAGTTAGCGTATATTTCAATGTTTGTGGTTTTTAATGGAGAGAAACATACAAACACACACACTCACACTAAGTAAATTACTAAATAGACTTACTTGCAGCAAAAAAAAGTATGAAATAATAAAAAAGTAAATGCATAGACGAACAAATAAGAATAAGAAAAAATTTATAACGAAAGAAAGAAATATTGGTACATTAGTGTATATAAAACTTGCGCTGAGACGTACACACAAGGAGACGAACAGTGATGCCGGTAAGATTTGATTCTAGGAGCTATAAAATTTTGCAAGCGATTACAAAAAAACAGCTTTCATCGTTCTAAATGGGACATAATTGAGACTTAAGGACAATAGAGAGGGAAAACTGACAGACATTTTTTCACATACCATACGCACTACTTACTTGTAAAGAATTTATGAGAAGTGAACATCTTTAATACAATACAATACAATGTATAATATTTATATCTTTAATATGCTTTATGAATTTTGAAAATTATTGATAAAATTGATAAATATTTCAGCTGATAAAGAGTTTTTTTAAAATAATTTCTTCGATAACTAAATTCAATTTAAAAACAATAATTTAAATAAAATATAAAAATAATTTAATAAATAATTTTTTCATAAAAAATTTAATAAATTATTTTTAATATTATTTAATATTTAAAATTACTATTTAAAATAATAATAGAAAAAAATAAAAGCAAAAAATAGAAATAATAAAAAAAAATTACTATTTGAAATAAAATAATAAAAATTTAGAAAAAAAAACTTTTACTTCAGTCCAATTTGATGGAATATTTGAGACGAAAAGAGTTCGATTTTCTCGATTGCAATTCGAATTCGAAGCGAACATTTTTTTTTTTCATAAATTATTTTTTTATTAAAAATATTTAAAATTAATATTTTTAATAGACAAAATTATGAGTAATTTTCGTATAATAAAAAATATAAACGTTTTTAAAATGCAAAAAAAACGAAAACAAAATAGAAGCAAAACCATTAACCGAAAACTTACCAAAATAACTTCGGATTTTTCTGAATATTTTCGCGCCAAATTAGCATTTTTAAAATTTTAAAGTGAAAATCATGGACGCGGTCGGTCTAAAGCAAAATAGTGGTCTTTAGTTTGTAGTAAATTACGACTATGCAGAAAATTTTACGTACTAAAAGTATGACCAAAAGCCAGCCAAAAATTAGCTGGGAAACGAGTAGAATTGCCTAAAGTCGTCTTCGTACGTGTATTTGGCTCCTTAGCTTCTTCAAATCGTGACATACTGCTTTAACATCGCCAAATCCCTAAGTCTCCTCTAACGTCTTCGAAGTTCCACTATACTGATTCTGTATCCTCAGACACTTCCATTCTTCCATTTACCACTTATGACTGTGGCGTGTAGCTTCGGTGAACTGTGACAGAATGTCTGAAGCCAGCAAGATGGGGGAAGTGATATTAAGCCGGTTTACGAGGCTTAAAAACAATGGAAAGAGATTTAAAGTGTTGTCACTAAAAGGATTGTTGTAGTATCCGAGGTTAAGTGTATTAAGAGAGAACTTTTGTCAGGTCTGAGAAGATTCTACAGAATATGGTTGATATTTCGAGGTATTAAGGGATATTACGGGACTTTAGAGAATTTAGCTGGCTTCAACGAAAGACCACAGCAGAGCTGGCATCGCGTAAACCAAAAGAATACAACAAGTTATTAAAGAGGACCGTGGAAATTCGCATATAAGAAAATTAAAACGAGAATTAAAGCTACCAGTATAAACATTATTTTACGAATGGTGAAAATCAAAAAGAATCAATTTTGTTAAATTATGTCAGATAATCGGTAAAAATGGAGTTGATGGTGGTGGTGTATCAGTGAAAGACGCTAGCCATCCTCTTGATCCTCTTCTTACATATCGTTCTAGGCCTCCCTTCTTCACCGTCTTTTGGTTCTTTTATAGCGACAGCGATCATTAAAAAATTTTTAAATTAATGAGGTACGACGATCTCGGTTTAACTCTAATACAACCTTGTTTAAGAACATATTACACTAAATAATTTATAAAAAAATTCTAATAGTCTTTTTTTTCTTAAATTTTATTGCTAGTTGCTCAGGTATAATGATAGATTTGCTGCTGGATTAAAAGATTTATTGATCGGACCTTGTTTCTTTAATTTCGTAGAGGGGGGAGAGGGGTGAGAAAGGGGATTAATATGACAGATGTTGACTGATAAAATAGTGTCATAAATAAATATAAATTTTCTGAAAAATTTTTAAACTTCTGATGTTATATCAGTTTCGAATATATCAGTGTGTATACAATGTTCATTAATATATTACTTTCTTTCCACGTTTTAGCTCAGTTTTAGCACCCTTTTATGAAAGCTGAGCCGTCACAGAGCAATTTGCGTTGGTTTTAATTAAAGCTCTGCCTGCGGCAGTCAGTTGAATCCGCCTTAGGTTACACGACTCGGGAGAAGAAAAGCTAAGTCTCAGACCAAACAGTCCAACTACAGTTATGCTGACAGATCTCGGGTCAGAAGATTCTGACTATTGACGGCTCCATAGACTCGCAAGTTTTACGGTGGAACAGGGAAAAAATTAATAAAGCTTTATAGGTACATCAACTCGAGTAGGCGATAGCTATTCAGCTTAAAAAGCCACTGAGGCTCGAGAAATGGCTAGTGAAATGATCCGAGACAACTACAATGGAAATCTCGTTAAGATCGTTTCATTAGATGAAGAGAGTCCTTTGAATATGAAGCATCCTGGAGCTGACTAGAACGCATTTAGAGCTGTACATTTGCATTTGCGAATCACCGATCGAGCACGAGATAATCTCTGCGATTCATAAGCTTAATCCAATTAAGTCCAATAAAGCCTTCAGAGAAAGTGGAAAAAGGAATAACTTACCCTCTTGGTACGACGGGCTACGAGAAGAAGCAGATTCTTTTAAAGTATGAATTATCATTGAGTATTAAAATAAATAAATTGGTTGCAAATTTTGACAATTTTAGTTATCAAAATTATCAGATTATTAATTTCTACATTGCAAAAATAAAATGGGATTTTATCATTTTCAAATTCGATCATTTAAAAAAATTATCATTCTTAATGAGATTCTCATTCTAATTCTAATTCTAATTGAATAATCTACATTTTAAATAAAGAAAAACAATATGCGAATAAGAAACAATATGCCTTTGAAAAAAATTTAAAAATTATAGTTTTAAAAATTCATAAAAATTCACAAAACAAATTCAAATCGATTGCCATTCGTTATTTCCTCGCATGTGACTCTTATAAATTTTCGTATAAATTTTTGTAAATTTTTCAAATAATAGAATTTGAAATTTTCTACTAAGAACACTTTACTTTGGTACTATATTTGGTACCACTATAGAAATAAATTCGGAAAGCCAATAAAATCAACCTAATTTGAAATGAAATTATATTTTGATCACTTGTATTTTAGTCTTTTTAATAATTATTTTCTCGGTAAATGTTGGTTCTCATTTTTAAAATGATGTCGATGCTTGTTTTATTGATTTTTACCAAACCTTTTTTTTTATCACAGCTAAGGTCCATATGACCAGGTGATATGTTTATTAAAAAATATCTGTTATCATTGTGTCTAAAAGACATACTGGTCGAAATCCTATGATTTATTATTACCATAGTTTTTAAAGGGGACAAATGCAACATTTTTAATGATAGAACAATTAGGATAACTTATTTAAAAGGTAGAATATTTGAGAGACTCATTTGTGGTAGTGTTTCCAATTTTCAACATTGGCTCTATTGGCTCTATAGGAAAAGGGCTATTAGCAAATCTCTGTGATCGGTACAATTCTAATAGCCAAATAACTATTGTTATGCACCTTTGCCTCACTTCGATTACCTTATATACTTTACTTTATCTGAATGCCTTTGATGTTTTCTTATAATTAACTACTGGATTTGGTTAATAAAATGGGCATTATCGGAGGAAATAGCTATTATTTGTCTATTCGTTTAAAAACTGTCGAGCATTGCCTACGCCCTTCAGTTTGATGCTTGCAAATTAAAATAATACAAAAAAAAGGAAGATGAAAGGAAGTGATAAAAATTTAACATTGTTGAGCAGTAGAAACACTGTAGACAGTATTAACGCTGATTACTTTATACATTATTTATTTATTTTATTCTTTAAATTTACTTTTTGAATGGTTGAAGCAAAAATTATTTCAGTTCGTTATTTATTCAATAACTTAGACTACGAATAAAGGAGTTCTGCTGATTTTCTCATCCAAATTTTGATTTGCAAAAAGGTTAAACGTATTAATATTCATTAACATGGAAAACAATAAAGGAACAATCTGGAGGAACACCTAAAGAATAATCTAACACAATGTTATCGATATTATCAGTATGAAAGCGATGATTAAGATAATCAGAAATTCAGTTAAATACAATACCTATAATTCCTAACAGTTTATAGTATGATAAATTAAATTGTTATCAAATGGTTCACCTCAGGAATGGCTTCTATTACTATAGCGATGGCGTCGAACCGGGCAGCTTGGAGACGTCTTACCCTTGTAGCCAGCGTAGCCAGCCTAACGAGTAACGATAAGAGTTGTTAGAAGAAGAAGAAGAGTTATAATATGTCACCTCAGAGTTGATCATCAGAGTTTTTTTTTATTTTGCTATTATACCGAAATATTCCAAGTCTGATAAGAAGGTCCACAAAAACATTTCTTGTGTTGTTCAAGCCCTAATTCTGATATCAATTCTGAGAAACTAAAATTATATAATTCACATAAATTCATTGTAAATTAGAGGAATAAAGCGGGATCTAATGTTTACTTGTAAAATATTAATTAATAATACTAATTTCGATAGTAGCAAATATTATTAGATATTATTCTAACATAACTGGAAACAATAGGGTGAAATTAAAATATTTGTAAAAGTAAATTAATTTCTCATTATTTCTTTACTGGTGCAAGTAATTGTCGCATGGAGTGCATAACGCTGTGGTTCTTAACTCTATGACTATCTGAATTTCAGTACTACCAAATTTTTTATTTATAAATATTTTATCTGTGTTAATTTCTTTTTATATTATTATTTACAAATGAAATAAATAAAGATTTTATAAAATTTTTAAATAAAAATCAAATCTGTTCAGTCTGTTATTTATTTAATTGTTTGAATGCTTATATATATATACTTAGACATATTAAAATATTTAATTTATTTTTATCTATTTTCACAATTTGGGAAAATAAAAAATTTTAATCAATGATTGGGATTGGAAAAATAAATAAAGAAAAGCAAATATGTGATAGCAGTGGAATTAACGATGAATCGTACGCGTAATAATGACCGATCTCCAAGTTTTTTGCGTAATTTTTCAAATTTTTTATCAAAATTCCTATCTCTTCGTTATTCCACCGTATTACCCGTCCTTTCGATATCATTTTCGCGCATTTTAAGTTTCATTCAACTATTATAAATGTTAAATTAATAGGCATAATTTCATTTGTGAAGAAGAAATTTGGCTGAAATCATCCTCGACTAATCATTAACACTTTTGTTACTCGAACGATGAAGGTGATAATGATTATAAAATACATTCAACGAACTTATTTATCATCTTTATGCATAAGGGATTAGTAAATATTTGTTACTACAGTCTTCTAGTGCAAAGAGAAACAAAGTTTCCCGAATTTTCGCGATAGTTGAAGGGTTTCTTAAAATCTAGAATTTATTCTAAATTCTAGATTTCTAAATTTTAAATCAATTATTTAGGTGTGAAATTAATCTATCAATTTTATTTATCTATTGATAGAGTGATGCAATTTCCTACTCTTTTCCATTAATTTTATTCATGTTAACATTTATCTTTCACTAATAAAACGAATAACATTAATCGGATGAAGAAATTTGCAAAATAATGCTTAGTTCCATACACTTCTTCAACTCACTATTTCTAATTTGATTGGCAGCACTGGGGAGATACCAAGGATCTCTTCGCCAGAGATTACATTTTCCTAGGAAATACATGCGAGTCCTCAGAACCATCCGAATTAGATATGCTATGTATTTGGCCATATTTAATAATTTTTTATTTCCAATAAAGGCTCCCACTAATGCTGATTAGATTCGCTCCATTGGCTTATCGGAGTAGGCAAAATTTTGCCAAGGATATAGCTGAATCGCTAGTATCATCCAACGTTTGTTCACTATTAGCTCGTTTTAGAAAATGTAATTCCTATCACTTGATTAATAAATGTGCTTAGTGACGGTTCGACAGTTATAATTTATGTATTTATTCACAAATATTTATTATAGTTTATGTATTTATTCACAAATATTTATTATAGTTTATTATAAGAATCTTTATTTATCAATCTTATCAACTTGTAAAAGAGAACTTTACAGATATTCGAATTCGACTTTTGAGAAACAAACTATCAGACGATAAAAATCGGTTTAATCACAAGCAATAAAATTATTATCAACGATAGATAGTGATTGCAAAAATCAATTATAGCGCAATTGGCGTTAATATCAAATTTATCAAAATTTCCATTATCATCAAATAAATCTGAATTGTTAAAATTAAAAAAAAAGGATTCTCTTTTACAACGAAACGAAAATTCCTGAAATATTTGGAAAATTGTAATAGTTGAATTCACGATGAAAAAATTGTTGAAAACATTTCGTCCAATTTTATTTTATAAAATTTCATTTTAGAAATGAAATAATAATTAAAAAGCTTTTATAAACAAACAAAAGTTTCACGAAACATAAACTGGCCAATTATAATTACTAAGCTTTCAGATACGGCACCGGACGCTTGAAAACGCCTCATCCTCGTCAGCAGCAGCGGAACCAACCTGACCGGCAATGGTACACATTTTGAAGGATTTCTCGCTAATTTGGTTTTAGTTTAGGAATGGCACTTCATTGAGAGTGCCACCCAAAACGTGGTTCAATGTGCGAATCAATTCAGTTCAGCCGATGTCCGACGGGCGAAAACGTCGTTAAATAAACGCTCGATATTTGAGAAACTACTAAATTTTATGTAACCATTCATCGCCGTTTGATTTCATTTCACTGTTCCCTATCATATCATTTTAACTAGAATATACACTAAATACTTGTGTATTTTTATATCGCTCTTGAATAGTGCTGCACAATTTAATATTAATAATTTTATTGCAAAGATTCTTAATTTTTATTGTAAGAAGTGGAATAAATGAAATAAATATGTAGAAAGTGGTTGCTTGATGTAGTTTAAGAAGAAAAAAAAAATTTGAAAAAATTTGGCAACTTTGGATGAAATAGTTTTTTTTTCCGAATACACATTTACATAGTAACGCAGCAAAAAAATATAAATCATTAGATAGATGTTGCACTTTTTAAAAACAATGAATTCGGTGAAATAATTCTCACGATGACTTTACTTTAATTTTTACTATGGGGAACGTTTAAGCAGCTATGCTAGTGGATGTAAAAAAGTTACAGTGAAAAAGTATACGAGAATGATCGCAGGTTAAAGACAGTAATAACTATAAACAAGTGATAAGTTAAAATGGAGAACGATGGTGACATAAGGTTAACTAGCCCTGGCATACTGATAGGAGATGTTATTCTATAAATCTGAAACGAAAAAAAATTTTGGTAGATTCAGCCATTCATATGATACAAATAATACAATATTAGGCACCATAGTTGAAAAACCAAGCATTACATCAAACTATTCTGTTCCTAGAACATGCAAATATTCTCAGCAATGCAGCAGCAAAACAGAATTCTGTAATAATTCAAATAAAATTTTTGATCTGAAACAATGATTTTTCCGTTGAAAGATTGGAAGAGAATTACTGGTCTTACTTTCAAATCGCCTAGTGAATCATATGGTATCTGCCAACACTACCTAAATTAATATAACATTAATAAATATCACAACTTTCACTGCTGATAATTCCCAGCTCTTTGGCTAAAGCCTGGCTGAAACATTTCCGTGTCTGAAGACGAAAGAAACGTCAGCACATTTCTTATATTGAAAACGTGTGAACCCAGTTGGGATCGTGAAATTGTGTTTCACTTTAAGATGCCGAGTCAGACCGAAACCATTCGTATATTTTGCAAAGCATACATGGCAAAGATGTGTGTAAGGACTGTAATCCTGAAAAACTCAAAACAGTTTGATCGTTTTTTAATTTCTGCATGGCATTTATATTCTCACACTTCCTTACTTTTGCAAATCAAAAAAAAAACTATAATTTCTAGTAATTTAAAAGATTTTCTGTCACAGTTTCAGTTCTCTGATTGCCAAATGAAGTAATAACTCGAAGAGGATAATAAATTATATTAAAAATGGAATATTTTAAAAATGAAAGAGTGAGGATATTTAAGAAAGACTTTTCACTTTCACTTTTGAGAACAGATTAAAAAGACGAAGCATTTAAAAAGGACAATGTGATAGTCTATCAAAAATAATTATAATAAAAATAAAAAACAAAAAAATGCATCAATTAACTTGATGATTGTTTTTTTTAAGCCATTAAATTTGCATGAAAATTGAAATCCGCTTGGTAAAAAATAATACAAAAAATATAATCGCTGATTTACGTATCGAGCAAAATAATTTTGATATCTGAAGCTTACGAACGTGATTTGTCAATTTATGATTTGTTTCTGCCAACGAAATTTCATTCCGCACTGAATACACTCAAATTCCAAATTATTGCTATGTAAAGCGCCATGAGATCTGCTTTTTGAGCAAAGTTGAAAATTCTATATTCAACTCTGTGTCGTTAATTCACTTCAAATGCAAAACGAAAGGAAAATTATAAATTGAACTGAGAACTTATTTAAAAATTAAATTAAGAAAAAATTGCACCTTCCTTTGCACTAACAACAACGATAAAGTTTTTGTTTCAGTGTAAGTTTTTGTTTATGTACAGTAAGTATATGACGATGAAGCGCCGATGGGCTTCCTACCATTATAGCACAACGTTCGCACTTGAGATTCACTACATGCCGGCTACAGTGCTCCCGAAGAAGCCGAGCTGAATCGATACTTTGTGATACAAAATGCAACTTTTCTCCATCGTTGAGCCCCCTTTTAAAATGAATGCATTTTACAATCATTATTTTTAAAACATAAAGGCAGATTTCAAGCCTTTAAAATCACATAACAACATTTGTCGGTTGTAATTATATAATTTATTCTTGGATTGTTGGGAATGGATTGAAAAAAATTCAGAAAAACTACCATAAATGCAATTGTTAATCTATTCAGAAGCTTTAACTTGAGCCAATCGACAATCACATAATATTGATAATCGTATGATATCGGCTATCGCACCGTCCAAGTAAAACACTTTATTCCTATAAAATCATTATAACATACTAAGTTGCTACGCAAAGACCTAATTAATATGCACTAGATGTGATGTTTCTAAAAATTTTTTCATTTTACATTTTGTATTCAGCACAGTTTAGTGGAACATTGTAAAAGTTTTTGAATTGGAAATAAATTGTCGCAGACTGATGGGGACAGCGTTAATGTCATTTAACTCACCAAGGCATAACCAAAGGAAATGCGCTGATACAATCACATAGAATCAAACTGAACTAAAAAAAAACTGCGAAAAAATTACTGGAAGCATTCTTACGTGGCATGTGATCAAATAATTTTGAATTATTCACAAAAAAACGTCCACAAAAGCGACAAGCCGCAGCTTTATCATCCGAGTGCTATTGAACATGAATTTTCAAATTATTTTTATTATTGAACTTCATGACAAACTAGTCCTGCAAATTAGTCGATGCCAATGTACGGAGAACAAAAAACAAAGCGGAAATTAATTTTAAAGATAAAGAAAACATAAACCTTTCCAGCGACATTTGTAAGTTCGCTTGTTGTCCCGATCTGTTTCATCAAACAACCCTATATGCAAGTTCAAATGGCTAACATATTGCAATATTTCATACCGGAAATATACGTTTATCTGTTCAAAGAACAACCAGAAAAATATAATTTAACAGATAAACGGAATCGGAAGAATTTCATATTTCTTTCAGAAAATGAAATAAAAATTGAACAAAAAAATCTGCATAGATATATATATATTATATACAATAATGTCCCATGTTCCTTTTTGTCTGGAAATTACCTTATTATGTTACAATTCTTGCAATCCTTCAGGCACTATAGACAATATAATCCCTTGACAAGTTCTTCAAATCATACTGTTGATCCTCCATATCCTCTTAATCTTCCTTAATATTCTAAAAAAAATCACACTATATACATCTGCCAAAATCCGCCACTATGTTAATTTTGTGCGATACCTCTACAATATCTCATTGTGGTATTGAATCTCTACGCCATTTTGCCGCCTACTGATACTCTCTAAAAACAGATCAAATGCTTGCAAAATCTAGGAATTTAGCATTGGTACTTAATATCCCTCAAAATCTGCTATATTTTGCGAAAAATCTCTGCAAGCTCCATTGAATATCATCCTATCGAATTTTTTTGCCACGATCCATTACTTGCATTATTTGAATTTCTTGACCCACTCTGATCCAGTTGAAGCTTGTTGATACTGTTCATCTTATTTCTCATAACGTCAAACCTCTCACTTGTGCCACAGCAGAAGTTAAAAAATTTCAAAAAATAATATAACGCTGATTCGGTTTATTGAAACAGTGTAACGGTAGATGTTGGGAAGGAATTATTGGGACTAGGTAGATGTGAAACAGAAGAGTGCAGAGTTCAAAGAGGTGTCAAGTGAATAAGAGAGTTTTTAAGAGATATGGAAAGCTATTCTCCCCTCCGTTACACAATTATTTTTCACTAGTTTATATAACATACTATGCAACCTTCGCATTCGCATACCAGTACTGCACCTTCATACACCAATCGTGATTCATGAAAACCACATCTAAAATAAGACTTCGTAAAAAACTGTTGAAAAAGAAATATATTAAAGAAAGGCAAGCATATTCAAAAATTCATGAAGTGACACGGACGATCATTTTACCTAAATAATGGTGTGGTAATAAACATAAAAAAAGCTTACGTTGTGAGATGAGAAGTGTCAGATCGACGCATAATTGCAAATAATCCATCATACTGGCGAAACTAGCATGAAACTAATGCATGTATATAAGCCTTAACAATTCTTATTTCGTAGGACTTGTGAATAAGCAGTGCCCAACTGGACAGCAGTGCGGAAATCATCGCCAATACAGCTATAAGAAAAGATTACAAGTGGATTAAAGAGGTCTCGGAGAGATTAATCTCTGGTTAAGCTAGAACATTTGGCTGCTAGTGAGGTTAAAAATTTTTGCTAGGGAGTTACTTGGTGTCATTAGCATCATCTGGCAAAAATACACGAATAAAAGGGAGGCTTTACTTCGTTTTTTATTCGGTTTATTTCCAGTAAATAGGTTGAATTAGGCTTCTTTCTTTGAAAAGGATTAACCAATCGTGAAGAAAAATCGTACATAAATCACATTAGGTTAATTTTTAGCCGAATTAAAAGTTTTCGAGTCATTTGCGAAGAGGACAAATAACCATTTTCTTATAAACTTTATACAATTTATAACCAAAAAAAAACAAAAAATTAGCGCACATCATTTTGACATCGTACTACCCAACTATTCTGACTATGCACTTCAACTGCTTTTACCATTACGCGACATCAACCAGTCCCCGAAATCATATCTGAAATTTAACTAAATGAAAAAACCATGAGAAAACCAAGACAACCAAGATAACGATCACTGCAGCACTGCAGCTCGACCAAACCAATTAAATACTTCGATAGTTGTCGTTCATTCAAATTTTTTGAATTTCTCCAAAAATATGGATGACCGACAATATGATAAAAATGTGAAAGCACTAAATAAAGACAGCAATAACGCAAACAATACGGGGAATCACAAAGTCTTTGTTTTGAGTGCCAAATAATAATCGTTACGCACAAATGATTCTAAAAGAGTTCAGGCGCAAATGATTAAATCGAAAGCGAAAAATTTCTAAAAATATAGAAAAAAAATGAGATAAAAATTAATTTAAAAAATGATAAATAAAACTAATATGTTTGCGACATATTTGTAATAAGTTTTCTAAAAAATTTACGCAAAATTACTAAAATTACAATAAGGAAAATTCACTAAAAAATTTTAAAATTATCCCAAAAATTATTTGGAAACCAAATTTGCCAATGATTTCTTTCCGAACCAATACTCTTCCCCACAGTTTACTTCCTCCCCTTCCCCCTTCATATGACTCCCAGAAAGAGCAACGCTCAGAAAATAAGTTTCTTCCAGTAATCATAATCATAATTTTTAAGAGTCAAAAATTTATAAATTTACATAAATTTATTGCTATGTTTCATCCGATAATTTATAAATTTTACTAAACAAAAAGGGAATATTTTGTGCAATTTAATGCGAAAATTCGCCTCCCATAATGGGCCTTCGAACTTCCTGACGTTGCCTCCTGTAATGGATATCGAAATTCTTGCTTTTACCACGGCTAATTTTTATTTGGAGGTAAAAAACAAATTCAAAATAATAAATAATTGTGGTGAATTGTCGTCTTTTATTTGTAATAACTTCTTCTAACAGTTCTCACTGGTTAGGTTTGCTCCGCTGGCTACAGGGCAAAGACAAGCTGCTCGATCCGACACCATCGCTAGTAGTGATAGAAATCATTTCTTTTTCCATCGTCTAAGTCCAGATATTGCTGGTCCACCTATACGTTCCAAATCTTTTCTCACCGTATCAGTCCAGGTTTTAATTGGCCCACCTAGCTTTTGACGCCAACCATCACACGATATAGCAAATAACGAAATATGCGTCAACTCTTGTGGTGGACGAAGGAGAACGGCCTAACCAGCGAAGGAGATGCTCCGTGATAACATTATTAATGCAAGTGGCATTTGAACGAAAATGGATGCGATTATGTGATATCTTATCAGCTCGACGGAAAATATACCCTAGATAAGAGCGGTCAAAGGTAGATAGCTTCTTAATATCCTCCACTCTCATTGGCCATGTCTCACAACCATAATTGAAACGAAGGTGGCTGTTCACAGCGATATTTCAACACCCTTCATAACGTGAATATTTCGTCAGCATAACCACGCCCCGGTTTGAATCCAGCTTGATTAAGGCGCATCCTGCTGTTCCGTACTGCCATAAGTCTGTTGAGTAGCAGGGAAGCAAAAATTTTTGCTGAGACGTCTAGTAGGTTGATTCCTCGATAAATGTCGCAGTATGTCATATCATCACCTTTCTTGAGAATTGGGAGCAGAATTGCTTTGCTCCAATCATCTGGTAATATTTCTTTTTTCGTACTAAAGAGTACATTTGTTGAAGGTGCGTTATGAAGGACGATGGTCAGCATTTGAAAAGCTTAGCCCAAAGACCATCTTCTTCCGGAGCCTTATTGGCCTTAAGATTATTGATAACAGTTACTATTTCTTCTTCTGTCGAAGGCTCGCAGTTGCAAGCATGCATGCAAGCATATTGTTCAGCGAACTTATCAAGTTATATCAAGGGCAACAAATAGCGCTTCATGGTTAAGTTTGGCTTCAAAGAATTCTTTCCATCTTATGAGGCGATCCTTAATACTTTTGATCAGTACGCCATTGCTGTCTCTTACCATTTCACTGATCGTTCCCCGAGTCATAGTTGCTTTATGAAGAAGGCAGAATAGTTTCCTATTGTAATCTAGAGCAGCCGCTTCCATTCTTGAAGCCATACCACTCCAATAGTGATTTCCCACCTTGCTGCTTTAGTTGCAAATCCTCGAAGCACTCGGTAGTCAGGATCACCTGACATTCGTGCTTTGGCAGCTTTTTCAGACAATTGGACAGTTGCTTCCGATACCCAACTATCGCATTTCCTACTAGTATGCCCTAACATGGAAGTGGCTGATTTTCAGAGACATTCCTTTAGTTTGGACCAATATTCATTTGCCGTTAAAGAAAAATCATTGATATTTGTATCATTGAGATGCTTCAATAATTCGGTTTGAAATGCGCTCACTATCCCCTCTCCACTGGCTTATCGCACTGGACAAATATACCAGGGAGTCGCTTGACGATAGGAGTACAGGTGAGTCGCCAGCATCACCCGGATTTTTGTACAGGTTTACTCCTGCCGGTTTCTGCGAATTGTCAATTTTATGCGGATATTGGCTTGAATCATAACATGGTCAGATCCATGAAGATTGCCCGTTTCAGCTCCGCAATAGGAACGACTATTTAGTGCGGAACTCTTCCAGCGGCGACTGACTAAGACTAATCAATATGATTGAAATGTTGGTTGCCCGGGGAGTTCCACGTTTCCACGTGACCAGATGTTTTCTATGATGCCAGAAGCAAATATTGGTAACAAAAAGTTCAGTTTGCTCTCCGGCATAATGAAGAAGTTGTTCCCCATTGGCACACCGGTCTCCGATGCCATATTTGCCAATTGTTGAGGTCATCGCAGCTGCATTATGACTTACGAGCATTCCAGTCTTATCCGATTATGATAATATGTTTCGGTAGAGACTTTGTTAACAGTTGAAGTTCTGCACAGAACTTGTCTTTATCACGGTCATCTGCCTACAGCGTTGGAGCATAGACACTAATAACCGAGATATTGCAGAACCTACCTTTAAAACGAGCATAGGCCATACGGTCGTTTATCGGTTTCCACTCAATCAAAGCGGAATGGGCCTTGTCAGACATAACAATCGCTACGCCATTTCGTCCCGAGTTATTCGAAGCACCACAGTGATATAGCCAGTATCTCTGGTCTGAACCAGGATTAATAATTGCTTGAGACCGAAAGTGAGGAAGACGGACCTCCGACAAGAGATCGATATCCACACGATACTTAGACAGGGTGTGGATAGTGATAGCTTGGCTTGCAACGTCCATAAGCATTCTGACGTTCCACGCTGATACGGCTAATACCTCGCCGCACGTGCAGAGGGTAGTTCCTCTTGATAGGTTTCAAGCAATTACCCTGGCTTGAGAGCACATTTTATTTACAAGCTTTAAGCCCGGATTGTATATTTATCGCATGTACCACCGGGCTCGGAACGTATCATGAGCGTCGGGAGACGCGGACGCCATATCAAGTGTATCTAACCGTTTCACTATAGAGTCCTTGGGGATAGAGTTGCAGATGGATCAACCAGCAACCACCCGGATTTTTTACATAATAGCAGGTTTACTCCTGCCAAAGACAAAAAAATTAAATTTGAAGAAAATAATAAAATAGACATGAAATTTTAAAAAAAATAAAAAGGCAATTAAATTTAAAATATATATATATATATATATAACTATATGTATATGTATAAAATATATATATTATTTATACAATTTTTAATTATCATAATAAAATTCGACCTAAATAATGGAACTAGGAATGGTCTTAATTAATTTCAAATATGGCGGTGGGTTGGGGGCTTGGAACCATCTCTTTAACCCAATAATCATTGGTGCTAACAATGCAACGATTGGCATTTTACCGAATTCCTTACAATATAGGATTCTATTCCGAATAAATTCTTAGTAAAAGACAAATTAGAAACGAAATTTTATTTTTTTTTAAAGTAAATTTTAATGCTATTTTTAGAAAGAATCTACCATAACTTCGATAAAATCATATAAATTATATATTTATTTATAAAAAAAAGTAGAAGAATAGCAATTTTTGGCGCTTTCAACGTGGAACCGATAATGCTGCCGGATAAACCGGAAATCTCAAATGATTGAAATTTGCAGTTCTAGTTGACTACTATTCCGGAAAATTTTTTTTTAAAGAAAAAACTTTCTCAATAGCATTTTAAATAAAAATTCATAAAATAAATTATCGTTTTTATATCATTGTACGCTAAATTTTTCGACGAAATTCGACATTCGACCCAATTCTACAATTACAAACAAATATCAGAAAGTTTTTTTGAAGAAAAATTATAATGTGATATTTGTATCGTTAATAATGGCTGCAGAATTATTGGTATTAATTGTTTTCCAATGTATTTGCTATTAAAAGAAATAATACGATATGATAAAAAAAATGATAAATGATAAAACAATAGTCGAGATGGTTTTAGGAACTCACAACCTATAACTTCTAACGAAGTGATTTCAATTGTACATTCAGTGCATTACCATTTTAGATATAAGAAAATTTCGAAAGTTTTATTGGCTAATTTTTTTGATAAAAAAATCTATTTTAAATCTATTTTTACGGATTATTAATCGATGCTTTTTAGTAATTTCTACAGATTATTTGAAAAAAAAGGCTGTTTTCAACCCATTTCCCTATTTTTTAAATGATGCCGATTCAGTTCTTTTTTATCCGCCCATCATTGGATCCAAATTTTTCATTTTCATCAGTTCTATAATCTGTTGCATTCGTTTTCTGCATTCTTCGTTCGAATGCTGCGACTTGCTTTCATCTTCCTCGTTTTCTTTGGTAATTTGTCTATTTGTCTACAAAATAACGTTCCAGAAACCAACGAGTAGGCTTTTTAAAATTTAAACCTTAACTAAAGAATATTTTTGAAAATAGTCGAAGAAAATTTACCAAAGGTTAACACCTCGTCACGATAAAAAATATCTTGCTAACTGAAAATCTATTCTTAGCTTTTTTTTCTTTTCAATATGATTATGACATATAAAAATTTCGTGTACCGTTCTTGGACAATGAAGAGTTACATTTATTGAAAGAGAAATTAGGAAAGCCTAAATTAAAGAGTTTCCAGTACGAGATTTATATTTTAGGTTTTCAAATGGAACCATGGAAACAATTGTAGACGACATTATTCTGGAAGTTAACAAATCGATGGATGGTAACAAAGTCGAAAGCAACATTTTGGGCGAAAATATAGCGCCACTTTTATCTTCACCGTTCGAATCACTTCCTTCAGCGCAAAATGCTTGTCGCGATCTTCGAAGAGATTGTTACAGTTATATTCACTTATGCAATTCAACTGATTATGGTGAATATATTCGTAATTCATGCAATCTTTCTTGCGGAATGTGTTAACCAACATATTTTTAAATTTCTATGGAATATTGTAGTTTATTAAACCCCTCTTTTGCAAAACGATCTAACGTCCTCTCTTCAAACGTCCTCTCAACCCATAAGTCACAGCAAACTATTTCTCCAATCACTAAATATCCAATAAAAAATTCCACAATTTATATATGCCAACGAATTTTGAACATTAAATTATTGTTATTTACGAGGATCAACGTTTTCTTTTTGTTCCACTTCAATTATTCGCTCTTCATTCATTAAGCTCCAAAACTGGTAAAACGATGATGAAAATTCGCTGAACACGATAATTACAAACGGGAAATACAAAAGTCATCTACTTTATGTCAAGTTTAATTATAACCAAATAAAATTGTTGAAAAAAAAATAAATGTGAAATCATTATCCACCAAAATTGTTCACTTGCAATACATACCACACATAAATTATAAATTATAGAAGTGGGAATACGGTGGAATCACCGTAATTCTACAGTGTTAATATGTGAAAGGGATGATTCATTGGCATACTGGAATAATGCAATAAACCCCACCAGTATATGCCCCTTGGATAAGAGTAAATTGGTTTATAAGAGTGAAATCCGAATGCTGCCGTGGACGCACCCGTATTTCTGCCTCAGAAGCGACTCTTTAATAGTCAATAGGGTCAGATAAACCAGAAATAGTGAATGCAGATAGAAAATGAAAAATTTCTTAATATAGACAAAAATTTAATTAAAATAATCATAAATTTTTTAACATGCGATTATATGCTAGCAATAAATCCTGTAAGATTTGTGTTATTCTATTCCCCTAACATTGTTGGCTTTTGGTCATATTTCTTTTTTTCTTGCATTTTTATCCATATTTCTTATTTCCTTTCATTTGTTATCACAATTATTAATGCAAACACATGGCGCCTGTCCACTTAATATTTTCAAATAAATAAATAGAATAAATAAACTTCATGAATTATAAAAAAACCGGCTGATAACAAAAATATAAGGCAAAAACTATACGAACTCAAACTACACAAAATATGATAAACAACAAATAGAAAATGCGACAATGGTTCAAATAAAATACCCGCAAAAAAATAAAACAAATTTTTAGGTATGAATATAAGATTATAGAAGATTATAGAATATAGAAGTATAAGATCTGAAATATAACAATGCCTTATGTGAAATGAAAATCTAAAACCAATATTTTTTAAGTTTCATTATCAAATTCGCTTCATGCGATTCATTAAAGCATATTGTATTCCAGAATATATAGTTGTTGCACCAGTACATAACCTGAAGAAATGAGAAATAGAGAGGAAACTATAGTAAAAAATCCAATTTACTACTAAAGCATATTTTAAATTTTCACATATTTTAAAACCCAATTTAAAAAAAATTCAGGAATTCTGATACCTAAACAATTTCATGAAGTAAAAACGAGAGGTAATTAAATATGGTAAGCAATAAAGCAAATTTAATCTCAAATGTACAATGAAATGTCAGCCAAAAGAAGCAAAAGAAACAAACAAACCAAAGATAATTTAATATGGCGCTATCGACGAATCCCAAAATTGGTGAAACTGTGCTAGTGAGAACAACACTGATTTGCAAAACCGTATTCAACTTAAATTTTTTACGGTGTTTTTTAAAGTGTACTATAATAGTTTTTGAAAGAAGAAGCGAAAATAAAAAAGGTGGATAAAAATCGGAAAATAAAAAAAATAAACAATTTAGATACCAAGCCTTGTAAAAAAAAAAATTCATACTTTACTTATTAAGGTGGGAGCCACTCGCAAAGGCGATACTGACGGGTCGAAAAATTTTCTAAATGTAACCGGTGATTCGATCATTTGATACCGTTTTACAAGACCACCAGAAATAAGCAATATGTCCCGAAGAAGAACTATGATTGTCAGCAATACTATAAGCAACGTAAATAATTAATCATCACTAAATTTTTTGTCAATGAAACAATATTTTAACGAAACAATAAACAATATATAAAGGAAGATGAATTATGAGAAAATTACTAGGAATAAGGTTGACATAGGTCAGCGTTAAGAATAACGTGCTTATAAAAAGTTTATCAGCAACAGGATCGAGAATACTTCCAATCAGAGAACTCTGCCCACGTATATTTCGTGCTATAAATCCATCAAGCTGAAAATAAATCTATTGTGTTTCATAAAACAATAAAGGATGAACAACAAAAGAATCTAAGCTCTAACGATGTCTGTCCCTGCTGCAGCAACGAGAATAGCACAAGCAGCGATAAAGCACTCACTGATAACCAAATAGCCAATAACTGGTGTCATACCGATCCTAAAAAATCAAAAATTATGCGAATAAAAAGTTAAACTAAATATGCAAAAAAAAAACAGCGAAGAGGAACTAAAAATTCACTTCGCACAGACTGATTTCATAAATAAATGAATAATCTTACTTTCCGAACAATTTTACAAGTAGTTGAAAATAAAAACCATGCAAAAAAAGAAAGGACAAGCTAAGGAACAAAAAAAAAAATAATCTTTATTACTTTCGGCGCAAATTTTCATCTAAATTATAGGAAAAAAGAAATATACCAAAGAAAACGAAAAATAAAATACCTAAGAACACAAAGTGCATTTGGGACAGTAGCTATTCTTCCACACAATTTTTCGTCCTTCTCAAACTGCTTCAAGTCCTCGAAACTTTTTCCTGTGGCGAACCTATAGTATTTCACAATGTAGACAGACATTTAAACCTTGAATTCTTTGTTGAAATAATGTGAAAATTTTAAAACGATATTTCTTAACGGTATGCAAAATTTATGCAATTTTTTAAAACAGTGAGCTCAGTTCTTATACTGAACTTCCTAAACCGACAGATTCTAAGATGACAAAATTCTTATTATTTATTAATTAAAATGAAATAAAATTGAAGAAAATATTGAAAAACGTGCTGCCATCTAGATTAATAGGTTGCACTTTTCATACTTTTGCATATCTTTCTCAGAGTAATTTTCTAAATGCTTGGTTAGCAATGGTTTAATTATAAAATCGAAGTCGTGTAGTCTAAAAAAAAAAAATTTAAATTACCAAACGCCGATTTAATCAAGTTCTTTCCAATTAATAATGAATAATCATATTTGAACTTAATCGCATATTTAATCATTTGTCTTTAAATGATAATTAAAAAAAAAACATGAACTAATATTTTTTTCGGATATTTTGAACTAATATTTTTTTCGGATATTTTGAACTAATATTTTTTTTAATATTTAGACGTTTTTAAGTTTTTTATGCCATCAGATTATCCTTATAGTTCATTATTTGCTCAACAATATAAAAAATTAATAATTGGTTATTATTTCCTCATTAACGCTTAAATTCACTTTAAAAAATTGGCAAATATTATTTAGGTTATTATTGTTGCTCAATGCCCTTTCTTTTCTGGTCGCATTTATTTACTATTTTTTCTTTTTTTATTGGCTAAATTTCATAATATTTGTTATTGAGTGCCATCTGAATAAAAATTTTATATTCTAAATTATTAAAATACCCAACGATCGAAATGGAAAAGAAATTGATGATGGTAAGTGAGAAGAAAAGTATTCAAAGGATAACTAAGGCACTAACGATTTACAACTATTTTAAAGAACCTAATTTTTGAATTGCAGTGCTTTTTATATACTTTAATAGTTTCAATAGTAAAACTAATTTCAATATTTACATTATTTTTTGGATTTTTTTCCGCAATCATATATAGAAAAATGGGAAATTTATAAAGAGAAAGCAGAAAAGAATGGTACCTTTTTTGAGGAAAAGAAAAGAACGAAGTGCGCGTTGCTAATACTCGAAATGGTGATATGGATTGAAAAACACGATTTTTCAGACTAAATCTAACAAAAGATGCAGTTTCAAGAACGTTTCCGCTCAATTTAAATCGCGTAAAAGAAGGTGATAATACGCGAAACAAACAATGTTCTAACATCGACCTGAAAAAAAAATTTGAATTTTAAATAATTTGTGTAAAAATAAATATTATTATTATTAAAAATAATAATTTCATAAAATTCTCTTTCTAATTATTTGTGAACGAAACAATCGGTCTTAAATCGGCTAAACCATCGAATTCAAACTTAAGCCTTTTTCCCTTCGTTTCTCCCCTCTGCCACCACTGCCACTGCCAACTGCATACCCCCTCCCCTCCTCCTCACCGATTTTCAGCTTTCATCGATGCGCTCCTTTGTTGAAACAGTTCACTGACCTCGACCTCTACTATTCCCCACCCCTCTTCTAAGCCCTTTTAAAATCTATTCTTGCTTCCTGCTAATTCGCACAAAATTCAATGTTCATTCTTAAAAGTTGTGAAATATGGCCACAATCGTCCACCGAGTCGTACGATAGCAAGTAAAAGTCGTACGTTCCATTTCCGACTGTATGTTGTGGCTTTGAAATATAACAGTTGCGCTCATGTTCAGGTCTTTAGGTACTCGTAGATATTCCTGTTGGTATGCGGAAAGACTGAGTAGAACCAGAGAAATTAATGGTGACACAATGATGTTACTGAGTTAAAGAAAGACGTATGGATGGAGGCTGAACCGGTGTGGAAGACGGCGATCCGTTATTTTTCTTTTCCTACCAGTTATCAGTTATTTTCTATTAGTCCAGTTTCCGGAGATATACAAGTTAGTTAAAGAAATAGTATGAACGTAGCGATTGCGAATATAAAGTTCCGACAGAGGCAAATTTCGAATTTCTTCGGAAAATGCTGAAAACACCTCAATTGCCACGATTTTGTGCTACTTAGAAAGTGAACTAAGACGCGAATTACGAATCAGACTATTATTTCGCAAACTGAGAACGGCCGCTGACCCTTCCAAATCAACATTTATTTCCAAATTTCTGTAAAAATTTTTCTGTTTGAATATTTATGATCGAATTCTGCTTCCCAGTGCATATTGGTTGTTATGGTGAAAGAATGGATCCGTGTGGGTCGAGAGCGTCGTTATCATTTAAATCCATTATATTTATTATCACCATTTTTATTATTTATTTATTTATTGATAACCAACCAAGCAGGGCGACAAGGCCATGTGCTTGTATTAATAATAACAATTAAGATAACAGAAAAAGAAAACACAAAACAAAAAAAAAATATATAACATAAACAAAATTAATTATAAAACAATATGACAGAAATTAACAATTTAAAGAGGAAATTACAGATCAATATAATATAGTACAATTCGAGGTAACATATATAAGTTAAAAGTTTGTACGTTCGACAATACTAAATTTCCCGTTTATTATATATTTTTATTATTATTATTGTTATCATTATTATTATTATTAATTATTATTAATACGTCACTTTTATTATTATTAAATATTTATTAATTAATATTATTTATTAATTATTATTATTTAATTATTATTAGTAATTAATTATTATCATTAATTAATTATTTATTTATTATTATTGATAATAATAATAATTAATTATTATTAGTCAAGCGTGTCAAAGTGCTTGTGCGTTTGCAAAAGGGATCAAGCGCAAGCCATAAAATTTATTTGTCCAATAAGAAAAGGCAAATTGATCTGATTCAGTATTACATTAAGATTTCACGTCTAAAAGTTTGTACGTTCGACAATACTAAATTTCCCGTTTATTATTTATTTTTTTTAATATATTAAAAAATTAATTTAAAACTATTTATATATTCTCGTAGAAGTGAAATTCTCGAAATTAGGCCAATAACATCAGAAGCAATGCTTTTAGAAACAAACCACATGAAATGGCAACCTTTTTCAACTTTCAACTTGTGTACTTCCTTAAAAAGTTTATTTTTATCGCATTTATATTTATAAGTAATTTCGATTAACTAAATATTTTATCAGATTTTTAGATTCTTAATTGATTGAAAATTGATATGATTTGCTCATTTGTCTGATTGTCTATATATTTATCGATAATATACTGAGCATCATACGGGGGAGCGAAGGGGGAGGGGAATATTTGTAGATAAGCTGAGATGAGAGTTGTTGCACTCATTTTGGAGCATCGATATTGCGATTGTACTTTCAGCAAGAGTTAAATCCCGCCTTAGGTTCGAGTCATGCTGGCGATTTACCTGTACTTCTATTGCCTCCATAGCTCTGTAACAAAAATTTGGCCGATAAGCCTAACCAGAAGCGGTGATTGCTTTTAAAATGTTTAGGATCATAGGATTTAAAGGCCTATAAAGCATAATTTTGTTTCATTTGTATTTGACGTTAATTCGTTAAAGGTTTAAAATTTGCTTAAATTTATTTAATTAAATATAAAATTTACAAAAAAAATTTTAGCGATTTCATTAAAAAACAGTTATATTTGTAAATTATGCTTGCAGATTAGTTCGTTATATGCAATACTCAATTCTGCCGAAAAGAAAATTCGAAATGAGACCAATTATCTATAGAATTGCTTGGTGCAGTACCATTATTGAGAACTATTATCACATATTAGTTAGCGAAATATTTCATTAATACTGATGATAAGCAAGATCCATATTAGTCCATAAAAGAGCAAAATCCTAGATTTTTATGAAAACTATGATCGACAGAAAAAAAAAAAGCAAATATTAAAATTAAAATATTTCAGTCGGAATCGATGAAATTCGAAGCGATTCTATTGAAACTGTTGACGAAATCGCTAAATCATTCCTATCGTAGGACAAAATATATTAATACCAGATACTGGGGATAGAATGTCTCAGTGGGTTGTTGCTCGATTGGGTGCGCCGATGCTGAGGTTCACCGCGAGAGGTGTACAAAAATCCGGGTGATGCTCGCGACTCATCTGTATTTCTATCGCCAAGGGACTCCATGTCATATTGCCCAATGGGACAAACCAGTGGAACGAGTTTAACCAGTAACCAGTGAGGACTCTTTAAAAAAAAGCACTAGAATATTGCAGGTATAATGAAATACTTATAAATAAAAGTATATATAATATATACATATTACTGAAACGAGATCTTTACAACATGTGCAACACATTCACTCATATTTATGATTCAGCTCTACTGCGTTAAGTCGAAAAATTCTTGAAAATATTCTTATAAAATATTCAAATATTTAATAATTTTAAAATTTTTGATAATTTTTTAAACCAAATATAGTGCAGTAGAACTATAACTATTCTTTATAATAACAAAATCAAATTTAAAGGATAGTTTTGAAATACATAATTAATTTAAAATATGGCATTACCTAATAATTATGGAAAAACTGTAATTATTACTAAAATATTCAAATATTTAATAATTATGGAAAAACTATAATTATTATTTTATTCAAAATTCTCTTGATTTTTATCACGATAATCGCTACTACCATTCCATTCATTTTCAAGCGAAGGTGAAAGTGTAGTCTGTGAAGGTGTAACACTTGATGAATGGTTATTTGTCACCTAAAGGTAAAATTTGGTGATAAAAAATGATATTAAAAAAAACAATAAAAAAATCCGATTTATCCACAATATTTTTTAAAATTTCTGTTTTATATTGAAAGATCCTCAGAAAGAAATAATATAGTCCAACTACCGACCAATAATCTGCTTCCACTAAACATGGAAACTACTGTCAGGCATTACAGCCATTAAGCCACAAGAGCACATGAACCAGTTCAAAAGGGCATTGGGAACAAAACCAGAGGCTCAAAATAGCTGCTCATAGAAAAAGCAGTCACTCAACTCAATGTCTCGATTGATCAATCTTAGCACAGTCTACTCTAAATATGGATCTGTGAATGTCTGACTATATAGAAAGTTATCCTAAAGGCATTTTCAAGAACTCCACGGAGTTAAGGAAAAATGCAGTTGAAACCAACTCAAAATTCAAAATTCAAATGCGGCATTTATCAAGGCATTCTCCCCAACACTGCTCTACATAAAGTTCTGTTTAAACGTCAGCAAGATAATCACAAGAAGTGGACATGGATACAAGTTCAAGAGCGGAACGGAACTGTCATCATTCATCCCCTTTATGGATACAACAAATTGTTATTTGCTAAAAGCGGACATGACTTTTTCATTTATCTTACTAATCTTATTTTTATTATTATAATCTGCAGCAAGAAGTAACCAAGAAGTGAGGGAAAGTAATTAAGTTAAAGTGGAACTACCAACGGGATATAATAGATGTACAAGTAAGCTACAAGTACAGCCCTCAATCATGTAGGAATCATGGTGAAAAGGCAAGAAAGGGCTATTCCAAAGAATAATGCAGATTTTGAAGAGTCAGTTCAATGGGAAAAACAAGATCCACACCACAAACATGTATGCAATGCCAATCATTAGATACGGGATAAAGGAAGACAGAAGCTAATGTGAGGGCTCTGAAACTCCACACAATACCCGAAATTTCTATCCCAAGTTCAGTACCCAAAGACTGTGCACCAGCCAAAAAGAAGGTGAATAAGGCTAGGCTTGGCAAGTGTCAAAACCACTGTCTATAATGAAATCCAATGCATTTAGGAAAATATCAACAAGATGGCACAAAAAAGGATAAACTGCTGAGAGAATGCCTGAAGCTCAAATATTGCAGAAAGATCAAGCAAAAAAAAATGCCCTGAGGAAGCAAGATCTTCAGTGGGATAGGTATTAAAGATAAATAGTTGAGGTGGCTGAGGTACCTTGAGAAATTTTACTAATGGTTGATAAAAGCTAGACTAAAAGACTAACATCACAGTAGATATGATTCAAGGTGCAAAATTGCCCCGGAAATAGACCAACAGATGGTGGTAGGATGTAAAAGCAGGAACAAGCATGCATTAAAAAGCATAACCAAGTAGCTGGCAGAAGCATAACCAAGTCATTTACAGGAATATCTGCTCGTTATATGGTTTAGACCAAATGAGAGATTCCTCAGAAAAAAGTAGAGAATAAGACGAAGATCCTGTGGGACTTCTCCATCTAGACAGAAAAGCATGTACTGGCCAAACAACCAGATATCGTGGTAATAAATAAAAATCAGCAATAGGCATTGGTGAAAGATATAGCAACACCAAGTGACGGCAACGTCAAGTAGAAGAAATATTATATTTCAAAGAAAAAAAAGAAATAGGAATGAGAATTTGGAGAAATATCATGGAGTGAAAGAGGAACTGAAAAAGATATGGAAAGTGAAGACCAAAGTAATTCCATTGATGCTTGGAGCACTTAGAACTGTGACCTCTAAACTAGAAAAATGGCTTCAGTATATTCCAAGAAACATAAGAACAACATCAGAAATCTCTGTCCAGAGGGACATGCGTGCTAAGATAAAGCACTCTCTCAAACTCCCAGACCTCTAAACCGATAAAGAAAACTTGGTCCATTCATAGGGAGGCTTTTTTAAGGAATTTGTTTTATTCAATTTTTATTTTAAAGTATCACCAATAAAGAAAGGATCCGTAATGATATACCTCACTTTCCTGATAGTTGTTGAAATTGTAGTAATCTTTTTGCGAGTCCAATTTCAAATAAGAATATTCATCAGTGATTTCTTCGAGATGACCTGCTAACGCTTGGCGAATAGCACCAAATTCTGGTCTTTCTGAAGGGTCTTCAGTCCAGCAACTTTGCATTAGCTTATAGCTGCAATATATTCTTTCTTGAATTTTTATCAATCCCATTTAAAATTAATAAATCGGTTTTTCATAATTCACATAATTCATTTTTTTTCCTTTGACTCATTCCTGTCGCCTCACTGGCTTCTTGAATCAGAAAAATTTCACCAGGAAGTCACTTGCCGATAGAAGTACAGGTGAATCCTCAGCATCACCCAGATAGACTTTTATGTCTTAATAAGATTTTATGGAAATGGAACTAATTTGATCAAATAAGATTGAAAATTAGAAGGAGATGAAGGTGCTCGATCGGCATCAGTTCTTAAAGTAAGATTTTTGGTTCAAAGTATAAAAATTTATTTCTTCTATACAATCGTAAAAAATTTTCCCCAACGATTAAATCTTACTAATTATCTGGGCAATTATCCGGTTGTTCCATTCTTCCACCGGCATTCAAATATTCAACCATATCGTCCGGCTGAATTCCTGGATAAGGCGCTCCACCAAGAGTTATAATTTCAAACATAAGGATGCCAAAAGACCATCTGAAATGTGAAAATTTAAAAATTCAACTTTCCTTTTTTTAAACCATTTCAATTTTTACTTTTTTGTTTTTCCATATATTTTTTTTCTTCTATCCATCCACAAAATCCACTGAAATCTATTTGTGCTCCCAAGTTTTTCACCATTTCTTCGCCAGGTTCCAATGACAGCTCACTTTATTTTTAATTTTACGCCATTCAAGGGACAAGAGAAAGTGAACTCCCATATTTAGCCTCAGTCGAAGCGATGTACCATTTGATCATCCTGGCCTTCATAGGCCTATTTTCCCCGATTTACGCCCAGATTCTTTTTTCGATGATTTCTCTTATTCTCTTTTCATTGCACATTTAATAAAACAACTTACACGTCAGACTTTGTTGTAAATTCATAGAATTTTATGGCTTCAGGACTCATCCATTTCACTGGTAGCCGACCACCTTTTCCTTTGTAATTAGCGGTTTTTGCATAAATATATCGACAAAGACCAAAGTCACCAATTTTAGCATTAATCTTATCGTGAACGAGGACATTTCGAGCAGCTACATCGCGATGAACGAATCCTTTCTGGCTGAGATATTCCTAAAACACATTCATTTATTTCGTAGGCAAATATGGATAGTAAGTAATGTTTTATATGCAATAGACTAACCAGGCCATAACTTATTTGCACTGCAAACATAAGAAGTTGTTTTAGTGTAATAATCATATCTCGATCAACATTTTCATTGTCGTCACCACTTTCATAATCGATATTCATCTCTTTTAGCTATAATATCTGGATGTTACTCGCATCACTAGCTGATCATCACATCGAAAATAAATTATAAATTATCTAGAAAAATTTCCGTGTTCTGTTTGCATGCGTCGCCTTTTTTCAGTTTTTCACCAAGTCGTTAAGACGTTATGATTTTTGCAATAAATGAAGAAAAGAAAAGGAATAGAAATCATGGAAAAAACTTAGTATATGGGTACTATATGATGTGGACACAATGGCCTTTATAATGAAAAACCAACAATATAAATTGCTAAAAACTTTTTATTAAACTTTTCTGAAGAACTATTGATGTGATAAACGAGACCATATGAAGGCCATTACTTTTATTCATTATTAATTTCGAATAGTACCTACACAATTTATGAGTGCAAATACCTATGAAGATTACACAAATATATTTGAAAAATTTATTTTTACCTTAAACATATATTTGCAACGTGATCGCAAGAAATGCAAAAGATCGCCATCCGAGCAGTATTCAACGATTAGACAATACGGCTCTGTTTCTGTTATGCATGCTAGCATATTAACGAGTCGCTCATGATAGCCGAGAGATTTCATCAAGGCGATTTCGTTCAAAAACTCAGTTTTTGATGTTTGATCAGCGTATTCTGCAAGCGATTTTTTAGTGAGCTTCCACATTCTCATTAATTCGCTTATTTATGAACATCTATCAAGAAAATTAGTCCTTTATATTTATTTGCAAATACAGCAATCGGAGCATTAAAATCGTGTGCTGAAGACCAAAAGATGAAATAAAAGTTAAAATGAGAGATAAATATAAACTTAAGGTGCAAAGATAAATGGTAGAAACTGTTGAACTATTATTAACCAAGGTTGGACTGAAGTTTTATAATTAATCGATAACATTCTATTTAAAATTTGAGGTGGATGGAGTAAGAACAACATCACATAGAACACATCACATTTGTTCCAGGTTGTTAATATACAGTTCAACAAGTTAATATATATATATAGGAATTAACTGAAAAGCTTATTGTGCTACATGCTTCCTTATGCAAACAGCGAATGTTCACTTAAACAACGAATATCTGACTTATTACCGAAAATTCTAAGTGTGAACCTTAAAATTCTGGAGGAGTCTCTTTAATAATTTGCATACTATGTGGATCAAAGCTAAGTTTTGCGCCAGGCAATATATCTATAAAAAGAAATTAATTAGCCTTTCTTGCAGTCATCTAATTATATTATTCAAATCGTCTCGAAAATTATTTAAATTTTCCGATACCTAATACGTGAGAAATAAATTTTATAGAAGCCCACTAATAAATAATTGAACTTGAAATAACATCATTCTGAGGCCATTCTATAGATGAAAAAAAAAGAATCCCACCACTTAAAAGGTTTACCAGTAAAATCCTGTCTATAAATAGCTGTAAGTCCCTCTTATGTGAAAAGATTTCCTAAATAGGCAAGTGGGGCCATATGATGAAAAAAAATAACCAATCATGGAGGGAAGTTGCCAAAATAAAATGAGTTTCTTCTAAGGAAACCATGTTAGCATTCCGATACGAACCTATTTATAAGGTAGTTGCACAAATTTTTGCAAAAAAGTCTACCTTACAGCCCTAATATAAATGATGCAAGTCGGGCGGTAATCATAATAAAGTCTATGAATTAAAGATATTCACAACGGCTAAATAATTCTAATCACCTGGAAGCATTTTAACAGCAACATCGCAATTTTCAGCTCGCATTAGGTTAACACCAAGAGTTGACTGCGCATTTTTATATGCTTTGGCTATTCCAATAAGTTTACCCATATAAACGGAACCGAATGCACCGGAACCCAACTTTTTTTCGTCGTAGATAATTAAATTTCGCCTTTCCAGTTCCCATATATCTTGCCTTAAATAATCTTGAGCATTTTTCTGTGATATAAATGATTTGACTGCAACATATTAATGATCAAAAATTTGGAAAATTTAACTTTCAGATTTGATTAAATCATAAATTCCTAAAGGCGCATTGATTTTTTTGGGACTTTCTATGTTAAATAGGCTTAAAAATCCTTACTAGCAATAGGCTTAAAAATCCTTACTAGCAAAATTTGCCAAACTACCTTTTCGGAAGGTTGGTATATCTTTGTTCATTTTCCATCTTTAATTGCTCAAGCTTGAATTTATTTAATTTCATCTTTTCTTGTTGCTTCCGATGGATATTAGCGAATATTGTTATCAGGAGAAGGAATATTGCAGCGATAATTACTGCAACGGTACTGATAATCATTGGTGTCTTTGATTTTCGATAATCTAAAAAAAAAAGTTTTATTTGATAATTTCCATTAATCATTTCTTTTCATAACAAAAATTTTATAATTGTATAAAAATTCTTATTTCAAAGATTTTTAGCAAAAATCACCTGAAGAGCGTATAAATATTTTATGAGCCTTAGACTTCATATTGAGTGAAGTATTTCGGAAAGTCGGGAAAGTTAGATTTTTAGGATCCATAACAGCACAAATCGTTATACCATAAAGTTTATCCATTTGTAAATCACTAACTATGAAACTTCCATTGATAGGATTTATTTTTTCCTGGAAAAAATTTAGTTTAAAAAACTGTCACTTATTTTTTTGTATGACTTTTCCACCTCTTTTTTTTACAACAAAGAAAATTTTACCGCACAACTGCCATTATATAAAAATTTCGGGCAATTAGTAGTATTTCCCAAAACATCGTACATATCAACTCCAAGCAATTCCACCTGTAACTGAAATATTAATGAAATAATAGAAGGAATTCGTTTATTAGATTCATCAGTTTTGTTAAAACTATCATCGCATTCGCATTTTCAAATTTTCGTTACTTTTGTTACTTCGTTACTTTTTTCTCATTTATTGACCATTTAAATGAAATAATAATACTTTACTTACAGGTAAAAAAGAAGCATTTTAATTTTTAATATTTTTATAAATTTTCAAAAAACTTATTTATCTAATTAAAAAGGTAATCTATGTGAAAGAAATCGCTAATATGTAAGTCTGATGTACACATTGAAAGTTTTTGAGAACCATACATCTGCTTCTCGTTCAAAATTCTGTGCATCACCATAGAATGCTATAAAGTATAATGGGATTTTTTGGTTATTTATTATTGAACGGAATGTTATATTGATAGTAATAATTGTAGAAGGATCGTCCGCGTTGATATTTTTATTTAACACAGTGTACGAGAATGCTTCAACTTGGCCACATAATGGTGGTTGGTGCCTTTTTGGTTGATCGCATGGACTATGAAGTACAGTCGTACAATCTATAGTAGAAGAATAATTCAGATAAATAACTTTTACCACTTTTTAATATTCACAATAATTATTATTTAATAATAATTATGATTTTTAAGAATTGAAAAATAATTAAAATATTGAAGTACTGAAATTTTTCTAACTTATTTTAATTTTAATTTAAAGTGTAAAAATTGGAAAATTAATTATGGAAAATTTTCAAAATCCTAAAATTTATACAAATTTTAACTTATTTAGAAATTAAATCCTTCTAACGAACCAATCTTCAACTTGCGCATTGTCTGCATATTCGCATCACTACTTCTCGTTATCGTACCACACTTTTTACTTTGTATACTTTCAGCATAGTAAAGGAATTCACACTTTTTGTACATCATATCAGCACTTAACATGGCTTCCGTTGTCCGAGGGGAACTTCCTTTTTTCTAGAAAGGATTCCAACTCATCGCAACATACAAGGGTTTTGGTTTTTAACGAATTTTTGTAAATTATGGATTAGTGGTATACAGTGACGAATTTATGGAAATCGAACAAAAATAACTAAAAATGAGTTTGAGAATGTTATTACTTACAAATATTGGACTAGGCATCGCTATTGCCAAGTCAATTTCTTTACATCCTGTCATATGAAATAGAGGTTCAACAAACAAATCATCGTCGCCCAAGGGCCAATCTGAATTTATATTCATTTTATATTTATTTAATTTGTTTTATTCTTAAATATTAGCTGAATTTTTTTTACCAACTTCTGCTTTTGCTTTGAACGAATATTGCTTGAAAATTAAGAAAGAAAATTTAAGCCTCTTCGATTAAAAGACAAAAATATAAGCTCTGTTATGGATAAAATTTGTGCTGAAAAAGACAATTCATAAAAGCAAACCTGCTCCCGTATATTCGAATACTAAACGAACAGATCCATTGAAAGTATAATCACTTAAATTATATGTTTGATTCTAAAATTTTTTATGAATTAAGCGATGCTTGCAAAGATTTAATGTCGAGCAAAATCTTAAAAATACTTAAATTTTTGAATTAAATTAAGAAATTTTATGCGAATTTTTATTTAAGATTATTTGCTTTCTCATTGGAATATGAAAAACAAAGCGTAGACGATTTGATTGTTCTTTCTTCCGCGATGAAAATAAAATAAAGGATAAATTCTCACAACATATTCGAGCAAATGAACGGTTAAAATATCATCAACATGTGGTTGCGGTGGAGCAATGTGATAAATCGCTGAAAAATTGCTGATTCCATTTGTAGTTATTGCCGCTATACGTACCATAATATGGTGGCAAAAATCGGAGAAATCTCTTGTATAATTTAATAAAGAATTCGAATCAGCAATCTGAAATTATCAATGAAGGAATTTCTGAAATTCCGATAATTTTTCACATTGTTTCAATAATTAAAAATACGATTTATTAGATAAATAAATTAAATTCATAAATTGGAATTCGAAAAATTTATCGATAAAATAAGAATTTATGCAAAACAAAACGAACAATTTCATTGTCTTTATCGAATGAGCTGTTTAATGAAAACTGTAAGAGATAGATGGCTTCAGCTTGAGCTTTCCATGTGAGATTAACTGCATAGGTAGAATCATAAATTGCACTAATCTCACTAGGTACTTCTGGAATTATCGAAGATTTTGAGAGTCCATCACATAATTGCAAACAATTGTTATTTCTGTTATCACGCTAGAAAGAGTTTATATGGTTTGTTATCACTACAATCAGTTGATATAAATGATATGGTGAATTTAAATCAATATAAAAATTTTTTTGATAGAAATTTGTTTGAATTAATTGCTTTAATTAAAATTTTTTATAAACAAAATTATGGAAAAACGATTTAAAAAATATAAAAATCATAAAAGTGAAAGCAATAGCTTTTCGGAAAATCTTACACAAAAATTTCCATTTTCATATTGCACGCACTGATTTGATTTTTCACATTCATAGATTGTCTAAAAAACAAATAAATTATTAGATCAAAAAGGCGCTGAAGACTATCTCTCTGAAGCAGTGCTAATGGTGGCTTAGAATCGTTAAAATAGTAAGGAAATCTAATTATTCAATGGTCAACTTAATTATTTATAAACTTCGACTTATTTAGTTGTAGTAGTAATTGCCAAAGAAAGTAAATGAGTTATGAGATTCACGACTATACTTTATAATACATTTAAAAGAGATGAAGAAGTCACCTGTTGTTTTATAGTAACACAATTGGCAATACATCTCAATTTACAACGATGAGCAATGCATGCTTCATCACAGAGTTCAGTTCCAATTGATTTACCATTTATCGAAATTATTAATAAAATTATGTTTAATATGAAATAAATATAGTACACATTGACTGACATTAAAATTCATTCAATGTTGACGTATTGAGTTGTGTTTGAGTCGCAATTTACCATCAAAAGTTTTTTACTTCAGCGAGACAATGATCTCTAAATAATGATAATAATCAGTTAAAAAATGTTGTTTCGAAACAAATAGTGCATATTTTTTAAAAATGGAATTTACAAATAGACTTGGAACTATGAGCGAGAAACAAAATTATAGCAGTGCTTATCGTTCGTTTTTATCAAATTTCGTATTAAATGAAAAAGCTATGCAATTTATTTCACTAATACCCGATGATACATTTAACTTTCACCTTAGTTAAAAGTGTTCCAAGAACTATGAAACCTTTACTATGTTTAAAACCTTTAGTACGATGGATCATAATGGACCAGTGAATGGACTTCTATTGTGCTATTTTCGGGATGCAAAAGAGGGAACAGAATGCCGCTTCGATTGAAACCATCATCACTTGACTAAAAGTAAAAGTGAAATCAGAGTAATGCTGGAGATCCATCTTCAGATTTTTATCTCAGGGCAACTCTCTGACGGAAAGGTATTATTCTAGGAAGGAGTGTGGCCAAGCCAGAAATGGAATGCAGCCAAATGATAATTCTTATAAAGCCAAAATATGGTAAAAATATGAAGATAAAAAAATATTTCAGTGCTGAATTTATTCGGTCAACTTTCTTCACAAAATGGATTTAACCGAAGTAAATAATTCTTTGCATAATATCGCAATTTATCGCAAACAGGACAAGAATATCAACTGACATTAAAATTCATGTTGACGTATTGAGTTGTGTTTGAGCCGCGATTTATCGCCAAAAGATTTTAACTTCAGCCAGATCATAAATAGCATCATCACCCACAGAGATTACAACAGTAACAAAATTCCCAAGCAATAAAATTAGCCCAATTTCAAACATCTAATGGTGAGAAAAAAGTTAAAAAAAACACCTTATGCATTTAAAGCTACCTTACTTATCACCTAGTGATGTTATCAATATTCTCAAAGAAAAGAAGTGTGGAGTGTGAATGATAAGCGAAATATGACTTCTGCGCCAATTTTATTCGCAGAACTTATTGGACTTAGTTTACAGATATGAATCCATATTATATACCAGATTTTCTCTAGCCAGATTCTCAAATCCTTTATATTTAAATAATCGAACTGCTTTGGCTTATGAGATTGCTCATCATCATTTTCGCGGCGAAATTTTAATTTAAAAACTCTTAACGATCCAACAGGGAATGAACAATTCTTGGATCAGTATACAAACTACATTTCACAGATCTTATACAAGATGATCTGCTGTTAGAGATTATTTTTATGTTTTAGAGGCAAAAGTTGACAAAAATTGCACAATCAAAATTCATTCTATATCAGACAGATAGACGATTCGTTATAAAATCATTGCAAAGGTACTGAAAGGTATTTAAAAGAATCTGAAAAATACCAACTGGTAAATTTTATGAAAAAGCGGAGTGTAGTCGGTCTGTTACTTCGACTGTTTAATTCAGGAAACATGGGCAAATGCTATAATAATTAGCAATATAAATTTAACTCCTATTCCTTGATACCATCAAAAGTCAAATCCATATAGTTTATGGGAGCCACTTTTGTTTCTCTAAGAAAAGCTTTAATGCCATCAGTAAAGCCACCAAAACGAAAATGATAAATGCTATTAAGCGATATGATAAATTTCTTTAATCAATGAAACAAACGATTAACAGCGAGTTTTAAGCACGCACATAATCTGCAAACAAATTAAATCTTTGGCGATTCGAATCACCTTAAAAAAAAGGTAGGAATAATACTATTATCGGATTAGCGAATGAACAGTAAAAAATTTTCATTCATCTAATGGAATGAAGGGTAAATTCGGAATCTTTTCAATTTAAGACCTTTTTTTATGAAAATTTGCCAGTTTTTATGCGTCATAAGTTCCTCGAAAGAGACTCAATTCTTCATATCAGTGTTCCATATCAAAGATTATATCAATAATATTGAAAAATAAAAAAAAATGAATTCTTTGAAGTGTTTCCTAAAACATGTTTAGGCGATACAAGAAGAAAAGCAACATTATTTTTCGATCGCAGCATTACGTGGGTGTTTAGTGAATAACAAATAGATGATAGCCATCAAATTTATTTATGACATTCATAAATTTTATATGGATTTATTTCTTTGCTACGTTCCAAACTATCATTTAAAAAAAGACATGAAAAAATTTGTATTTGCATAACGGTTAGTAAAGCTCAACGGCAAGAGAACGGTCAAAATGGCAAACACCATTTTGCTAATAAAGCATCATCGCATTCAGCAAAGCTTAAGTCACAATTTATTTATTTCTATAAGCAAATATTTTAAATTAAATTTGTTTAAGATTATTATGTTTCAGTTGCCATTAACTTTGGTACCAATTTTGCCGGAATTTTCCAGTTGTTACTGAGATTGTATAGTTTTTAATGGTGGTGATCAGTAGCACTAATATATTATCACAATAACAACTGAACACCATTATGAAAAGCAGATTTGCGTGACAGTTTTATAAAATTGCTAAAAAAAAATTTGATAATAAAATAAGAAATAATGGAATGGAAAAAATTATTAAAGATAATTGTAACATTATTATTACTGAGTCAAGGGAGACTAAAATTTTTTTATCAACTTGCAAAATCCATTTACAAATCCTATTTCTTTTAAATAATACTGAACCCATTCATCTAATTTGATTATATTTAGTTAATCATAACTTTTTTTTCGAGTAAATATTTGATTTAAAGAAAAAACTGACAAAATCCTTAGAAAAATAAAAAATAGAAAAAGTAATACAAATAAAAGTAGTATTATATTTTTAAAAAATACACTGAAAAATTAATTTTGCTAATAAAACAAAGCAAAAATGCGAGTTATCGTCGTTGCATGCATGCATGCATACATGGGCAACAATATGACTGCATAGTAATTAATATTTGGCAAAAAATGTTTTCATATTTTCATACATACAAGCTTTAATTTGATTTTTGCAGATTTTATTTCATTCTTTTCATCTGGCGTTTAAAATCTTTTCATTTTTTTTGGATTAGAAATTATGGCAGACTCAGCGGATTGAAATAAAAAAAATGAGCGAATTTAATAGTCGCCTGAAAAAAAAATAGCATAGCAACATGCAAATAACATTGAACTGCAAGTTAACATATTGTAGTCGTCGCTAATGCCGCTAAATTCATCGACAAGAACGGCAAAATAATTTCGTCGTCTGAATTTCTTTGAAATTCTTTGTCTCTTGAAGATCTGGTGATTTTCTTATCAATAGTCTAAGATTCTCCTTATGATAATCTATCTCGAATTGAAGATCATGGATCATGACCCAATGACCTTATTTTTTACCAGTCAAAACATTTTTTATTTGAAGAAAATTCTAGTTAAGATTCTTAAAGTTCTAAATAATGAAGTTAATAAGCTTATTGATGTTCATTTTACAAATTAAAAAATATAGAAACTTTTCATTGATAACTTTGACCATTCCAATATATTTCACGTTAATTATATAAATTTTTTTAAAGTTCTTGTAATAGATCGTAATCAACTAATCATAACTAATAGATTCGAACAAATCAACAACAGTTCACAGCTGATGTTCAAAGAATAAAAATTTATCGCCGTCACTGATAAAATTTATTTTCGTGATCAACTAACAAGTGCTGTAAATAGACAAAATGTGATGAATGTAAATGGTTAACTAAGGATAAGAAAAAAAATGGATTCATAGGATTGCGAATTCGTAAAGAGATTTCATTTGGATTCATTCCCAAAATGTTGCACATTTGTTCGAAATTTTTCGGAGAAACCAGTTTCGAGCTGACAAGGAGAATTCATTGATGAAGATTACGATGGCTGACCGCCGTGGTATTTGTCGATCAATTAAGATAGTCGGTTAGAAAATCGTGACAACGACGTGTTATTAGTATATACGTCATTTTAGTAGTGAATTCGTCATCTTTAAAGATATTTTAAATTGTTTCGATTAATTTGAATTGTTATTCGACATGAATTAATTTAAAAAATTCATCATACTTACATACAAGAATTATGTAATCACGAAAAAAATTTCATTTTCTAGCACATATCGAATGGAATTTTTCGAACGACGAAATTTCTCGGCAAATTTTTATATTCGAACAATAATGGTATATGTCAATGTTTTATCCTTAGCTGTCTTTAAAAAAAGACTAGATAATATCATTTACGATATTATTAAATACAAAAAAAAAGAGAAGAGTTTACACCAGGCAAGAACTGCAGGAAGTGAGAAATCTCGATTTTATCTTCAGGTTATATATGTTACTTCGAATTGTACTATATTATATTGGTATGTAATTTCCTCTTTAAATTGTTAATTTTTGTCATATTGTTTTATAATTAATTTTGTTTATTAATTGTTTTGTTTAATTTTCTTTTTCTGTTATCTTAACTGTTATTATTAATACAAGCACATGGCGTTGTCGCCCTGCTTGGCTGGTTATCAATAAATAAATATATCTGACGAACTGACTGATGATTTCGTCTAATTGACGGATTGATAGACTACAGGAATTGCAAGATTTATTTGAAAGGTTAGTCGGCTGAATGCAAATATGGAAGAACAATAAGAGCAAATATTAAAAAATATTAAGTAGCATATTAGTAGCCTATAAATATATTAGTAAAAGAATGATCACTGATAAGTATCAGTCGAAGACCGATATGAACAAATGAGGAGCTGAACATTTAATATTTAATATTAGTGTTATTGGCTTTGCAAATATTGTTTTATTCAAAACGAATCTTATAAAAGACAACGAAATTTTAAGGAAGAAAGGAAAAACGAAGAAAAATTGGTGTAAAGTAATATAAAATAAGCCAACAAACTTCAAAATTATAAACGAAGAACCAGGATAAGCCAGTGAAAATATTAGAAATTATCCATTGATCCCCTCGCGATGATTTGCTTAAAATGTTGCTAAATCAGAGCAAAAAATAAAAAAGTTGAAAGCGATCAAACAGCAATCTATCATTTCTTCTAAAACCACGATTAACGATATTATTCATATTTTTGATGTTAAAAAAATTATTTCAATAAAAGAATAAAATCGAAATACGAAATTAATCAAATGGATATATCAGATTATTTCAAAAATGATTCATCGAAATCGCCACTACGACTCAATTTTTCAAATTTTTTGCCGTAATCGTTTAGCGCACTTTGCCAGAAGCATTTCTTCATATTTTCAAAGCGATCGTGGCAAGGTATATACGAAAGATCCAAGCGAATTTCGTTCATTGATGGCTGTAATGCCAAAATTTTATAATTACAATTTATAATACAATATATTTTTTATTTACTCGAAAATAATTCACGCTAATCATTTGTGATTAGGCTTGATCTACTCGCTTAGTACGGTGAGAAACCCTTGCCAGGGAGCCATTCGCAGATGGGAATATAGATAAGCGCTCCAGATCTTTTAAATAACAGTCTCATTCCAGCAGGAGCCAGCAGCCTCGGGCATTTAAAACGATTATTTAAACTAAAATCACTCCATTATTCGTTTTATAAATTGCTAATATTGCTAATATATCAATAGCATTAACAATTCGTCTTTTCCAAGTAAATAGTATTTAGCAACAACTAAGAAAAAATATTTATGGTTTTATTTAGAGTAGTGGTGCTCATATTCGAATATCCTAACAATCTTTGGAGTTTCGAAAAAATGTTTAAAGGTTTCGAAATTTTTGCTTTGTATTCATTGTCAATGTGTAAGAAAATAACCATTTTTACCACTAAAAATCTGTTTCGCTTTGTTTGGTGACTCCTTTTGACTTTTCGGAATGGCTCTGCTTAATGTTTAAAGGAGGCTTTTTGGCTACGGTTTCATTTCGAGATAAAAATGTACGTGGTGAATCCCAATATTAAAATTATGGAAAGGCTTTTGTTTCATTCTATAGCCTTTTGAATTGGCAAATATTTGGAGATGTTAATATTTCCTCTCTATTTTTTTCTCAAAAGCATAAAAAAATTGCGACCTCATCGCAAAAAATTAAGCATTTTCGACCAGCCAACGTTGTTGTGATACCATTCTTAAAACAACACTCCCTATGATCCAAACCACGAGTTGCACAGAAATGAATTTGGTTGGCCGCTCGAATAGGACATGATTTTATTCCAAAGAACATCCCCAATAGCTGAAAATTATTGAACAAAAAAGGTTTAAAATTATGCAATTGTAAGAATCATCTTTTCGATTAAATAAAATAAATAAATATTTAGAATAAAAATAGATAAATATGAAAGAAAATTATTTTTTTCAAATAAATTTTTCAGAGTCATTTTGATAAGTGATCACACGATTCCTATAAAGCATGAGTTCAGACTAACACCGTTTTTCGTATAGTTACTGAAAGAACATATATCGAAACATTTTTCAGATAAGCCACCATTCTTGCAACATTCCAGAAATTCCTCATCTGGAGTCTGAATTGCAACGAATCGATTTGAAAAAAAATGAAAAAGTCAAAAAAAAAATAAAATTACTATCGCGAAAGCCAAATTTATGCTGTTTGTGAAATAATCTTCAAATTTTTAGCTCAAATTTTCATTTCAAGATTTTTAAAAACTTTTCTGGCCTTAGAAATTAGCTAACAGATGAATTTTTTCATACAACTGAGAAAGGTTCAATAAGACTAAAATCAAAATAAGAAAAAGAAATTTTGATAAAAAGAATTTTTTCAAAATGCTTTGATTTCGGTTCTTCTGACTCGAGAATTTGTTAAAAATCACCATAACAGAAGCAGCAATTAATTCATCATCATACACAGAAAACTTCTGAACATTTCTCGATTTTGCCGAGAAAGAAATTGTTTTCGATGCCTGTAATATTTCATCAGTTTTCTTTTCTTTGATTTATGCAAAACTATGGACAACTGGTAAGGGTAACGATTCTCACTTTGAAGTTCAGTTAATAGTTAGAAACCATATTACGACGAGATTAACCTTTGCACGAGCGCAAAATGGACCACCAAAAGCTCCATAACCACCAAAACCAAAGCAACAAGAACTACCAAAGAGGCCACATCCACCTAAGCCGAAGCACTTAAAAACGCAAGCATATTACTGTAATATTAAAAAAATATGCACGAGGGAAGTTCAAAAGAGCGAAAAAATTTTTTGATTAGAAGCTTGTTCCAGAATGAAGCATTAAAAATTTCTCATTTTATAGCATATTTCATTAAAATTTAGGAGCAAAATTATTGCACGATGCTCACATAGATAGAACCAAAATGTTGTGCAGAAGAAGTCAGAATTATCGAATAGTATGGTTCTTCGATCTCTGGCAAGTATCACGGATCGGATCCGGTTTTCCAATTCTAACAGAGATGAACCTATGTTTACAAAATCTGAATGATTTTCTCGATTCATTTTCACTTCAAATTCTGATTCCCTAGCAAAAATTAACAACTAGCGGAAATAGTCGAAAATGATAAGGCACTTATTTGCTTCTCCAAAAACAAACATTTGAAAGATAAAAATAAAACTTACGGCTTCTGCCAGAAAATTTCCTGAAATCAAGGAAAAGATTATTTCGGCGAGCATTCTCTTAGATGAAAATATTCGATAAATTTGTTGGTGATAGGTTTTATAAACTACAATAGCTCATTGACCTCGATAAACTTTTTCATCCAACAAAACTAAAATATTTAAATAAAATTTTCGCCAAAAATGATCCACCCTATTTCCTCGAGCGAATTCATACTGTCAAAAAATTTTCTGCTTACAGTAATGACAGAAAAAGTTCCATTGATGCCTTTTTTTATTACCTATTTAGTACTTTTCCAATAGTGGCTCAATGAGCATTTTATTTCCGCATTCTTCGACTGCAAAAAATGACAAATCCAATAGATAAATGCCCGAATATCAAGGAATTTTCCCTATTTAATAACCAGTTTTTTCCAATTTTTTCATTTGAATCATCATTAAAATATTAGTGATAAAGCGCTTAGGATCGCCTATTTAATTCTGAAACCAATCCCTATAAGCCCTTAAGTGATTATCGCTATTATAAAAACTAACGATCAATTACAAAGCATTCCACAGAACTATCGGAATTTTTTTATCAGTTCTTTAGTGATTATATTTTTTTCTTTAGAAAATCAACTGTGATGTGGAAAAATTATCAAGAATAAATTTTTAAGCAAAAATTTCAAATTATTTGAAGACAGTTAATATGAAAATGGCAGCAAATATTACATTACTTTATGAGCAAAACAAACAAATAAGTACAGATATAAACATGAATATATATATTTTACATACTATAATAAAATAATAGTCGACATAACGGGTGATGCAGGCGACTCACCTGCAGTTCCATCGCCAAGATACTGGTATATTTAGCCCGACAAGCCAGCGGAAGAAATCTAACCAGGAATAGTGAGAGTTCTTAAAAAAAAATTAGCCCATGTACTGACTGAACGGCAATATGCAAATTTAATAAGGAATTTTTATAGCCATAATGTTTAAAATTATTATTACAACAGCAAAATGAATCATAAGTTACGTGGATGACATAAGCCTGGAAAATGAATCATAGGCTACGTGGATGACATAAGCCTGGAAAAAAATAGAATGAGCGACGTAATCGTGACGAATGGTCGGGAATTTGTTTGTATGAACCAGATGAACTCTCATACGCTTCAGCTACTCGTTTATTAACCTAAATAATTATTTATGTCATTTATAATTTCAAATTGCGCTTCTTTGCATATTCACCCTATAGCGCGATATCTCATGGTGTGATTTTCCATTATTAAGAAAAAAATCAATGCTCTTCCATTACAAACGCTTACCATTGTTAACATAGACAGTATATCCAATCTGCGTGCATTTTTCGCGAAAACTTCACATATGCTTTGAATAAACCAACTGCCTTTTAATGAATTCCTCCAAGATACATAACCAGGAGTTGTAGCATATGAAATCAATATATCAGCCTCAATAGGTGACCTAAAACAATGAGAAATGAAAAGAATTGAGATATTTAATATAATGCAAAATTTAGTAAATGTTAAGTTCCAACTTTTGTGGCTTTCCTTATCCGCCAAATTTCAAGAACACCATTTTTAATAACATTATAACAAAGCTTTTTTGAATTTAATCATATCTGATTATTATGAATTTTAAAAAGATAAATATTCGAATATTTAGATTTACTATTCATTTTCTTTATTATTCATTATTAAAACTATTATTTTCTATTATTTCTATTATTATTATTTTTCTATTATTCTGTTAATAGTTTACTTCGATTTGACTTCAGGAGATGACTTCAGTTTTGCTTGAGAAGTAGTGCATGCAAAAAAATTTTCAAAAAAACCGTCAATTTGATCTTGGCTAGCATCAAACCCTCGATCATAGCATCCTAAAATTTACGAATAATATGTGTACAAGTTTAAAATAATCTAAATCATAAGAAACAGCTCTATTATTTCTTAACATATTCAATATATTTTTTATCTTTAAAATATCGTCGATCATTATAAATTATGGTATTAAAATTGTCTTACTTCCTCTACAGGCTTGTAAGAAGAAAATCTTGGGTTTGTGGGCAAGGGATGGGCAATTTCTAGCATTTAACAGTGAAACGAATTCTAGGACAGAAACACCAATTTCATCGGTGCCAAATAATTCACCATCTTCGCCATGAGTTAAAACAGAGATCATACAAGAGTCCACTGCCGCATGTTCAGGACGATTTGCAAAATTTTTGATGCAATGCAAAATTTCCTAAAAAAAAGCAAATCTAGAATAAAAAAAGAAAATGGCCTTACGACTGATTTGAGCTCACCTTCTCAACAAAAACTATTACGAGCTAAATAACTAAAAATTAGAAAAAAGTAGCAAACTTACTCTAGAACAGAGATTTCGATGGACCAGAACAACATAGCCAAGCTGATGGAATAAGCGATTAAGATTAACTTCATCGATATCAGTTCCTAATCGTTCAGGCATAGATACAAAATAACGATTATTGATGATTAGCGCTAAACCTCGAGGAGATGAAAAATTCGGATACATCTAAAATGAAATTTTTTTAAAATTACGATTCAAATTCAATCAAAAAAAAAAATCTCATAAAAATCTCATTTGTTCAACAAAATTTTGATCCATTATTGGAAATTATCTCAAATAAAGCTTAAAATTACAATACCTATTTTAATTATCGATAAATATTTCTAAATATTGTTATTACACACACTTCCTTCTACTTTTTTCCCAAAATAATATAAGCATTTTTCGACAAATTTATAATTATTCCATAATCAAGGATAAATAAAAAGATTGAGAAAGTAAGAAATACGCTATGTGCTTCAATTAATTAAAGATTCAAGATTTAAATAAACTAGTAAAATATAATTGCGAAGATAGGACAAAAAGAATTGATCAAAATTTAACCAGATGTTCATCAAAATTCAGCGTATCTTGTGGATCATTACTGTCAACACAATCGACATTTAAATCATCAAGTATCCCACTTGGTTCCTTCACTAAAATTTAATTCTCGAATATAAAAAGGAATCGAATTATAAGATGAAACAGTGATTCTTAAATTATTATTTGGTAGATGGTATTTGACATTAACATTAATTATTCATATTGTATGAGATCGTTTTAAGACTTTTAAATATACAATTCGGACAATAAGAATCCAATAAGTTGTAGTTTCTACCAATTGGAATGGATGGGTAATTGGTATAATGTGAATTTGCTAGCTACAGTCGCAATCAGATTAAATGGACTTAAATCATTAAATCATTAAAGCTCACTCGCGGACGAACATTAAGTTCGGCTTTTTCATTCGCATTATCAATGGAAAGTCTCTAACTACTTTATCGTTGCCTGTTATAACTCAACTAGAATGCAATATATGCATATGAACTGATTATGATCGAAAAATTAAATAAAAATAAAACATAAAAGTTATATTTAGGACAAACGAAATGCTGATTATTTATTAATGTCTCTGATAAATTTAACTTTTTTGGCAAAAAGTCACCATAAAAAACTTTCATCTCCATATTATTGAAGGTACCTTTTTTTTATTATATGAGATTCTAATGACTAAATAATTTAATCGAACTAAATCAGAATTCACGAAGAGGTAAAATATAAATTAGGATCGAGATCGATATATTCATATAATATCTTGTAAATCAAAATTAAACCAAAATTAAATAAAATTATTTATTCATTGTATTATGAAATTTTTGTCGTTTATTATAGTGTAAAATTTATTATAATGCAAAATCATTTATTATTTACATAAAATATATTTCGATTCCAGTTTGAACTATTTTTGATGGTCCTAATTACATAAAAGTATTTGGTTTCTGCACACTAATCACATTAATTTGTTCTAAGCTATAAGAATATCGAAATTGCGAATTTTTTTTCTATTGTGATAAAGTGCCAAATTATTTAATGTAAGTAGTTTGTTCGTTCGCTTTCGATTCGATATTTAAAAAATGTTAAAAGAATCCGGAAAACTCACAAGCATAATAATCTTGTAATCACATTTACAAGAATCAAGTAAATTAACGAATTATAAATTATGGAATTATAGAAATGAAATTTAAAAAAAAAATCGCATAAAAAATAAACTCTGATAATCAAAATTAGAATAATTAAAAAATACCTTTGATAAATTCAAATTCCTTATAATATTGTTCATTTTTTCTAATAGCTTCCGTTGTTATATTTTTTATATTTTTTTCCGGAGAATAGCTTTCACATATTTTTTCAATTTCAATCAAAGACGATGTTGTTCTGCAAAAACAAAAAAAAAACAAAAATCTGAAAAAACATTACAAATAATAACAAATCCAATCTACATAACTTTATTTTAATTTTATTTATTAATTTTATTTTAATATTAAAAACATTTTTTTGCACAATATTTTGCAAGACGAATAAGCATTAAAGCCTTGGCTTTATGTGCCTTTTAGAATTCGTATGAAACTCAAAAAGTCACATGCATTTCTATTCCAATTATTTTTATAAATTAAACAGTCGCAGAATTGCTGTGATAATCATCGAAGGTGGATTGCTCTGTGCAAATTTTTCGACATCTTTGTGCTTTTAATTTCATAATTACAAATGGAGTAAAAAACTAAAAATGTGAGAATGCAGTGCGACCTACATACATATATATACCTTAAATTAGAGACTTCCATATGTTCGGTTGCAGAACGCACAAAAAATACCACTCTATGTTTTCAATGATCTCATTTCTGAAAATTGAAAAAAATTTTTTTAAAAAAATATCTCAAAAAAATATTTAATTTTTATTATTTTCTACTGATGAGTTATTAAATACGAAGATGAAAAACAAATAATTGTGTAAAAATTGTGTTGAAAATTGAGTAAAACAAAAGAAATTCGTGCAAGATTAGCAAAAAAATCGCGTCCATAATGCGAAAAAATAGCGTAAAATAGCGAGCAAAATGCTTGAAAAGCTTTAACGAACAACGATTTATTTCAAACAAAGTCAATTGATATATTAAAAATGAAATAAAAAATTTAGTGATTGATTTACCTTAATGAATTATTTGCACCAATATTCATTTCCTTTAAAGTATCAGCATTTCGTAAGCGACTGCTTAAATAAGTTATTAATTATTAATTTTAAGAATTGCTTCATAACCACAACGATTATTTCCATAATTTTGGATTTTTTATTTCCTTCTGCGATAGTAAGAAATGTTCAAATATAAAAAGTGATAGAGGAAATGACAAAGTAAACAAAACGCACCAACAGACTGAACGAAAGTTCGCATAAGTTTCTTCCTTTTCGCTGATATTTAATCCATCTTCGAGAAGGCTTGCCAAATGCCTAAAAAATAGCATCTATATGAAATTCTTTCCTTTCCATTTAATGTAAATCAATTTTCTTGTATTTTCCTTAACGGAAATTTTTGAACAATTACTTAGCAATTAAACATTTTGTATGAATTTCACCCTTTTCTTATTTAATATTGAAATATTAATACTGAAATACGACGTTAATTGATAATAACTGATTAAGCAATTGATAATTTTGTATATAAGAAAATAATTTTCAATAAAAACTAGTCGATTCGATGAAAAAAAAAAGTCACCGCCATCAACCAATATAATGCAATAATTGCATGGTAACACTTGTTTCCTAATGCAAATACATCGAATAACACCGTTCATTTATGATGTTAAACAAATTCTAAAATGCTAAAACTTTTGGTGTTTCCGATGTCTAAAATAGGTACCGATTAAGGGACTGATGACGCAATTTGACACAAAATTCGTGAGTCATTGAAAAAACCGGTTAAAGAAGTTCAACGAACTTCATGAAATGCAATACGTATCAAATAATAAAAATCATATTTATATAATTTCATTTGAAATGTCTATAAGTTTTTTTAAAAAATTATCACTTATTGACTTATTTTCATTCAATAGGAAAAATTCTCAAAATTTGATAAAATTTTGAGAAAATAGAAAATTAGTAAAGCTTCTCATATCTTTCATATGCGAAATCCTTCCTGGATGATCTCTTAATGAAAGGAATAAATGAAATGAACAAAGATGAATGAAAAGAATTCACGTAGCTCATAAATATTCATTCGAATATTATATAAAATGCCTAATGGAAGGAATGGAACAAATGGTCAATTTTAATTGTCGTCAAATGGGATTTGTTGCGCAAAAAAATGAATAAGAATAAATTAATTTCTGGTAGCTTAAATTTGACGAATAGTCTTTCATTAAGAACTTTTCAAATTTTTCTAAACAAAAAAATTAATATAACTTTTATGAATTTTATAAATATTTTCCCATATTTTATTTTATTGCTATATTATTACATTTTATTGTAAGCAACGAAACTTTTAGCCATATCGCATTAAAAACGCGATATTCCATCCGAAAAATAGTTAATAGAGCGTAGGTTCGTTAAAAAAAACTTCACAAAAGAAAAGAAATAGTGAATGTTTTTCAGGAATATTTTTATATTTGGGTCGAAAGGCTTGCAAATAATTGTCTCATAATTGCTACAATCAGTGAAGCAAATCTATTCATTTATGCTTCGAATAATTAGACGAAAATTTAAGAAATATCCTAAAAATGACAGTAAATTTAATGGATTTCTTCCAAAAAAAATTGGAAATACTTTTGATTTGATCGGATCAACGAACGATAAAACTGTACGTATGCATTATTTCCACGCATTTCTAATTGTTGAATAAAACGATAACGTTGCATTGCGGGTGTCGTTTCGCTCGAAAATTCATTTTTATAAGTTATTTGCTGAGAAGTGGAGCTTTTTAAAATGAAAATGAAAAATAATACTGAACGGGGAAATTAATTTTTAATAAAAAGAAAAACCTTTATCACATCGACGTTATTTTCGTTGAGGATCGCGTTCGTTTGCAAATATATAAGCACTTCGTCAAGTTGCAAACTCTTCGTCCAAATCTCCAGCAAACTCTCCAAAATTCTTCGCCGTCTTAATGTCATTCCAATTTCATCCATTTTTTTCACGAATCACGAATTTGCAAATTTATTTATTCGTACAATTAGTAAAATAGGTTAAATTTTCTTAGCTGAAAAAAAATTAAAATCGAAAGAACGAAAGAGAGTCTATAAAAGCCAAAATAATCGGATGAAAAACGGATCGTAACAAAGAAAGAACAGGAAAGGTCAAATGCCGTATCAATAAATTAAGCGATACAATATTAGATGAAAGGTAAAGAGACGTAAAAAAAAGGTTAGTTGAAAAATTGTCATAAAGAAAAACAGACAATTGGCTTTGTGATGAGTTTTCAGGCGAATTGACTCGACCTTTAATGAACGGTTGTGACACAATATAACCTCTCATTCGAAAGGTTTAAAAGTCCATTATTTAAGCAAAAGGCTTTATCAATTTATCATTTTAATTTGACGATTAATGAAAATTTAAGTATTAAGAATTTTATCGAATCAACTGCACTCAATGCAGTTAAATGATATCAATGAAAAAATGAAATTATCTGCGAGATGCATAGTACAATAAGTCGCTGGTTAGAAATTGCATGAAAGATCTGTGTGATAATGACAATGATGATAAGGGTGATAATAATGATGATAGTTAGAAACAAACATTAAATTTGGTGATGATATATCGATGAATGACGAAGCTGATAACGATCAATCACCCTGAGGCTATCACACAGATTCATAATTATTATAAAGGTTTATTTAAAGTCATTCACCATATTCACCACGTCTCTGTAATTATTATTATCACAGACATTTCGCCACGAGTGTTTTGATTTTAAATTGAGAATACAATTTAATACTTTTAAGGAATTAATATTGAAAATTTTCAAATAATAAAATAAATAATTACAAGGAATTATAAAAAAAAGCAACTTTACAGCATTAAAAAAAGTACAACGAATAACTAAAAAATAAAATTTTAAAAATAAATCAATATATAATAATATATCCAGGCGATGCTGACGACCCACCAGTACTTCTATCGGCAAGCGACACCTTTGCCTGGTCGTAAATTTGCCCGATCTGCCAAGCCATGGAATGAGCCTAAGCAAACGTGATGAGCGCTTTTAGGAAAACAAATGTGAGATTCACTCATCCTTGGCTAGCTGGTCAATATCTACTCGACCATTTCAGTAAATATTGGGTGAGATGATAATGATGATCATTAAGTGTTAACGGTATATACCGGTGAAGTAGCAACTTGCCAAGTACCAGAGCTGTCCCCCCGTCTTACGAAACAGCATTAATTCTCTCTAAAATCACAAAAATGACTTTAGCCATGCGTTTTAAAAACGACATATACAAAGGATAATAAAAGCGACATACTTTGTACATAAATAAATAGTTTTCTCCTCTCCCCTCTCCCTCTTCTTCTTTCTCTTTTACCCGGGTATATCTAATATCTTCAGTTGATGCTTGTCAGCAGCCATCTGTCGATCCACTAAGAGCAATATAAACTATTAACATCTCCCCGCTATAAACATTTCACCGTAATTATCATCTCCCATCGCTCTAAATGACCTCTAAGTGACCTCTAAAGTTAAAAATTATGATCAAATTTTTAAGACAATTAGCGTACATTTAACTTGTTCCAAGTACAATAGCGCAATAAAGCCGATTGTTAGTAAAATCAACGAATGAAATGAACGAAATTTGATGTCTTTAAGGTTAATAAAAGGATAGAAAGATTTTTTAGCAAAGAAAATATAGTAATAAAAAGATTTTCATTGTTTTCATAAAAACAATTATCGACATATTAATAGTAATTTCAGGTGCAACAGGGCGTGGCTGAGTGGTCTAGTGGTATGATTCTCGCTTCGGGTGCGAGAGGTCCCGGGATCAATCCCCGGCTCAGCCCGACGTTTTTCGTCGCACTTATTATGCGAAGGAGGCTTTAGGCCGGGGAGTATGAAGATGTAAGTGGATTGGTGTTTGATTAGGTTGGATCTATTCCTGTATCGCTTTGATTGCACTTATTAAAACGGTAGTTGCTTTCTATTTGTTAATAAAGTTTTTGTTCACTTTCACAACTTTTAGTACGCTATTACAATTGCCCAATTTCACAACATATGCTCATAAAAATATTTCAAAAATCCATTTTTAATTTACATTTTAATGAATTAGAAAAATATTCACAAAATTTCAAATTAATTTCAAAAAAATTTCGAAATATCTATGCGAAAATAAATATAAAATGAATTTTAAATTATTCATAATTGCCATGATATTAATTAAAATAAATGCAGTCTTAGACCGCAAATCCACCACTTTACAAATAATTCCCATTCATAAAAAAGGAAATATCTATGATCCTTGAAATTACAGGTCCGTTAGCGTAATATGGGTTAGTAATAAAATACGGAACTGATTTGCAACAAGTTATTTAGTATTTTGGCACCAAAGATTTGATATTCTCTTATCAGCATAGCTTTTGCACGAATTTATCATTTGAATAAACTATCGATGAATTTAATATATATAATTAATAATTAATAATTGATTAATTATAATAATAATTGTAAATAATAATTAATAATAAAATAATAATTAATAATAATAAAATAATAATAATAATAATTAAATAATAATTAATTGTAAATCCTGACTTTTCCATAATATACGCCTACATTTAAATAATATAATTTTGTTTCGTTAAGAATTAGAAGAATTAAGCCAAGCCTGGCGTTCATATTTAAGTTAACATTTGGCATTGATTTTTTTTAAAAAGCAGAAGTACTCACAATTACTGGTAGACTCGCTCCGCTCGCATGACGGACTGTACAAATATGTCAGGGAGTCCTTGGAACATTGAAATGTAGGTTTTGACATAGGCTGCAAAAAATATTATCATTTTGATTTATATTTTAATGAGAGAGAAGTAATTGATAATGCTCATGCATTTCGGTGAAAAGAGATATTACGGTTCTTACCTTTGTAGTGTTAAATATTCACCTATACGCCACCATCTACCGTGATTTTCACCTCAAAAATATTTTAAAAAATCATTTTTAACAAAGTATATTTAGTTTCATTTTCATTATAGTTTATCACTTATAATATTTATTTCCCATAACCCAAATCATTTTCTTTTTTTTCCTTTTTTCATTCTTTAATTTGAGTTCATAACGTAGCATTTATTATTCTTCTCGAATAAAATTTTGTTGCTAAGGGCAGTACTACTGATGTTTTTATACCTAACAAAATAACGAAGCTTGAAGTCTAAAGGAAATTTGGTGCAATTTCAAGTGGTGTTAACGAGATATGCTGGGTCAGGTAGGATTTAAAGTGATATTGCAATGGGTCAATGATAGGTGGTGCTTTGAGATGGACTAATTCTAAAGCAGAATAATTGGAGCACTATTTATTGGAGAATGTGAATCCCGATAGAACTTGGCGGGTTGAATGAAATAGACGATTTTTTTCCCAGAAAATTATTTAAACACATATTATGTTATTGCTCAAATTACCATAAATATTAAGCCGTCTAAATCGCAGGCACTGCACCAATATAAAGATTAAACTTCGAACCAAACTCCTACATACTCACCACGAATCGAAGACCAGTTTCCATGCTGCATCTTCTCAAATACAAAGTGGATAAGTGTAAAACTCCACCTCCAAAAAGCAGATTCCACTTCCTTCCACCTGTTAAAATCTTGAAATCTTCGCTGAGCTTAACATCGCAACGACACACAATTCTTTGCTATAATGCTCATTACTCGGCTAAATATTTGAAAAAAGCTTTCCAATTTTCAGCTCTACAATGTGTAGCACCACAAACGAGGAACAATCTAGATAAAGATACTGATATGCGTAGAATTTGAATGCATGAGCTGTCAGCTGGGCTTAGACAATGAAAAACAGTGTAGCTTCTATTACTTCCAGATACGATCAGACCGAGAAGCATGGCAACGCCTCATTATTTTCGTCATTTTAACTATAAGCTGTTAGAGGAAAAAAAATTTTAAAAAATCCAATGTGCACACAAATTAAAATCGTGTAAGATTTTATAAACACTTTAATTACATTTTAAATAATTTTTTCAAACAATTATATTTCAATGAAACTTTTTTAATTATATTTCAATGAAACTTTGTCGAAATCATAATAGTTAATATAATACAGCAAATAGCATCAATTTATCAAACACCCTTCAATTTTCGAGATCAGTTTGATGACTGCCAGTCGATTTTCAAGCTAAAAAAACAAAAAATTAAAATTACGTTAGCTGAATTACGCAGGAATTAAGAAAATTAAACATACCGATCTCTAGCAGCTCGTGCACCAGAATCCTTCCTGCTAGTACAATGCTGGCCAAACAGTGAACTTGTAAATTTTAGCAAACTCATGTCAGCATCATTGGTCTCCGCCAGTGCAACAGGTTTCTGACGATTCAAGTTACTTAATGGGCCCAAGCAATATTTTTCAAAAAAATCGACAATATCATCCTAAAATTTAGCAAGTAGAAAAAAAAGAAATGCATTTTAGGCTTACTCCGCTGGGATCAAAAGGCCATTTGGCTCAAGAAATTTAACTTAGCAAATTCAAAAGAACAAAGGAATGAACATACCAACAACGCACGTTGAACGGTACGCTGAGTGAAACGTTCAGTAGAAAGACGTAGCGACGAAACTTGCAAATTATTATTCGCAGAACCAACTAACATCACTCCTGCTGGAGCTAAAAATTGATGAACCTTAATGAGGATATTTTATTAGCGATCATAATAGAAGGCGAGAAGTTTTAATACTTACCAATCATTCGAGAAGCCATTCTCTGAAGTTCATAAATATTACAGTCAGTTGATTTCTCACCAACAATGAAGAGAGTAGGGCAATATGTTAACAATATATCATCATCAACATCCTAAATAATGACATCCAAAATTCAAAGCAAATTTTAAGAAAGTTTACCATAAAAATTAGTTTTAATACATTTAATAAAAAAATGATCTTTGCTTCCATAGTTTATAATTAAAAACAAGTGTTTGCCAAAAAATACTGAAACCATACCCCTCGCATCCCTTCAACTGTTTTCATAGGAAATGCGAAATTCACTATAGCAGAGATATCCGATGTGCACTGCACAACCTTAAAACAATTTGCAACAATAGATTACAAGCGATAATGACCTAATTTTTTTCATGTTCCATCAAAAATAAAATCTAATAACAGCCAAATGTGCGCAAAAATTAATTCAAGCCAAATGGTACTCATATGGACAGAATGATCGAATGATCTGAATAGCATCGACAAAAATTTGATAATATTCTTTATTTCTAATAGCTTATCAAATAAAACCGCTAAGAAATCAAACCAAATTAAATTTAAAATTTTACCTGATGATTTATTAAACCAGAGAGTCCCCAACCAACTAAAACAATCTTCTTACTCGGGAACCTTTTGTGAACTTCATTAACTTTTCTACAAACCAAAGTTATAGCATAATCAGCCGCTTCGCAAGCAGAAAATTCTGATGAAATTGGCAAACATAATCGAACATGCTCGACATAATGAACAATATTAGGCAACAATATTCTAAAATCTAAGTTGGATGTGATGTGATTTAAAAATAAAATTTGCTTATGACTCATCCATTAATAAACCATAATTTCGAGTGACATCACATGACCAAAATGATGTTTCAAATATTTCGGAAAATTATGGGTTTTCTTGTCTGTCCTCAGTACTTTTCAATCTAATTTATTAAAATTTTTTTGATAAAAACTAGCGGGAACACAAAATTACACTGCTCTAGAACTATTAAAATAACAAGCTTAGTAAAACCTGAATAAGTAATCATGGCTCTTTATTTTTGGATGATAGTCTCCAGCGTTAATATATGGACCAACAGCGATCAGGCAAATAGAATCTACTCGACGTTTCTGAAAGAATTTATATATTGCTAAATATTTTTAGCCTAAACTACATTATGATAATATATATTAATATTAGGACTATATAACAAAATCACTATCTTTTTTCGAAAGTGCTTGGTTATTTTTTGTGTAATACAAATGCTAAATAATCCGTCTTCTATATGAATGATAATAGATAAAAAGTGTGAAAAAAAAAACAATCGTTATAAAAGACATTCCCAGAAACTATGAAGTTGTGATTACATATGAGACAGTAAAATATCTAATGCAAGAAAAAAAAAAGATTAAAATTATCAAATGTAACACTTTCTGAAACGCCTTTTTGAATGTGACGATTGAGAACACATGACTGAAATTTTAAAACAACCACAAAAGTTAAAAACAGACTAGCGTAACACTAACACTTAATGTTTTCGAAATAGCAATCGTTTGTGGATCGTAAACTTTGGACAATATAAAATCTCGTATCGGCTGAATTAAAGATTTTATCTTATCATATGAATCTTTTTTCAGGATTAAATCGATAAGATGTCGATCCTGAAACAAAAAATTAAAATCAAGAATTCCTGAAATCAACCTCTTTATTGAAAGATCAGTCTAATAAATTCCGTTTCTTACAGAAATTAATCGTATATTAAAAAATATATAAAAATATAATTAAAAATATATCTTACCATTGTTTTACAAAAACGCAACATATTGATATAAGTTGCGAGAATATTAATAGGAAGATTTTCGATAAGCGACTTGTGAGCCCATATAACGTTATCACGTCTTTCCTGCATGTACTTTCATTTATTTCAACCATTCCAATGATTTTTAAAGGCGAAATATTCCAAATTCTCAAGACGATTCTTTGAATTTTCACCAACAAAAATCAAAATTTCAAAAAAAAACCTGGGTGAATAACAACGCCCGATCCCTCAACCTATAACAGTTTTTCATCATCGTATCGTATTGTATTGAAGCGCCGCCAGTAACATTCTCAGAAACTATTTCCGATGTGTACTGACTCATTATTATTTTAATTAGATCCTGAAGAAGCTCCTTACGTTCCGCTGATTCAGTTTCAATTCTGGAAAATTATATCTAAATTAAATTATAAATTAATTACATAAACAACTTTTCTACAAACATAAAAAATATGCAATTTATTTTTTACAGATTTGATATATCATCGACAGTAAGCTCAACTGATTGGCCATCATCATCCGTATTTGTCGGCCGTGGAATTACACGACATATGCTACGAGCGATTTCCAGCGCTGGATTCACCGTCCCCACATCATCGTCATCACCCTGAGGTAAGAGACCATCCACAACAATTTCCGCATCGTTCTGTTTTCTCAAATCTTCTCTAAAATAAACCTGTTCCAGCAAACCAAAAAAACTTAAAACAAAAATTCAACAGAATTCAGATATTTCCACAAAATTTACTATGATGCATTTATTACCCTCCATGACTATCCTTATCAATTATTTATAAATCCGTTAGAAAAGCACTGCTATTAATATAACCAGAAAAATACAGAAATACCCTGCAAGACTAACATATTCTTGTGGTTTATGGAATTAATTAAAAAGCGATTATATAGTAGACAGATTACACTAAAGGCTAAGTGGGCGAATACACTTAAAAACTGCTAAATTATTATCATCTACACATTTTATTATACAACATCTAATAAGTAGCAATAAACTGCCTTCTCATTCAGAAAAGAATCTAATTCATGCAATATAAACCTCACCCACGCCAATGATCCTACTGAGGGTAATAAATGCCAAATGGAATATGAGAACAAAAAAAAAACAAAAAATAAAAATGATTATTATTACTAACGACCACTCCGGTAATTCATTAATTTGTTTAAAGCGCTTACAGTTAGAAATAAAGAGTGTTCGAAAGAAACGAACCCTCTCAGCAGTATTTCACGATAAAAAATAGATGAATCATTGTCAGAAGATCGACTCTTGAGCCCTATGGCGAACGGATTCAATTTACGCCGTTGAGCAATTCTCTTAAAGTATGGCACTGGTTGCAAGCATTGTGTTCTAAATATTAATAATACATCCACATCCATATAATTAACATATTACCTGCTATTCAATGACTGGAAAATGGCTAACAAGCTGTATGATCAAAATTTCCTCCTCTTTGATTTATACTTCATTATTTTTTCAAAAATTCCATGTGTGAAAGGAAGACTAAATATGAGATCAGAATCTTCCACGAAATCCATATCTCTCTCTCAGTAATCTTTCACCTCATACCCACTCCAAATCACCAAAACTTCCATTCATTTGCCAGAATTCAAACTCTAATATCCCATCTTCAAAATTTGTCCAACTCTAATAGGCTCTTTTATTTTCCCTAAAAACTTTTTCGAACTTATTTTTTCCTCATCACTTTGTTCAACCCTTACTATTATAGAAAAAGTTTTCAACTATCTACGATACTTCCGTTCTACTCAATGATTTGACCATACCGTCCAGATCACAATTTTCGCTTTTTTTCCTTCTCTTTTGCTCTATTTCGAAATGGATAATCAGAAAAAAAATGAAAAAAAAGGAGAATTTGTATTATTTTCTTAAGTAATCACTTCACTTTTCATCCATGCAATAAATGAAAAGAAAACTGCTTTAAAAAATTACCTCAATTTTTGGTCCACATTTTTTGGAAAATCCACATTACCCACATTCATCGATGCTTAAAAAAGGTAGCAAAAACTTGAAAACTTAAAATATATTAAATTTAAATTTCGCTAAATCTGAATCAACAGAATAAAATTCATTTCTCAAAAACTTAAATTTTGAAAATTCAAAAATTTTCATTTATACTCACCTTTCGCATGCATTTCTTCGAATTCTTTACAAAAGTCTTTGGAATCCAATAATATAGGTGGCAGAGGATCAAAAAACATTTCATAGTGACTTTCTTTTGAATGTTGTCGTCGTTGACCAATATTATTATCATCATCTAAAAATTTAGAATAGATACCTATCTGTTGCAAAATTAAGCGTAAGAAAAAGTTTACTCACCGTCATCTGGTGAATTGTTAGTATCTGCATTCACGTTGTACATCCGTCTTTTACGTTCCAGTGCAGATCCATCTCGCCGATACATTTTTTGAGAGTGTTCAAACGGTGATGAAGCATGATTTGAAACAACAGGTAAATTAAGTGAATCCTGTTCTTCCAAGGCATTGTCCTGAATATAAAAATATTCCATGAAATACCATTTCCTAGTTTGAAAATGAAATGCTTCAATCTTCGTCCAAAATAGAAATAAACATGAGACCATATTCTTAATAAAAAACACCGAAATAAAAATATTTTAATTTCTTTTTTTGTTGTACTCCAGATCAATATAAAAAACTGCTAATCATTTCTACTCTTTTAAATATTGTATTTTTTAAAATACCAAACAAAGTTTTCATTAACTAAAAAATATAAGAACCTTCAATATTTCAATCATAGTACTGCCGATGTGAGCTTCTGCTGTGCTACTTGTTTGCGGGGTTCCGTGTTCTACAGTTTCTTCCACACACTTTTCAGCTGCAAAGTATACGAAATTGTTTCCTATATTTCAACATAGAAACATAGCAGTAATAATGAATCAAGAAGATATATTACCACAGTTCACGAAAAAAATGCATTAATTGCTTACACTTTCTTTCATTTTCTCTCACTTTCTTCGGCGGTAACTGATTACTATTGGACGCTTTACGTCGCCTAGAAGAAAACAGTTCAGGAAACAATTCTTTATAAGTAACAGATTTAGGGCGTAAATGACGACCAGTAGATGTTTCTTTTCCTTCATCGACTAATTTGAAATCAACTGCAGCGTTAGCCTATTATTTAAAGAATAAGTGATAAATTTAATTTTAATTGAAATGAGCAAAATGAACAATAAAACATAATTAAAGCAAATAAAATTATGCAAAGCAAGATAAAGAATGAAGCGAAATAGAAACAGTTACCTCATACTGCTGGACTGGAGATGTGAAATCCATTCTCAAATCAATGCTGGCATCTTCGCTTTCAGTCGTGAAAATATCATCATTTGAGAAAATATTTTGCAAAGAATTTTCACAACCCAATTTACTATTATCTGATTTGTTTGAGGAAATATTTTGCAAGGAAGTTTCAAAACCTGGTTTATTAAATGATTTCTCTCTCGACTCCTGCAAGATAATATGAACATATAGCATTTTATGGTAATTGCCTTATAACAATTTGCTATTGGTGTATGTTCCCAGCAAAAATTATTGTATTTCTCCATTATTGTGAAATTTGCCAATTTCTTTCCCATCATCCGCAAAACACCATCTCTTAAATCCGACCACTCACTTTCATTTCCAAAGTATCATTTCACTCTAACCTGTTAGCAATACTGTCGCCAAGCCAGCGTGAAACCTTTCCTCGCTTTACCTCCATAACAAATTTTTGAGTACCTATGCACTAAGGGAAAATAATAGCTGCCATACTCCTTTGTTAATAAAATATCACAAAAATTTGGTGATGAGGTAAAAATTGAAATTATAATATATAAAAAAATATAATTATTACAACAGCAACGATGGATTATTGTGCTCTTGTAATATAAATATTTTCCCTATTGTTATTAGTATAGATAATGAAGTGTTTAAACTATACTAGTAAGCAGTTTTATCAATTGTTAATAAAACATCACAAAAATTTGGTGATGAGGTTTAAAAATTGAAATTATAATATAAAAAAATATAATTATTACAACAGCAACGATGGATTATTGTGCTCTTGCAATATAAATATTTTCCCTATTGTTATTAGTATAGATAATGAAGTGTTTAAACTATACTAGTAAGCAGTTTTATCAATCCCAACTGTTGAAAGTTATATTTATTTAGTCGACATTGTTATATTTATTTCTACGTAAGTCGACATTGTCTCTAAATAAAAACTATCTTGCCACTGAGCCACTCAAGCACCAAAAAATGAAACCATGGCAAAAGACTAATCATTTACCATATAACCATTAACTGTCCATTCTAAACTCCTCAGTCTATCAATTTAAATCCATTTCTACTATATCAATTCTCTCAAACTCAGTTCAATGTCACCCAACTCTCTCTGGTTATCTTAACGGCCCGTCAAACTTCGCAATCCACTTTTGCCAAAGATGACGTTCCAAGTTGTAAAAATACAAAAGATAGAATAAGAGTGGTTAGGTGTATCCAAGAAGATAATCCAAGGTAATCAGGCAAAGTCATAAACAAAGTCTAAGTATAATAGGAAAAAGCCAAGATTCGAAGACAAATCCTTAGTCTATAGAATTGATCCTCTTACTAATTTGAAATATCCTTACATTTAAACGATTATTGAAAGAAATCAGTATGAAAAAATGACCAAAACCTCATTATAAATGGATTAAACAAATGCAACAGTATGTTTATATATATGTTATGTAATAATAGATATATATTAAGTAATATATTAATAATAATATATTAAGTACAGAACTTTTCATAAAATTTTAGAGTTAAATACCTTCAATTCTTGATTAGGAGAATTGTTATGCTCTGAAGAACAGCTTGACGATAAGATCTGACTGTTACTATCTCCAAAAGCCGTTTCGTCGCACTCTTTCAAACTAGTTCCGAACCTGAATAATAGAATCTATTAAAACGCATAGAAACAAAGTTTTGTTAATATTAAATAATTTCCTGATTACTGATTGCCAGTTAAAATTAGTAACTGCAGAAACCTTTGCTTTTGATTCACACCGACAGTTCCCCCTGAATTTAGATATTTCTGACGCGAAGAGGGCCCAGGTGGCGAATATTCTTTCGAGCGAGCAGGTTTTCTTGCACGCATTTGCCTTTTATTAGGTAATCGAATCCTGAGAGGAGGAACTATGCGACGTTCTTCGGGAAGCCGCAAAGGTTCGGTTATAAGATCGCACGGTTTCGCATTAACTTCAGTTTGTTCACTTATTTGTGATATTAACTCGTCTAAAGCGCATTTTATTTCAACCTTAAAAAAACAACAGATAATTTTCTTCTGAGCCAGTTAAATAGTGATATCATAATGAACAAAAAGCAAAATAACAAATACACTATTTTTGATGAACTTTCTTTGTTCTTGTAATTGAACTTTATAAAAATGAACTTCTCAAATTCACTTCTCTCTGAATACCTAAATACCTTCACTTACCGCTATATCTTCACTGAATTCTTCTTCATCCTTCCAGCTGCAGTTCGATCTGTCCTTAACAACTGCTGTAATCCTTTTGTCATCAATCGACTAAAATAAATAAAAATAAGGTAAAGTAGCAAATAAAATGAAATATATTCCATGGCGCCAAAACTAAAAAAACGAAAAATCAAAATTACTGCGTCATCCGATTTATCCACTTCATTACTGGAAGTTTCTTGAATAAGAGGAGGATGCATTTCGACCTAAAAAAAGTCGCCTTTTTCATTATTTAAACGCGAAATTTTTTCTTTTACTTCAGTCTATAATTATAATCGGGATGAAAATGGGACCGATCTCATGTCACTGATTACAAGCAATACTTCTACGATAAGAGAGAAAGATTATGATAAAACTTGAAGTCAGAAATACACAGAATATAAAAAAGCAATGGACGAATACCACTATATGCAGCTAAACTTATTTTTGTTTTCTAATTTTTCAACTTAATTTCACGTTCAATGAAGACATAGGGAAAATTATCTAAAGCAAACTGTTCAAACCTTTTCTGATTTTTCGCTTAAATCATTTGAAATGTGAATCAAATGTTCCAATTTTTCCCATAATCTTGCTGAACGTTTTTTTTTTATTATAGAAGAAATATCATCAGATTTCGAAACAACACTAATCGATTCCTTTTTTGAACGGGTTTTTGTGGAATAAATTGAAGTTCTGTAAAGACTGTATATCTGCTTTTCTATTTTTATTTTTTTTAGAAATCTTAGCAAAATTCAGCACAAAAAATCGATCTTCACCAAAAAACACACACATGAAAGTATTTACGATTCCGAGTTAAAAAAAACCTACTTTTTTCCACGCCGAGGACGTTTAGAAGACAATAGTGAATCACCATTTTCATTGTTAGAATCCACCATAGCTGATTTCACAGAATCAATCATTTCGAGCTTTTTTGAAGTTACTGATTCCACACAAGCAGAAACTAATGATGCTTGTTTCACAGGAGATACTGGTGCTAGTTTCGTTTGTAAATTGTCTGACAATGTATCTTTTTTTTTCGGCTGTGCTAAAGAAATGTGTCTTTTTTGAAAATTATGCGAAAATTTGACTTTGTTTTTGCAGACTGCATATTTCTGATAGAATAAATTAGCATTAAAACTTCGAAATTAAAAATTTAAGACGAAAGGATCTTTTTACACGATGGGATGATCAAAAAAGTACAAAAAAAACCTGTTGAAGAAACTGAAATTCGTCTTGGAATACGCTTTTTGCGGCGATTGATAAAATTAGGCGGTAGAGAAAATTCTACTACGGGAAGAGAGATCAATTTTTTTGTAAGATCTGACAGGCATACAACAACGGAGGTTTTACGTGGACCAATTAAAACTGAAAAATTATGCTAATGTTTAAAAAAATTCAATCAGACTGAAAAACAATGATTTATTTCTGGTTAAAACAATTATAAAAAAACTAAAGTTATTATCACACATTTTCAAGGCAAAAACAGCGACAAAAACCACTGCTATGGCGACATATAGTCCTGAATATGAAGAAAGCTGCTCAAAAATAGCGATAGGCAAAATCAAGAAATGATTCGAAATAATGGTAACTCATGTCTATTAGCGCTCTAGAAGACTTCTCAAAATGGAGATCTTTGATGCAAAATTTGAGGATGATACAACATATCAACTCATATAATCGATTTTCGACTCTTCGAGCTATACGATTGTATGCTGTGCTGTGAACCATAAAATAAGAAAATTTGCAAATAATCGGAAATTTAAGGCAATAAAACTCTCGGAAAAGATATGCTCTCGACTAAACCTTTCAAACAGCGTCCAATTTTCTTTGCAAGGTTCTCATCTTCACAGGATGTATTCACAACATGGAAAAAAAAGATATAATTGGAACCAAGCAATATTGCTTCGAATTCGAAAAAAAGGCTGTTGGTAGGACATATTATGACAACTATCAATGAATCAGCTCATCAGATATCCTGGGAAAATCTCCCTTTCCCTGACTTACTAAGCATTATAGCCAAATTGGATTTAGAACAACTCACGCCGAAAAAATGAGTTGGGACATCGCTTCCAGCCTATGGTCACTTACTTACTTTATTGATTTTATAGCTATTTTCAATTTGAAAAATTCAATAACACTTTCGAAAACCATGCTACATGATGTTTCAAAGATCATTCCGCTTAATAAGGCGTTTTACCAACGTAAGTAGAAGTATGTGTAGGGAATCGAAATAATGACTGTACAGACTGGAATATTTTAAAGCATTTATTCATCTCTCAAAATGTTCAACTAAGCGACAGATTGGATTATGGATACATCTTGCGGTACTCAAAAGATATACAAGCCAATTCAGAGGAAAATATCACAGATAAATACAGCCATGACGCCGCTATTCTGGCTCAAACTTATGAAGAACCGATACCAAATAATGTGCAGATAACTACAGCAGAATAAAGGCACAGGATCATCATGCATATATATGATCAACTAATAACAATGGCAGATAATTTCGTACTATTCACACAAGGCTTCGTACCATTTGTATTCAAAAATAATTTCGCAATTTACAAAAAAATCTGAAACTTCAGTCTACTATGCAATGCTTTATTGTCTATTCTAAAAGATTACAACCAAAAGATATGAGAAAACTCGATAACACCCTTCCCTGTATTTCCTGTATTCGAAAGATTTTATCGCATGTTTTAAAATGACCCTTAAACTCCCCTAAACTGGCCGAAAATCGTCATTTACATATACCAAAATGAATACGCGTTTTATACAAGAATGAACAATCAGAAATATTGCGCCTTCAAGAATTAGAGGCGTTGTCCTCTGATGGAAGAATCATCACATGTTCATGTGGTATTTCAATCACTCTATATTGAAGCATACTTTATTTGAAGTTTTTTTCCTCATTTTTGCGTTTAATTTCAATTTTTATTGTAACGTCAAACTTCGTTAGCGTCACTAGTACAAACTTAAATGAACAATACAATTCCCCGGTGAATAGCTCATATTCAGACATGTTTGAACAAATTATTGCTGTCGAAAAAAAATGGCCGAAAAAGAAAAAGAAAGATGTTCGAAATGCTTCTTTCTTTCTTTATGCCAAACCTTTGGGGAATTGTCGCGAAACCGATAATAAAATCGAAAGTTCACATCTATCTAGCTGCAATGCACAAAACTACTACTACTATTTCTAACAGCTCTCACCATTACTGGTTAGGCTGTTTCCGCTGGCTACAAGGGTAAGACTCTCCAAGCTGTTCGGTCCGACTCCATTGTTAATAGCAATAGAAGCCATTCCTTTTTCCACCGTCTAAGTCCATATTGAAGAATCACACTTCTTCAAAGAACAATTTTAAAAAAACTACACGTTCATAAGAGCTATTTTTACTTTTCTTAGATCGCCGCACTGGTGATGGCGAAAAATGTCGCTTCGGAATAATTAATCTTGACTGAGATAGCGGATTCTGCGAATAAACACGTGGTGGCCTAAAACGAGTAATACTAGATGATGACTTGACAAAACACTTTTCTGCAGCAGCAGGCTTTGCCGACATTGCTAATTCCTCAGTCTTTAAAAACTTTGGTATTGAAAGAGAATCCGATTCTGATGGAGCAACCACCATCGAATCCTAAAATTGAAAAAAATCATAAATCAAAGAGAGAATGCTATTAATAACAGGAAAGATATGAAATGTTATTCTGTCGACAATTGTCGTAATAAGAAATATGAATTTAAATCCAAATCTAAATGATAACTAACTCTGATACCCGAAAATAGGCTCATAAATATCCTAAATGATCTACTGTAATCTATGAACTCCATAACCCTTTGGCAATACATCTTTGCAGCCAAGTAACCAAATTTTTCATATCATACCTTTGCAATAACTTCCTTTTAAATTTTGACAACTCACGAAATTCCGTTCTTTTTCTCTTAATATAAAAAAACACCAAAACTTCATCAAATCTCACTGTACATTTTTGCCATACATCAGCAAACATGACTTTACCATGAACTTCCTCATACTATGATAATCTAGACAAGATCACAGCAAGTTCCCTAGAACCTGCAATGGCTCTCCAAATCCAAATTCTCAAAATCTCATTTTAACGCATTGGCATCCTATATCCTATTCTCATTTGACATAATTAGTTTTGTTTTAACCTTATCATACTATAAATCCTCAATACTCTTATCATACCTTTCTTCAGCGTCAAGCCTAGTAGTATATTTTTGTAGTGCTGAGAAAGAATTAAAGAATTTGCTGGTGCGAAAACAGAAGAGTAGGATTTGAAGAGATTTGCAAGGATTACAAGGAATTTTGAGTAAATGGCAAAGATTACACTAAAGTTCGAAATCGTTTTTGCCGGCTATTGAATCGAATAGAAAAACCAAAAGAATAAAAGAAAAAAAAAAGAAAATAAAGATATAAAGTTAAGTTAATGCGATTATTAATACCTCAAACATCTTGGCTGACTTTGGAGTGCGAATTCTAGCTTCCGCTTTCTTTCTTTGTTCTTTTGAATTATTCTTTGGAATGCTGGAATGTGCTGACCTGTTTAACACGACTGGTGTTTCCACTGTTGATACCACATCTACTTGCGGAAGCGATTTACGACTTCTTATTCGTTTTCTAGCAGAAAAGAATTTAATTCATAAATCTGAGAGAAGTCAGATAAGAATAACAAATAACAGTGACAGATAAGAATAAATAATAATAGTGTCTACATTATATCATTAAGAGGTTGAACAGTTGTATTATAACGACGCTGATTTTTTGAAGTAGTTGGGGCTGCTGCGAAATTGTTTGATGTAAGAAGCAAGTTCCCTTGCTTTCGCTGAAAAAAAAAGCATTTCCAAAATAAGAATAAGGTGACCTTTAGAAAATTAAAAATAATAAAAATATCGCCTCAGGAATAATCCTTCAACGAGTTAAAAATGTGAATCCTTCATCAATTCTTGTAAAGGATATTTAAAAAGAAATGAGAAAAAAACTAAAAAATAGCACACAAAGATAAACGAGTAAAAATCTAATAAAATCAAGTAATTTTTCAACTAAAAACTCTTAAGACGGTATGAAACGAGTAAAAAATGACTATCACCTTGCTTTATCAAAACAAAAAAATACCTTTAAATCCTCATCATATTCACGCTGTTTGGCATCTGTTGCAAGAACTTTTTGTATTTCAGCAGGGTCGATTTTGCTTTTCAAATAATTGACCGATGTTCGTCTCGATAAACTGGTCTTATGTTTCGACTACAAGAATAAAATTTATTTGTAAAAAACATCAGAATGAATTTTAAAATTTAACACCATCTTGCTACTCATTGGTACAATGGATTTCAAAGATTCTGAAACTGCAACTTCTTAATGAAAAAAGCAGAATTAAAAGTATAAAGGTAAAGCAAAGTAAAAGTGAATAAAAAAAAGTCATAAAAATTTTTTATGAGAAAAACTTCATTCAACTGAGTCTCGAGTATCATTAATCGGCTTATTCACTAATTGGCTTAACCGAATATTTGGCGAAATTTGCATAATTCGCAGACGAGTAAACCAAAGGAAAAATATTATTCATAACACATAAAATCAAGACGTTAAATAAATTGTTTGTTGATGAAAATGCATTTGACATCATTATTAAAAAACTTTAATTCTGCTAAAAAAATTACACAGTAATAACCTGAGCTTCCTAGCCTGGACGATATTTAATATATATGAAAAGCATACTAGATGGACCTTCCCGGCTATTGCTTAGACAAAGGTTAGAAATGAAAAGGACATTTAATATTCACAAAATCTTAGGGATACTCCGGGGCTCATCTTTAACGCCCTTAAAACTCGAGACTCAACTGCATCATAAAATTTTAACATTTCATGCAAAAAAAACAGTCAGAATTAAACTTACAACAGATGGGGAATCATTGGACGATTTGTTTGAATACATTTGAATACAGCAGAAATTTTATTAAAATGCTAAAAATACAAATATAATTAACAGTAAGTATTTTTATGATAATACGGTATTATTATCACCACGTTTATTAGTATGTCTAAAAAAATCATGTAGGTTGCGGGTAGACAAAATTATCAGAGACTTGCATACCTCAATACCGATTTAAAACCAATTATATTCCCTCAAAACCGTTTGAGCCCTTATCTAACGCTTCAAAAATCGCAAAATTTCTTTAATTCACCTTTAAAATGCATCGATATTCTTAGTCACTGTCACCCTACTTTTATAATTTTATAATCTGAGACTGCGATAGAAGTAGCAGAAGTGAAGTGCAAGGTCCAATGAAATGTTGAAGACGCATAATGGGGATGTCATCATAGAGTATTCAGGTGCTATTACTAGGCATAGATAACGGTAAGAAAAGGTTTAAAATGATAGCTACCAATAAACTATGAAGAATAAAGCATAACAGACTATGAGTGCAATAGGGTTTTGGAACGTTAAGAATGATATTTGAAGGAATTTGCAGCGGTTTCCAACAAAAATGAGTTATAAGGGATATGATATGGCCAATGGAAATTTCTAGGATAATATGGCGATTTTTTTAAGGAATGGTTAACAACAATAGAGTGCAGTTGGATTTTGGTTCGACGGCACGCTAGTTTACTGGTGGAGAGAAAAAGCATTCAACTGAGTAAACAAATTTTAATGAAATTAAAGAAATATTTTAATATTTAATTTTTAAAAGTAGGATATAGTTTGAAAGGGAATGGAAAGGGATAGAAGATATTTTGGGGAGTGGAAGACTATAACAGTTTTTAGAGGAATCTGCTAAGCAATAGATAACAATGTTATCGAAGAACAATTAGGTTAATGGGAATATTACTAGTGGGTTGTGGTAAAAATATAACGAAGTCTATGAGCGGAGCTTCCGCTAGAAGGTATATCAAGTTGTGAAAATGTTATAGAGATAAGGTAGGATATGGAAGAATGAAGGGTTATACACGATCTATAACAATACTGACGAATGGGAATAAATCATTCTGGAGCTTACAAAGGATTTAAATAACATTGTTTAACGAGTGCTAGAAAATTTCAGAATTTCAGAAAGAATAGCCTGGTTTTTTTTTCACACAGACCAACATATTAAATTATCCAGAAGATATTATTCTTCATCTAACTGCACTCATTTTTCTTTTGGCTTGTTCCGGTGATAACCAAGGCTGAGTCCACTCACTACAGAGCCACTAATGCGAAGATCTACAGGTCGTTCTGCACTTCACTTCCAATAATAACTTTACTACACAGGATGCAAACTCAGAAGCTCTAATTCAGCCGAATTAAAATACCACTTGCCCACAAATATAATAATAATTCATTGCGATAGTTTCTTATATCCAGCAGTCTATTTAACGTAAAACCTTTCGAATAAAGAATGATTCGCCAAAGACACAAGATGATACAAAATCTCAAATCTATCAGTATTTCAAACAAAAAAACGAGTTCGAACGATGAAAAACAATCGAATTTTGAAAACATCATTTTAAAAATTGCCATTTGCTAAGAAAATGTACAACTAATCAAATCGTTCATAAAATTCAATTATGAGCACTCAAGACATATATTGATAAATTATTCTACACGAAATTCCGACAAGGAAACAAAATTTTTGTGCAAGAATAGAAGAGAATGAAATTTACGTAGCAGCGGAATTCGAATCGACCTTAAGCTGTAGCTCGAGCTACAACTTAAAGTCTCAACAATTTTTAAACAAAATCGGTTAGATAAATGAATTAAACTGCCATATTAACTGAATATTGTGCTATTACTATTTATAAATTATTTATCAACATTTTTTCCAAAGTTTCTTAAATAATTCAATCGACAAAAACCCCCGAGACCTGTTTCAAGGTACCAAAAAACCTTAAACAGACTCACCTCCTTTTAAAAAACCGACTTAATAACCAAAACCACCCACAAACCTTAAAAATCTAACTAAATAAAAATTACGAAATATTATAGAAAATGAGCAGATCACTTCAATACTACAAAAACATATTGCAGCTAAATATTTTAAATTATCGTGCAAAGAGTATATGGCAATCGTCCAAATTTTACTGCCTGCTGTTTGTAATTTTTTAAATTATTGGTGGCGGTGTGGGAGTGGAGCTACGGTGGAACTGAGGGGTGTTTGTTGTAAGTTGGAGGTGTTTGTCAAATGTGGAGCTTCGTAAAAGGCTTCAATTCTAAAAGAATAAGTGGGTGATATTGTGGGTTCATCTTCGGAATGAAATTGCCGCGAATTCACGAATATTTCCAATCGCCATACGACTCTTTCAGTGGAATGGATGTTATATTTATAGGCAATGGAGTGAGCTGCCAGGCGAATCTGTCATGAAAGGGATATTTTACTTGTAGGCAATGAAATGAGCGAAACCAGTTAATGCGTTGTATGAGAAAATAAAATGAAAGTAAAATTAAATTGTAGTATTCCAGTTGTTCGTTTATACAAATGTCAGTAATCAAGTTGGGTTCGGGTAGTTTACGTGAATTACGAATTCATTTATGCCAAAAATCAGCAACAAGTTCTGGCGTGCGAAGTTTTATCGAAAATGATTATTTTGCGTTAAAAAAAGCGAATTCCGACTTTCCAATACTCATTCGTGAATGTTCCGGTATTACTCCACGAATTTGGGCCAGGTATTTTAAGGTTTTTTTTGTTATAAGTCTAACAGCCTTTATGCGATAACGCGTAAGAGCTGCTATTTCTTTTCGAGATATTAATTAGTATTATAGGTAATTTTTACGAGAAAATCGATATGCTTCCTTATTTAGCCATATTTGGAATAAAGCGATGAACGGAGTTTAGTGATTCTGAATTATTATTTTGGCTATGGCTAGGGAATATTGAGACAAAACGTTAGATTCAGGTGTTGGGCAGATTAAAGCGATAAAAATGAAGGCAAGGAACGAAAAGAGAAGCAATGTCTTACTGGCTGTACTTTAGGATGGATCTGCTAATTAATCATTTTTTCACCATCTACTTGAAAATTCGCTGTATTTCATCAACTGCATTTTTTTTCTAAAAACGATAAAAGTGATCATTAAGAATTCCTTTATTTCGACTTTTTAATACCGGTTTTAATACCGATTACTTTTACTATTACTAATAAAAAGAATGAATGAATCTTAGTTTATCGATGAAAATATGTGATCTTATATTAATTGAGAATGGCTTAATGAGTTAAGAGATAAAAAAGCTGAAATTAAAATTTTCAGATACGAATATGGTGTGGAAAAGTATGTTTCGTTGGAAAATGCAACTCGTGAAAATGTTGGAAATATAATAAAACAACTTGCAAGTGATCAGCCAACAACATCTTCCTAATTATATTCTCACGTTTTAATCTGTTTTGGTTTTATAGAGTAATTTTTTTGATAAATGAAATAGGTTTCTTTCAATATCAATTGATTTTTACTAAAAAACAAACCTCTCCGCCAAAGATTTTAATTGCTTTTTTTATGCGAGCATTTTGTAAGCTGTAAATTGTTGGTTTTAATTTATTTCAGTGGATCAGAGTGGATTTTTTTTTTCCTTTTCAAAATCGTTTTAATTTATCGTTTTAAGTATTTGGTTGATTTACGATAATTAAAATAAAAAGATAATTATAAAGAGTAGAGTTTTGAGATGACCTAAATATTTTCAAGTAACTCAATCAAATACAGGTCAAAGAATTTTTTGCTCTTCACGCACTTTTTTCCTTTTCTTTCAAATTCGGTCACCGTTAATCATTGGTCCTTTTATGTTACTTAAAAGGTATGATTAAATACAAAATTAATAATTACTGATATCAAAAATGATAAGGCGTAATATTCGCAATTTTCTCTGCAATCATCAAAATATTAAAATGCATCGAACAAATTTTTACATTATGAAAGCAAGAAGCTAAGAGGACGGTGTGATTCAAAAGATTCCGTACATTAAATTGTTGCCTTTAAATTGTTTATTTGGTTTGTTATCTGATAGGAATAAAGGAGTAAACCTGTAATTTAAAAATCCGGATGGTGTTAGTGATCAATCTGTCGCCAAATGTCTCTTGGGTGCTAACAATAGGTGCGGAGCCTAACTGGAAATGGTGAATGGTATTCACTTGTTGTATTAGATAATATATGCCGCTGAAATGAATACATAACTACTCAGCTAAGGCTATTTTTATAAAATTCTAGTTAAATGATAAAATCCTATTTTCATATAAATGCGGTAATTGTACCGTAAGGTCGAGAAGAAATTGTTTTTGGTGTAAGTTTTCTTATACAAATTTCAGTATGATTTGGTTTTACCACATGCAATAAAATATTCCAAAAAATGTGTAATGATAAGTGAGCTAAATGATTCATTTCGAGGGATAAAATTTAGTACGAACACATTTCTTCGCTGAGTATTTCAACGCTTTATTTGGTCGTCAAACTTGGCCATTAAGTGGTTTCCATTGTTACTAATCTGAACCATGCAAACACAAAGGTATTTTATTGAGAAATACGGTGAAAGAGATAAAAAAAAATACGTGAAAAATACGTATTAGTGGTTAGTGCGAAACAAAGAGGTCATTAAAATAAAGGACGATTGAAACTGTCGGTTTACTTATTCAATTCACAATTGATACAAAGGCGTGGTCGGGTGATTTGTGGAACTTGTTTCATCCCATTTTTAAATTTTCTATAAATACTGGAAAATTCGAAAATTTTGTTCATTTATTATTTGTTAAACAGTTTTATATTATCCATCAATTTTCAATTTTTTGATTCATTTTTAGTTTTTTCTTTTAGTAAATAAAGAAAAATAAATTTTATTTTTATAATTTGTAATTCTTTTATCGTATTAATAATGTTTTTGAGAAATTTTTTAGCTAAAAAGCCATATTTCTTATCTAAAAATTTTACTAAAATTGTTATCATTATTTAAAATTATTAAAATTATATAAAAATAAAGTTACTATTGTGCAAAAATAATTTTCATGCAAGCTCATCAATGTTTTTAAATCAAATTCAGTCAGCGTTCATGCATTTTGTTCTTATTTGCGTAGGAAAATATTTTAAAGATGTGAAAATATCACATCGTTTACATTAAAAAAATTTGAACCACCATCGAAAATATTGCTCTTTGTCTACGGAGTACGGGTGGTCCTCGCGATCATTTCGAAATGTCCACATAAACATAACCAAAACCTTTTTCGAAGTCCTACAGTTCCTTAGAAGTATAAAACTTGTTAAGAGTTTTTAAGACTGCTGTTAATAGAATTTTCAAAAACTTTGATATGATATCAAAAAAGACTTTATGCAATATAGTTAGATGTACTTGATACTTTTTCAATTTCTGGATAGAATTTAGAATGCAAGTTTATACGACAACATTCATCGCTTCAACCATTAGTGGCTTGACTTTAATCGCTTGCCTTGTAGCGATTCTAAGCATCTACAATGATGTGAAAGCCATATGGAATGAACTGGACATGGAAATTAGCATTTTCAAAGTAAATTTTCACCTTAAATATTTATTTTTTTATGCCAGAACGGCTTCTATTACTGCAAGCGATAGCGTCGAACCGACCAGCTTGGAGAAATTTTATCCTGGTAGCCAGCGGAACGAGCCTAATCAGTAATGGTGAGAGCTGTTAAAAGAAGAAGACGCCAGAACGGAACTAAATTAAATGCTATGCAAAAAAGAACTGAAACTAATTGATTAATTGATTAATTAATGATGAATTAGAGTGAGCATTACGAACGGCAGGATAGTCGAATGGGGGGGGGGGGGGGGGGGGGGGTTAGTGATTCGGCTCCTATTTCCATCAGGAACAAACCTATTATTATCACGACGGTCCATTTATAATACATCTTTTATTACCAAGTAATGACAAAAATTTTAAACCATATCAAAAAGGCTCAACTAATTATGTGAGCCCCAAAAAGCAGGGAGAGCATTGGCCATTTATATGCTTAACACTTACACTGATTTTAATAAAGCCCATGTAATTACTGCTGGACTTTTTTTGTTTTTTAAGAGTCATCATTACTAGTTAAGCTAGCTCCGCTGGCTTGTCGCACTGGACAAATAGAGAGAGTCCCTTGGCGATAGAAATACAGATGAGCTACCAGCATCACACAGATTTTTGGACAATTTACTCCTGCGGGGAATAGAACCTCAGCATCGACGCTCCAAATCGACCAATAACCCACTGAACCATTCTATCCCTTACTGTTGGACTAATACCATTTATGCAAAATGAATTTAATCATTTAATCATTTCAAAAAGCCACATTTATTGTTTGGCTATCTTTCATACTTTTATATACCTCAGGTTAATTCGTACTTCAAATTAGAAAGAAATTAACAACTGGTTCTCTCAGATTGGAACAACTGGATTCAGGGCTCAAAAGAAAATACAAATTCATTTATATATAATCATATATCTATATATATATATATATATATATTATTTGGAATCTTTTAAGGCCACAACAAACGATCTTTGGAATGACATGATGGTTCTCGGTCGCCAGAAACGTCATAAACGTCAGAATTACGGTGAAGGAGGCTCGACTGATTACGGTGGTCCTAATCCACAAGCCAATCTTCCACTTGATTATAGTTCGAATCCACGTGGCGATTATGGTGGACAGATAAACTTAGGTGCATTTCCAGGAGGTCAAGGTTATGGCAGTCAATCATTTGGTGAAGCCTCGAGAATTCCACCATATGTGAGACCACCGAGTGTACCACCGTTATTGCAAGAAGGTCCACGGCCCGTAAGTGGTGGCCGCAGTAAATGTGGTAAGTTTTTCAGTCAGATATAATATACATAATTCATAAAATAATTTCTTTAAATGGGATATTTGTTGAATTTTGAAAGTGTTAGACCGTAATTCAATCATCTAACATGACTTAAAATTTTAGAATGTCGCGTGTCCAATAAATGCCCACCTGGACCACCAGGACCACCAGGTGAACCAGGAATAAAGGGCATGGATGGGATGCCCGGAATAGATGGCAAGCCTGGAATTGATGCAGAAGATATGGAACCGCAAAGAGAAACGACTGGTTGTTTCCACTGTCCAGCTGGCCCACAAGGTCCACAGGGAGCACTCGGTCGCCCAGGACCAAGAGGAATGGCAGGTGCAAAAGGACAACCTGGTATGCCAGGAAGAGATGGAAATCCTGGACCACCAGGAGAAGCTGGGCCTCCTGGGCCACCAGGTCATTTTTGTCTCTACGGATTCAATTTATACTATTCAACTTTTTTCTAGTAATAATCTCTAAACTTTAGGTCGAAATGGGCCACCGGGTTTACCAGGAGACAAAGGACGAGATGCTGAACAAATTATTGGTCGACCTGGCCCTAAAGGGAAACAAGGGGAACCAGGCCCACCTGGACCACCGGGCCCGAATGGCCAAGATGCAGCACCGGGCGAAGCTGGACCTCCAGGAATTCCGGGTATCAATTGAAACTTTACATTGACACGAACAGTAAATTAGCTATTTTCTAAAATATGATTTTAAGAATATGTAATTTTATAATATATTAAGAATATGATACTTAAATTATGATTTTTTAAAGGAATTCCTGGGCCTCAAGGGCCACGAGGACCAGATGGCCAACAAGGTGAAGAAGGACCGATTGGTAGACCTGGAAGAGATGCCGAGGTTTCTATTTTTTCTTATGACCATCGGCCATAAACGAGTATATTAAAATTTTTTAAATTATTTAACACCTTTTACATAATTTTTTCAAAACTCATATGCATTATCAAATACTTATAATGCGGTTCCATGTCGTAAATATTTACTCTGTCCTAAAAAAAAAATTTATTTGTAGTACTGCCCTTGCCCAAATCGTGGCTCAAGACGACATGGCGAAGTGGAATCGAAACGTGGAGAGAGTAAAGCTGAAGGAATACCATATATTTAAATAAATGTTATCAACCACTATGTGACAAATTTTTGATAAGTGATAAGTGATAAATTTTTTTTATTAAACTATAAATTTTCAAAACTTCCATTTATAAAACAAATTTATAAGCAGTAATTGGCTCAAGAAAATGAATAAAAAGAAGTATGAAATTCGTAAATTTCATTTCATATTTTCGATATTTTTTTGTTGGAATGTTTGTTTTCAAAAATTTAAAATTTAAAATTTTCATTTTTTTGTATATAAAATTCGGATTTTATCATTTTTTTCCAAAATTTTATCGCTCGTACTTTGATCATTGCTAATTAGGCCAATTATTTTGTTTTATAGATTTCCCACTTTTTTCATTTCATTTTCATTTTTAATAATTATTGCTTATATATCCGGATTCTCCAAACATATCCGCCTAGAAGCTTAAAAAGTTAGGAAAAAGACTGAATAGCGATGATAAGTGATAAAATGATAAGTGATCATTTGTTAATAATTTTTGCAAAAGTATCATCTAAAATGGATTTCATTTTCTCCATGTCAATTGCACATGTAAATTCTACAAAAACGGAATGAGGATGAGCGGAACATTTGCTGAGCACATACGTCTTTAAATATAATTTCGCCTCTTCGATATCTGTTGAACCTATAAATTTATTTCGCTTTTTTGGATTTAACAACTAAATTTGTCCTCACTAGCTAAATAAATTAATTTTTTAATTCAAAATTGAGAGGTGTACAACTTTAAAATCGAATTCAAAATTTACGACTTTTAAATAAAACTATTCGTTCATTATTCTAATGCGTTGGAATTTATATTAAAAAAATGCGCAAATCCTTATGCCAAAATATTACTGAAAGGAAAAGGAAAGTGAGAGGAAGATTGGTTAGTCTTCTGTTATATTCAGAAAAAGGATAATTTTAATAATATTACTTAGCAACGATGATTACCCTAATTACTCGATTAAATAAATAAATAAATAAGCTGATGGAATGATTCAAATGAACGAACCGTTGTACTCTGGAAGACATTGCTTTAAAGGCACTTTGGTTAATTTCTCAGCTAAAACATCGATTTCATTGAGGAAAATAAAAAATAAAGCAGACTGAAGTTTTGGTTCAGCACAAGTATGTTCGAGTAACGATAGCGCATCATGAAGTCGATTCTGTTAAGGAAATGAATAAGGAAAAATTTATTTAAAAAATAATATCCGCAAAAATTTCGCTTATCATTTCTATAACAATCGACGAATATAATAAAAAATTTTATTATTTTTATTGATATTTTATTATTTTGCAATTTCCTCTTTAATTCCCTTTATAAATTGTTAATTTTTTGTCATATATCATTTTTTCTTCTTTTTTTGCCATTAATTTTTATTATTTATTATTTGATAACTGTTGTTATTAATATAAGCACATGGCGTTTGTCGCCTTGTTTGGTTGGTTTTCAATAAATAAATAAATATTTCCTCGATATTTTCATATTTATTGAATGCATTTCATTGCGAATTAGTTTTTAAGACGTAAATTTTAATTTTTTAAAAACGCATGCTTGTTTGCTTATTTCTTCCTTATTATTTTCAAGTAATTCGCAAAATTAATAAATAACAAATTAAGTTTTTTTCTTTTCGTTCAGTTTTTTAAATATTTAAGGATTGCGAATGGATGAAATAAATCACTTACAGTAACACCGTCTTCAGTCATTGTTTGATCATACTCGGAAACCGCGATGCAAAACAGTACTGCTCGAACATCGTCATAAGTTGTGTTCCATTTCTTTCGATCTATTTTTTTTCCACCAACGTCAAACAATCGAAATTAGAATTTCATGTAAAGTTGGAAAATCTTATATGGCAGGTTCCATTGAAAACATATTTGAGAACAAGTGGATTCGTAGAACTGGTTTTACCATAATTTTCATCACGATTCGACATCTCAGGACTTCATCACAGAGGTGTTGCGAAATCGAGATATAATTCGATTATCGTGAAGATATGGAGAACGGTAAATATTTAGAAGAAAGTGATCTAATTTGGCTACAATCTTTCATTACAAAGCAATTTAAACGCAACAGGAAGGTCGAGTGGTACATTTCTTTTGCTTTACCTAAGATCCATTATGCGCATATTTCACATTTCTTGATGAAGAAAAATCTTATCACTAAAAGTCAAATCTAAGTGTTTTGCGAATTCATTTATATTGCTATGTCCAAATGATTCTTCAAGGAAAGGCCTTAGTAGCCAAGGCAGTTAGCGAAACCAGAAATAGAGAAGGTCGTTAGAAAAAGAATTCGCATTGGACTTTGCGCAAATAACATACTCGTATTTTTGATCGCCAATAGCAAAGCTGATGCTCTGTATTCCCGTAGTTGGACAATAGGCCATAATAAGGTCTCGAGGTGTAGGCACGAAATCGCTTGAATTGATTCGATCTAGCGAATCGAAAAAGCTAGAACAGTAAATTACTAATGAAAGAAAAAAATTTCGAAGGCTTTAAAAATAATGTTCATGAAATTCTCGTCTTAAATAACAATGGAATGCCATTTTCTCTACAAAACCTGGTTAATTAGTTTAAAAGCTTCATATTTCTATGTTATAGTGAATATAGAAATGAATAATGCATGAGTAGATGTAGCTTAAGCACATTCACTGAACAAAAATTCAACCGTTGGACCCACTTCTGTCCAGAGGTTCTATAGCTAATTGTGCTAGCTTAGCTGGAAATGGTGAGTGGTGTTAAAAGATATAAATATAACAACGACAAAAAAATAGTGTTGATTTTCACAAATAGAAGAGTAATATAAACTCAGACGACAAATGTTTTATACCTTCGCTTAAAGGATCGTATGAAAAGCACCAAAACTGAAATTTTAAAAATTATTAACTATTTAGTAGAATCATTGAGATTAAATTCGGCCCTTCGTTCATATACTTTTTGTACGGCTTCGTCATTCCAGAGGTCTTTCAATGCTCTCAGTTGGTCACTACTGAACTGTTGTTTTTTGTTGGCCTCCTGTTTAGTATCTTGTTGAACCAACAATGCATTCATCTAAATATGTATAAATATTCACCTGAAGCTGAACCGTTTTCCGTTTTTTTCTGAAACTAGTGTTATATCAACGAATTCAGAAATAAGCAAAATTCAGAAATAATGAGTTGATTTTCAGCCATTGCGATTTCTACACAATGAACATAAGCAAAGTTCTCTAGTTATCTAGTCTGGCTAGCTCCTCTGGTTATTTGTACGACGAGGAGTTTTTATCAGGCAGTCAACTTTTTAAAAGTGAAGATGTGGTCCGGATTTTTTAATTATATGTTCTCTTGGAGGTGCGAAAATTAACATATTGCTGATCGGATTTATCAGACTTGCAATGCTGAGAAAGAGATCTATGAGATAAAACTTATAGTTGAATATTAATAAGCCTATTTAAAGAAATTTTTAGATCTAAATTATTTTATTTATGGCTTAAATTGATTTCAAATTTCATTTTCGAACAAATGATTTTCTCAAGCATTTAATTTTCTTTTCACCTGTTATTTCTAATTCAAATTATGTAGAGAAATGAATATTTGTGAGAAATTTTCTAAGGTAATTTATGAAATGTTTCCAAATAATATATAAAATAGATTTTTTTGAAAAAGAGATTTATAAAAAATTTTAAAAAATATTGTTCATAGAGATGCGATTATAGAAAATTAAGCAAAGAGAGGATATCGCATGCTAACAATCAATGGAACATGAATGATACGTGAGATGCATGAAAAAAAATTAGAAATTCTCATCACATAAATTAAGATACTGAACGGAAGTTTAATTAAATGTAATTAAAATGAACTGACAAATAAATTAGAGGAAATGGCTTTATGAATGAAATTACTTGATTATGTGAATTTGCAAATTGCACATCTTCACTTTTCATGAAATCCAATATTGCGCGCATCGAAGCAAAAATATTTTCGAAAATGAATGTTTTTCTGTGGAGAAATTCGAATTCAGTATAATCTTGATTATAGAAATTCCTAAAAAATAAATCGTATAATCAATCCACAAAGAACGAAAGGAAGAGTGGTTCATCGTCACCGACGCCAACGAAGGATTTAGATTTTGCTACCGATCGAAATAAACTTGTCATTACAAAACCAGATGGAGAAACTGTCCTAACGCTTGACAGATGATTCCAAATGATGAAAAAATATTTAAGAATGTGATATAAATTTCCTTTTTTTTCCAGGATTTAACCCCAACCATTATTATTATTTTTATCTAATTTCATACTGTGAAATACCTCACTAAATTTTTGAAATCCAACCTTATTTGCTCGAAAACAGTAGATTTGCCTGATTCAGCTGCACCTGAATAAAAATGGTGACAATTTGCTATAAAATATCAATCGATCCATTTTATCACTTGACTCAACCTTTATAATACCCGAGAGCATCTAGTTTTTGACAAACTTGTCATGAAAACTTGGTGATATTAAATTATGAAAAGAAATTTATATGATCTATTTATTTATATATGCCTATTTTATTTAATAAAATATTTTTTTCATATCTCCAAAGTAGTGAAATTATAGATCGCATATGAGCTAAATCAAAAAGATAAAAGATATCGCAGTTTACTAAAATCCAAAGGTATATACAAGGAATGCACCTTCTTTTTATGCATTTCATAGCGTTCAACGGATATTTTATGATTAATCTCTATTAAAAAATTTAACATTACTTCAAAAAAGCATTATTATTTTCTGATACATCATTTTCTTTAGAGCATTCATCACTTTCATGGGGCTCGCTTGGCCTGCTGGATGAGATAAAGGAATCGCTTGATGATAAAAGTAAAGATAAGGCATCACCCGGATTTCTGGTTTATTACTAGCGGGGGTAGGGTCCCAGCATGTGAAATAAGAGCAACAATAATCCATTGAGCCATTCTACCCATTATCTACTGATATATAACGTAAATGATTTTATCAGGGCTGGCAAATAATATATGCGATTAATTTGTGGCTAATTAATAACGCCATTGATATGAACGGATTTGTACTCATACTCAGACCAACTATTCATTGTTTTCTTTTAACTAACCAAGCAATAATAGCCTGACACATTTGCTTTCATCGTGTTGATCGTTGGCCACCTTTAGATCAGTTGTTTTCACTCCATCTGCTTCTTCCACTCTTGGGGAATCGATAGCAACCGTTTTCGTACTGTCACTTACCTGAAAAAAAGAGGAAAAGCGTTCGTGGAGATAAACGTTTTACTTCGAAGTTTTTTTTTAAATGTGATCTTTTTGTTACATCGATATGAAAAGCGGAAATTTCCTGTCGACTATTTTTTTTCCGTTATCGACGAATAAGAATATTCTCGTAAAGGACAATATACAAATGGAGGTAAAATTTGTTAAAATCCTTGTTTCTCCCACCATTACTGCTTAACATTCACCTCCCGGCCCGACAAGCTTTGCCAAGAAGAAACGTGCCGATAGAAGAACGAGTGAGCCACCATCACTCGAATTTTCGAAACACAGGTTCAGTTCAGTTTTGCCAGACTTCGAACCTCAGTATCGTGGCTCTAAGCCGAACAGTAGCCATTGAGCTGTTCCATCCATTTTTGCTTGTTTTCGCAATTTGGTGACGTAGCGGCTTCACGAGGTGTGGTGCGTGGCATGTCGGTGGCAGTCACATTACAACTAAACCAGCGGTACTTCCTTCTCCCTTCCGAAAAGTATTCTTTGATATAAATATGATTTAAAAAAGGATAAAGTAAAAAGCAAATAACCTGCACAGAATTCATGCATCCCATTTGCAATAAAAGTAGAGTTTTTACGCGCAAATATCGAATTATGCCGTTCAATTTTCTTTCCAATTTAATTAATTTTTAATAGATTTCATTATTTTTCTAATAATTTCTTTTATTTTCACTAACAACATTCACTTTTTCATATTTTCTTCACACAATCGACAAATTACGCCTTAAAATTTCAGTGTTATTTATATATTTAGAACGTCTTTCAAAAATATACTAATTACGCATTACCCATCATTATTTATTATTATTTACTAGTATTATTAATTATTATCATTATTTATTATTATTTATTATTAATTATTATTACTAATTAGCATTATTATTATTACTATTGCTATTGCTATTACTACTACTTTTACTATTACTATTACTATTCATCAGATATAATAACTCCTTCTTAAAAGCATCGCTTATTTGTTACCATTTACTGTTCGAAAATCTCGTATGTGACAGCCTTTTTACTTCCTTTCGAAAGCATATTGCATGACGATTCACCGAAAGTCTACTAAAATCTCGTTTTTTTTTCGAAAATTCATGTGCTAATTAAATTCTTAGAACTTGTAAAATGTTTTAAATAAATTTACAAAGTCATATATATATTATTTTTATAAAACATTGGTGATGGATTTATCTTAAAATTTTTAAAAAAGGATATATCATAAATCATAAATGAAGTGGAATCGAGTTGGCAAAGTCGGTTGCTTTGTTATTTGTGATTGAACTGTGCAAATCTCAAATGATAAATGATTTGATTAATTGATTAAGAGTTTAGCAATATTCGAGCAAAAAGCTCTACATTGGTTGTTACTGAATGGAGGGTCGTTTCAAATTATTTCACTTTCGAATAATCTGTGAATTTTTATCGGTTATGAAAATTTCTTTTTCCGCATTTTTCATCAAAATTTGAATGAAACAAAGAAAAAACACACAAAATGATAATTGATAACCTACTGATCTACTGATAACCACTTAACATAAAACAAATGACAAATTTTATTCTTGTATAATTCTCATAATTTTATACAGTTGTTTCGCTCCATCGATGATTCTACTTTGACTATAGCCAATGGTTATAAGCGCGCTTCCCGTCCTCTAAGAAAAGCTCCAACTAAAGTTCAGACGGTATTGAAGGGCATTCAAATGATTGTTTGTTTCCTCATTCTGGACGCTAGTCAAACCAGAAATAACTGTTGTTAGACGAAAAATTTTGAGAAACTAAGACACATTTCGATCAATTTTTAAAAATTTTATTAATGATTTCTACCTATAGAGTATACAAAACATAAAGGAAATCTTTTTACAACGATGCGTTATTTCCATCAATCATATCAAAATACAAACAAAAACAATATCGTTTTAGCAAATTAAGTTTTCCATTTAAAAAATTCTTTTAGATTAGAAAATTCTTTTAGATAGAAAAATTTAGATGAACCACATGCCTTGGCCAGTCTTTTTCTATTATTAATATTATTATTATTGTAATGAAATAATATAAAAATATTACAAAAGCGGAAAAATATAAAAAATACAAAAATTTTGATGATCGTAGCAAGTTTAATTTTCTCATAGGAATTTGAAAATTAGAAATTTGGATAGAACCGCAAAGATATTTGCCTTCAAGCTGACGTACATCTAACTCATGAACGGGCCAAAAAATAATTGTATAAAAAAACGAAATTCAAGCGAAAAAAGTCTTATCATAACACTTAAATATTTAAACCTTTTTCTTGCATTGTATGACTAGAAAAGTTGGATAGTTAGAGATTTGAGGAATATTTAAAATTCTTTCAATAAATTTACCACTAAATTTGATCTTCCCTCTTCAGCAGAATACTTTTAAACACCAAATTACAACGATCCAAATCGAACATCAACATTTTTTCCATCAACATTCACACTAGTTCCAATTCTTCAATTAAACTTAATTAATGCAGATTCTTTTGATACTTTTAATTTTTAAGCAGGTGAAAAACTGCTGAGAAGTAAAAACTTCAAAGTATCCGCAGGTGAATTTTTTACAAGCTAAAAAAATGCGGTCAATAATGAATAAATATTTGAAAATCACCTGAAATTCATAGAATCAAAAACAAAATAATTCATCTGGAAAAATTTGCATTGACTAAATAATAAACTCATCCACATTTTCCACACAAACAAATTCAAAATTATTTTTACAACACCACTCTCATTATTAATCTTTTTCACTCATTTCCATGGAAAAAAACCCATATTCACAGGAAAAACAACTGGAATACCTCAAATTATTCTTACTATTATGATGTGATGTACTCGCGCATCCAAAACAGAGACCTGAAATCGCAATATTTATAACTCATTTTGTGAGCGCGTGAGACGATAGTGATCGCACATATGAGAGCATGAGAGCAGATTAAATTCATGAGATCGTATAATATAGCAGGTCCTTTATTATCATACACTGTATATACAAATCTTTCTCATCTTCCTATGAGTAGTATGAGTCATCGCCAACCTCTACCAGGGGCCTGTGAGTTTCGACGCGGTATTTTCTAGGCAAAATCATGGCAGCATACAAAAACCAGATATCAGCACTGATACATGTAGCAATAAGAAGTGACAGAAATGTCTTTTTCATCTAACAGCTCCCACCATCACTGGTTAGGTTGGCATGGTTCGCCATCTCCAAGCTGCTCGATCCGACGCCATCGCTAGTAGTAATATAAACCATTTCTTTTCCTACCGTCTAAATCCATATATCGCTGGTCCTCCTACACGTTCAAAACCTTTCCTAACTGTACCAGTCCAGGTCTTGATTGGCCCTCCTCGCTTCTGACGCCAAGCATCACAGAGTTTAGCGAGTAACGAAATATGCGTCAACTGCTGTGATGAACGACGGAGAACGTGCCCTAACCCGGATTACTATTAAAGGTGGTATTTGAGCGAAGATGAAAACAATTATGTGCGATTTCATCCGCTCGACGGACCCGTAAAATGTACTTTAGATAAGAGTGGTCAAAGGCAGATGGCTTCTTAATATCTTCCACTCTCATTAGCCCTGTTTCGCAACCATATGGCAAGATCGAGCAAATTGCCGCTGTATGGACCTGGATTTTCGTCTTTATGATAATTTCGCAACAGTTCCATAAAGGTTTCAACCGGAAAACACGTTTTTAGCTGTCATTATCCGGGCTATCCTTTGCCTGGCCATTTGCGATTAGAGTGTATTTAAATTCAGCACTTCCTAAACCAGCAATTGATAAAAATAGGTATTTTATCAACATCTTATATATAAGACGAAAACACTTTCGTGTTATTTACATTAATTTGGAGTTCAATTCTCGCTGTATTTGTTGATAGATTATTTGACATTATTTGTATTTTATTATACCTTAGTAAAATCAGCAAAAAGAACTACATCATCAGTGTATTCACGGTCTGTGATGCTACACTTTGGACTGATTGTACATCTCTTGAAATCCCACAAGCGATATCCATTATCCAGTCTATCGTATAGCTAAATACTGTAGAGGAAAGGACGCAACCTTGGCGGACCACAACTTATTTCGAAAGCATCTGTCAATTCCTCATTTACACAGACCTGCGCCAGGCTATGCTGATAAAATGCCTTTATGAGCCGAATGATCTTCTCTGAGAAACCGTCACATTCCATCACTTTCCAGAGCACTGCTCTATCAATCGAATCGAATGCAGCTATAAATTCGATAAAGCAAATGAGGTGAATTGCTGATATTTGAAGCGATGTTCCAGCACCTTTCTTAGCGTAAATATCTGGTCAGCACAACTGCGTCCCGGTCTGAATCCCTCTTTGTTAGGACACATTCTGCTATCTCGTATTGCCATGAGTCTATATAGCGAAAGTCTTTCCGGATATGTCTAGTAGGCTGATTCCTCGGTAATTATCCAGTACATTCTGTTATTTTTCTTAGGAATTGGAAGCAGAATTGCTTTGCTCCATTCTTCTTGTATTATTTCATTTTCCCATACCATATTTGTTATGAGTTATGAACGATAATAGATAATATTTTAAGAGTTCAATCCATCTTAGAGTTTTATAGGCCTTAAGCTTATGGATTACAGTATTTTCTTTCCTGTTGGGAGTTCGCAATTGCAAACTATGGCTCAATGAGCGAATCAGTTATATCCAGGAAAACAGACATCGTGGTTAAATTTGGCCTCAAAAAATTCTTTCAATCTTATGAGGCGATCCTTAATAGCCTTAACATTAATATGCCCCATTAATATTCCGTATCATTTCACTGGCCGTTTCCCGAGTTATAATTGCTTTATGAAGGAGGCGAAATAGTTTCCTATTATCACAGATCCGAGCAGGCGTCTCGATTCTCAAGGCCATGTCGCTCCAATAGCGAGTTCTGTCTCGCCTTGCTGCTATCGTTATGATTTTTCGAAGTACCCGATAGTCAAGATCTGTTGATATTCGGGCTTTGGCACTTTTTCAGACAGTTCGACAGTTGCTTCTGACACCCAACTAGTGTGAAAGGGGCTGACTTTCGTAAGAATTTCTTTAGTCGGGGTCAATATTCATTCACCGATTCAGAGATATTAGTGACGTTCATTTCGCTGAGTTGTTTCGATAATACGGTTTGAAATGTGCTCATTGTTTCTGAATTTGAAATAATTGAAAGATCTTGGGATACGTTGTTCTTACGACTTGAAAACTTTATACGAATCGTGGCTCAAACCATAACATGGTCAGATCCATGAAGATTGCCCGTTTCAGCGCCGCGATAGGAACGACTATCTAGCACGAAGCTTTTCCAATGGCGATTGACTAAAATATAATCAATCTGGTAGTTGGTTTCGCGAGAAGTTCCATGCGATTAGATGTTTTCTACGATGCCGGAGGCAAGTATTAACAACAAAAAGTTCATGCTCTTGGGCATAACGAATAAGGAGTTCAGCATTAGCGCACCGGTCTCTATATTTATCAATTGTCGAGGTCATCGAAGGGGCATTATGACCTACCCAAGCATTCCAGTCTCTCCAGATTATGACCATACCATGTTTCGATAGAGACTTCGTTAGCAGTTGAAATTCCGCATAGAACTTATCTTTATTCCGGTCATCTGCCGACGAGATATTGCAGAACTTGTCCTTAAAGTGGGCATAGGCTACATGGCCAGTTTTTACAGGTTTTCACTCAACCAAAGCGAAATGGGCCTTTTCAGACATGACAATCGCTACGCCATTTCACCCCAAGTTATCTGAAAGAGTGATGTAGCAAGGATTAGTAATCACTCGAGTCCCGAAATGAGGAAGACGAATTTTCAACAAGCAAGCTATATCCACACGATATTTAGAAAGAGTGTAGACAGCGATTGCTTTGCTTGCAATATTCGTAAGCGTTTTGACGTTGCAAGAAGTTATAGTCAGCACATCGCCGCGCTTACAAAGTGTCCGCGGATAGGTTCTCATCTTCCTTGATGGGTTTTGGTTAATCTCGGCTCATCAACATGTTTTATGTCCGCGCCTTGAAATTACTTTACTATTATTACGCCCGGACCGTACATTTATCGTATCACCTTTTTAGAAGTACCATGCGCACCGGAAGACGCGGACATTGCGTCAAAAAGATCTAACCCTTTCACCATAGAGTCATTTGGAGGTAGAGATACAGGTGGGTCCTTAGCAGCTACCCGGATTTTTGAGACCATAACAAGTTCGCTCCCGCCAAGGAAAAAAATAAGGATAATTACATTTAAAAAAAAAAATTTCATGATATTAAAAGACTGAAAATTTTGAGGAAGAAAACTTATCTGATTCGCAGAAGATAATACTATTCCATGTAATAAAAATGGTATATTGCGCAATAATAATAAACAATAAACTATAAGATAATAATGTAATAATCAAGTGATATCTTTTAATTTGAATTTAATTTTTTTAATTTTTATTAATTTGATTAATGAGCAGAACACCTTTTCGCCGCTCATACAGCAAATTAACTTCAGTGACAGGAATGTAAAGGAAGAATATTAAAAGCTAGAGAAATCCCAGGGACTAAAACAGGAACTAAAGAAGATGTGGAAAGTGAAGGCCAAATTAGTCCTAGTGATAAATCGAAACTAGAAACTGTAAAAGCTTAACTAGGAAACAGGCTTCAGCAAACTCCAGGAACAATATCAGAAATCTCTATCCAGAAGAGTGCATTGCTGGGAATAGCTAAGGCACTTCGTAGAACGCTCAATCTTCTGTGTCTCTGGTAGAAAATCAGAGGTTGAGGATGACCAATACCACCCACAAAGAATTTTTTTTATATACAGATACAATACATATAAAACGGAAATGTCACCAGAAAATTTTTAGTCTATTTTACATAAACCACCGATAGTTTATATATGTTCACAAATACCGCAATTCAAAACAAAAGAATGTGTTTTTATAGGAGATTGTAAATATTTTTCCCCAAAAATTACTCCATCTCTTGCCACAAATTCACTCAAAAAATTCCAAGAATTATCGTTGAAATGAATATCTGAGATCTGCTATTAACATTTAGAAACTTGGGCATTAAATCTGACCACTTTGCTTTGATCTAAATATCTGAGACCTTAATTTTTTCAGAAACATTGATGCTAGATCTAGCTATTTTGCCTTTTCGAATAGCTGCTGTAAACAAATTCATGTAGTACTCTATGCTAACTAAAGAATCATCATTTCCTGGAATAGGATACGTAATGTAAGCAGGATCCGAATTCGAATCAACGATTCCGACAGTAGGAATTGTCATTTTTGCTGCTTCTATAACGGCTGGATGTGTTTCCAATACCTTAAAAAATTAGATTATTAAAAATGCTATCTTTTCTACTTCTAATATTTTTTTTTAAAGAATCCTCACCATTACTGGTTAAACTCGCTCAACTGGCTTGTCGCATACGGCAATATGCCATGGAGTCCCTTGGCATTAGAAATATAGGTGTCGCCAGCATCATCCGGATTTTGTACAGGTTCACTCCTGTGAGGAATTAAACCTCGCGCTCCCAAATGAGCATAAACCCACTGAGCCATCTAACCCCACACTTCTATTATTTCAAATGAAATCAAGTGATCTTTTCTAATGGAAAGTTAGCACAATGTGCACTGCCCAAGTTATCATTTGTTACCACGGTTTCGCCCTTATTTGGCAATTGACAAGTGAGAGAAAACAGCACCTTCAAAAACTTTCAACTATTTTCGGCTAAAAGATATTGTGATAATAAGCACATTTCAAACCTCAGTAAATATCGATGATGCGAATGGAATGACCAAGGAGCACTGGTTTCAACTAATGCCATGCCTAAATCAACCACATCTACGCTAGAATATGCCACTTGGCAGTTAGCGTGTACAAAACGGTTCAACTATTCGTCGAAGTCAACTCGCATCTCAAGAAACCCTAATTATCTGGCACTTCAAAGATATGCAGTTATTGGAGGGATATGGCTATGAATATGGAGATGGCTACTCAAGTAGGTGATAATCAGAAACTATTTTGCCTTTTTTATAAAGCAAGACTATAACTAAGAAGCAAGTAAGCGAAATGATCCAAGGTAACAATTTAATACCCGATAAGATTCTGAAAAGCCGTTTGACAAGAGAGAAGAGAGTTCTTTAAGACTAAACTAACCAGGAAGCGCCAAATATTATCCGATATATAAGCCTGAAAAGCCCTTTGAACCATATATTTGCAACTATGAAAGGTCAATACAGTAAGAGATCTGCGTTATTCAAAAGCTTAAGCCAACAAAACTTCAAAAGAAGAGGGTTTCTTTGCTGAACTCTTCAAATAACCAATGCCCTTCATAATTCATGTTCAAACGATGTACTCATTAGTGCTGAAAAAAGAAATGAACTGAAGCAAAGCAACCCTCTTGGATCAAAAAGTGTGACAGGAAGGACGATGAATGAAGAGAAATGCAACTGCTCGATATTATATCAATAATTGCAGTGAAAACCGGGTTTCAGATCAATATAAATAAAACAAAAATCTAGTCTTACGTACTAAAGTTGATAAAACATCTGTATTAATTCATTAATTCATCTGGGAGTTAGCAACTTTAAATATCTTGGATCCACTCCTATATCAAATGGCTATAAGAAAGATTCCAATCTGGATAATTAAAAAAATAGCCAGAATTCCTCTCCTTACTACGCCTTTGTAGAACAATAGAACGATGAAATCGAAATAAAAGTCCGCACCTATCTAAATGCAGTGTATTAAGACCTAAGGCTACTCAGACGAGCAGATAAAATCTCAAACCCATAGCCATATATAGCCTTAGAAGAACTTCTACTACTTTCTGATATTGCAATCTAGAGCTTGAAAATATCTCATAGCCAGAAAAATCACCTTAATCAGTAAAGTGAAAGCTATTAGAAGAATGAATTTAACAACCATGCAAAAAAAGATTACCGATGTTAATGTTGATAAAAAAATAATAGTGTCGGGTAAACGGACAGTGACTCCAAAGAGTTGCTTAGAATTCAATAGAGTTCCTTCTTGCCACTTTCGAACGTGAGCATATTCGCCTATCGATCTGGCTCTTTTTTCCACCATAAGCATATTTTCCCTGAAAAATTATAATGATGGACATAAATATAGATAAAAGGCAGAAACATTTATAAATTACCAGCTTTGCTTTACACATAGACATATACAACTTCAGACCGTTGCCCAACAACATCAATTTTTTGTCGACGTTGATTATCTTTTTTTTGCATATTTATCAAGCTCATTCTTCTAATAGCTCACATCATACTGATTACTACTGCCATTCTAATCTGGGTGTAAGCCATAATTAGCATTTAATAAGTTAATAAATTTTGAAAAAAAATTAATGAGAACCAGAATTTGCTTAATTCTTCTAAACTAATAAGAGAGATTTTCACATTAAATAAGAGAATTATGCAGGAAGAACTTTATTCGAAAAATTTCGAAATACTTATTAGTACCATAAATGAGAGAATCATAATTCATCAGAAAAAAAATTTAACCTGTTAGACGTAATAAAAAGAAACAATCCACCGCGATAAGCTATGTGAGCAATAAAATCCAATGCTCTTATAAGATAAGTACGAGTTATATTTAAATCAAAGATTGATATACCTAATCGTTCACCGATTATTGCCCATTTCATCTTCTCGTTCAAAGTACCAACCTAAAATAGTGAAAATATCTATCAGACTTTTTAAATAGAGATAAAATTAAAATTTACCGCCTCGATTCTCATATCCAGCATCTACAGCAATTCACAAGCGCTTATGTCATAGTAATCAAAGTTTATCAGTCGTTTATCATTAATAAGAAACTAATCAAACAAATAGACACAAAACTATTAACTGTTAGCGTTGAAAGAGGCTCGTATGCAACAACTAATCAGGAAAAAAACCCACTTTATGGCCATAATGAACACGTGCTTTAAATAAAGCACCGATATCAACTAATTTATTCACATCGAAATAATCATCTTTTTGAAGAGTTTCATCGAAATATGGTCTGAGAAAAAAATTTTTATCACTTTATAGCGGAAAAAAATTAATAAAAGAAAAAAATATTAAGTGAAAAATTTTCAAAAAATTAAACATTATATGAAAACTGAAAAAAAAGCTTTTCAGATTAGAAACAAGAAATTTCCCTTCCGCAAACAATTCTGATTTCCTTCATTTCCGATTTGGCAAACTTCACTGATTGCTTAGAGTAAAGTATTCCCACTTATCCCTCAATTCAAAAGATTAAATACGCTTGCAGAAAAGTTAAAAAACTTGCCTGAGTGCTGTCGAACGTAAATTTGCTTCATATAAAGTAGCGGAATCGGGTATCGCTTTCGTCACGAATCGCCTTATAAGATTTCTTAAACAATTATTCATTTCCTCCTTCTTTTCCGTATTAATTTAACTGAAATCATTTTGTAAGATTTGAATTTTGGTAATGATAAATTTCAGCATTAAAATGCAGCGACCATAAATCAAAATTGAAAATAAAATATTTCGTTAAAAAAAAAAAACTCTTTTAGTTTCCAGTTTTATCAACAACGTTGATACGAATCACTCTTCCCACTATCACTAGTTTATCACTAGTCGAGTGGAAACCACATTATTGCGGCTGATCCTATAAAGCACCATCATAGTATAGAAACGTGCACAGATGGATATTTCTCCCCTTCTGCCTATCCCTTACTGACTATCACTTACTTTGGAATACAATCTTTGACTGGAGACTCCAATTTTTTATTCCTTCCTTTATCTTTTTACCAAATTTCATCAACAATTGCCGATGGGTACAAAAAGCCGCAAAATAGGCGGAAACAAATTTGCGGCTCGTATGCAAATAAGGTATTTGAAAAGGTATCTGATGAGGTTAAGCGGCTAAGTGGTGGTGGTTTCTTTTTTCTGTGTTGAACATAAGTTTGCTTGAAGTTTTACTGATTTATTAAATAAAATCGAGTAAAATTACTTACAACTAACTTTATTTTTGAATATATTTTAAGTTTTTCAAGCAATTTCGAACTCGTTTAATCAATTTTTTAATGAAATAATTACTGTTTTATTTAAATAAAAATTATTTCATTGGAGGTGTTTTTTATGCGAATTCGTCGAGCAATTTTAATCCTTTTTAAAATTTTTCTTATCCTTTATAGCTTTTTTTATTCAAATTACCTTTGAGATTTTTCTTATTTAGTTACTTTTTTTTTATTTTGTTTATTTAGAATTATTTTTTATTTCTTTATATTATTTTATTGAGTAAAATTTAAAATTTTTTTTACTTCTAATTTATTATAACTTAAATTATAATTTATTGTTTTTTAATGTGTTTTTTGCTATTTATTTTTTTGTCTTTTCCCAAAAAAATTTTTTATTATAAATGAAGTGATTAGAACAAAATATTTTCAGATATGGCATCAGATCGATGGAATGAGGAACGCCTTACTCTTATAGCCGTTAAGGCCAACTTGCCGAACCAGTAATGATATGCGTTGTTTGATGAAAAATAAAATAAAATTCAATCAGTTAGCTGGAAAGCTTCGTTGAAAGTGGAACGTTGCAAAAGCCATTGGGTAGCTGAGAAAATTAAATGATTTGATCAACACGTTAACCGAGTGTTCATGCATTTTGCTCAAGAATAGTTGGGAAGATAAATAGTTTCACTATATATAAAGAAGAATAGAACATCGTACAACAGGAAGGTGTAAAAATATTGAAGCAAATACTGTGGAGGAAAAGGCTTAAAGAACAAATAAAGTAGAAGTAAGACGACATTGAACAGCGCTGTCAGCTAGAACCGTTAGACTGGTCGTCATGCCTCTGACATTCGACTAAATTAATTCACAGTCGGCGGCAATAGTGGATTGGAGCTATGGAAACCAATTTGTAGGACCAAAGTAATTTCAACTGTAACATTCAATAATCATACGAATAAATTGTTCTAATATTATTATTATTTGTACTAATATTATTTGTGCTATTATAATATATAATTTTAAAAATAGAATAGAATTTTTTAGATTATTTAGCGTAAACGCGTTAGTCCATTTTATGATAGTTTCATTTTTCCTTTCCTATTTTTTCATTTTATTCATGTTGCATTGTGCAATTCATATTTTATATTGCTCATATTAAACAAGCTCATTCATGCCTTTGCTCATTTATTATTTTTCGAAATTGATTTTTTTTGGCAAATTTAAATATTTATATAATTATGGTGAAATAGAAATATTGTCAATTTTTCTCAAAATCCAAAAATTTTCAAATTCGAAATTTTTTTTTCAAAAAATTTCCTTTAATTGGTTGCATTCGTTAATACAATGAAATCTACCTGAGAATACGAGAAACCATTGGTCGGTGCCGAGTACCACTCAGCCTCTACTTCTTTACTTCCGTTGTCAGTGCGATTCGGAAAGTCTCAAAGAAGAGTGACTGGAGAATAACTAGAGCACTAAGAAGAATGACGAGAGATTAAATGGTGCATGAATAAAAGAAATAAGCACTGCGAATCGTCGTGTTGTTCGTCACCTCGAGCATGAAGACTCCCCAACGTCTCATTTAAAAATCCTGCTGGCACTGCTTGCGGCCCACATCTCCTTGGTAAAACCCTCTTTGTCCGGCTCGACAAGCCATCTGAATTTGAAAAAAAAATCAAAAGTTGTTTAAGTGCTCTAGCGACCGCAAATTAGTAATTAATGGAAATCAAATAGATTTTGGCGGCAAAATTTTTATTATAATTTTTAAAAATTTTTTTGTTAGTTGAGAATTAAAATCAATTTTCTAATAGTCGTTATATATCATGTATGTCGGAGAAAGTCGATGCAGGAAGCCTTTGGAACTTTGTCATTACTCGCCAGGCTCCTCTCTGGTTCCTTTCTCGCATCCCCTTTAGCTCGATTCAATTATTAATTCAACATCCATAAATATCGTTGAGTGGAGGAAATATAAACTATCATAATGGAAAGACGTCTAATTTTCTGTACTTTTCTTAATGTCACCTTATTATTGCCTTTGTGCTTACACAGCACCTCATCATATCCACTGTGCTTCCGAATATTCTCATACAACTCGGTTTTACTTCTATTTTTCCTCATTTTTCTCTATTCCCTGATGGCAATACCTTTAATAATACTCCTTCGATTTTTGTTATGTTATCCAATTCGAGACGTGAGTTACGAAATCGCGGCCGTTCTTCGCCTTCCTCCTCCTTTACTACCTCAAATCCCTACCTTAGGGCTCTTGAAATCACGGTACATGGCCCAGATATATTTAGAGTGCTTGCATCCATCACTCAAGTCCTGTTATATCCTCTTAGCCTAAAAGTGCTAATTCTTAATATATCCACTCGTCAAATGTCTCACCGCTGCATTTCTTTATTTCTAATAAATTTCTTTATAAATAATAATTCAAAAATTTTGTTACTCAATTGGACGAATTTTTTTATTTGTTTTCTGCTCGAACTACACTCAAAACGTGCTTTTCAAATGTATCATTAAAATTTTAGACAATTTACTTATTATTATTTTAGGTCAAATTTTTGATTTTTATGTAAAAATGTCGACAGATTGCAGAAATTTTGAAAATTCGAAATTAAAATGCTCACGATTGCTTCAACAATTTATTAAAAATCTAACGGCCGTTCAAAAAACGGTTTTTTTTTTTCTTTTATTTCTGAAAATTTTACCAGAAAATTACAGAAAAAAAATGCTTTTTATAATTCAAATAAAAAATTTTTGTATAATTCTTTTTTTTCTACTTCTTACCGTATAAAAAATTAGACGTATGGCGCAATTTGCCAAAAATAGCCCACGAAAAGTAAAAGTATAGCCTACAGGAAAATTTTTTATATGCTTATGCAAAATAGTTTAGCGAAGTCGGTCATATAAACATAGTTAATATATATTGGCAGAGTAATCACGAATATTTCTGCAATTCTTGCTTGATTCAGATTAAGAACCTTAATCAGTTGAAAATCCCATCATTTGCCAGAAGGCTAAAAAGGCAAAAATGCTATGGCTGATTTATATTTAAATTCGGGAAGTTTCAGTGTTTCGATGCTGCCAAAAGTGTGGAAACTGACGGAGGAAAGGATTGGAAGACGAAATTCAAAACTGAATTTATTGTATCACGGCATTTCATGAATGTATTGCAGGAATATAAACCATATTTATATCTTTATGTTAGCCTTTTCCTCTTCTTTTATGCCTGAGAGGATAATCCATATTTTTTAGCGCTTTGCCCTCAAATATTTCTTATCAGTTTTTTCCATTCTTCCATTGTTTTGTTCCATTGTATTCAGTAGTTTTGTTAAATATAATGAAAGAGAAAAGTGCTTCTTTATTCATCATTTCTTTTATAAATTCTACTATGATGAAGCATCCTGAAAATCATTGACAAAACATGCGATACGTTTTCAGCAGTCACCCTAATTTCACTATTAATGTCTATTGTAGCTATTATTTTTCTCTCGATCATATATAGCGATTGAGCTATAAAAAATTGTAGATTTATAATAGCAGAAATTTCCTTGCAAATTTTCAAATTTGCAAATTTTCTTACAGTCATAGATTTGAGATTAGTTAAACATCGGTTTTGTGCTAAAAATGATCATCGTGCGTCCTCTTTGCATATTTTATCAAATTATATTTTAATGCTGCTTAATCGCAATTGTACCTTGTTGAGTACTTGAACTTTGACCTATGTTGCTGTTGGCTAAATTTGCCAAATAGCCTACCTATAAATATAAATATTTTAGGGAAGAAAAAAACCAGTGTGAAAGAAAATGAAGCGTAATGGGATCAAAAATTTTATATTTATAAAAAATTTACAAAAAAAACTTTTGATTAAAGATATTAATTTTACAGTTCAATCCATGGAGAGAATATTTCTCTTATTTTGAAATTAATTTCACATGAATTGGCATATATCTTCTGATTGGCCTATGCCATTTTCTACTTGCGTCAACATGCTGAGTTTCCAACTCATCCCCACCTATCTGGCGCTATTTTTAATATATGGTACTGAATTGCATTTGAAATCTTTATTGGTCGTAGTCAACCCATATCTTGATTGGGCTAATTTAATTTTGGCACTATCCACAAAAGGTTCTAATATATTGCCAACCAATTCTGTCCCAAGAATATGACGGATGGCGTTATTCGTATGCTGTTGTACCTAGGGCTTTCATTTGTCTTAATTTTTTTGGAAGATATAATTTGGTTATTTATATTTGTTTTTTTTAGTTTTTTTAAATTAATTTCTTTTCTGACTTAAAAATTTGTTTTATAAAGATATTTATATCGTAAGGATAACTGATAGAATTGATTAATCCTTATTGTTCTAACAATTTTTTTCTGTAAAATATTGTTTAAAATATGTTTTCATTTATTTTCATTAAATTATTATTAAATTCAAAAAAGAATATTACGAAAGTTTAGTCAAAACAAAGATTAATATTTTTGAAAATGGAAAATTTAAACTTTCAAATTAATGTAAATATAACATTGGTAAAATTATAATTGAGGATGAAAATTACAGAAAGCATATAAAATTTGGTTGAATGAGATATGGCCTATTGTTCGATATTGCGACAAAAAACTTCGAATCAGTTATCTCGCGATGGCTAAAGTAATTGCAGCATACCAGTTATTATCTGGTGATGTGAGCATTTTTCATGTATTTTCATGTATTTGCTGTTAGTTTTTTTACGAACCTCCATGTTTCCATTGTATTTATGTGGTTTATTTATTGGTTCATGTAGAGAAAAATTTCTGCCAGTCTTCATTCCTATTTTTTTACCAAGTAATATTAATAAGAATGGAAAATTTTAATACTTCGAAACTTCAATTGCAAAAATAGAATCATTGCAGTATCTTAGTGCCATTGTTTGTTTACAACATGTGGTTGAACTGGATGAAAATGATCGAACCGGTCATTTATTGCTATCATTATGGCTTTGTTACATGGATGAATGGGAACTTATTGGCCAACAATTTAGGACACAATTGACAGAATCAGCCTCCAGTCAACCAATTCAGCCAAATCAAGTGTACTCCTTAATAATGCGAGTGATTGCGGAAGCCTATACACTGAATACAGGGGATGATGAGGTTTGTTTTGTTCTCCAATTTAAGAAATTGCATAAATATCATAAAGTTTGTCAAATTCGTTTCTTTACGGATTTTTCTGATTTAATGCTCGAAGCTTCCTACCACGAGGTAGTATTTTGGATTATTAGACTTGCCTGCTACTGATTAGGACAAAAATAGGTTTGATTCGCTGCATATTAGAATAGAATCTCTATTCGCTTCCACAGCCTCAAACTTGGATAATTAAAGCTTGCAATAAAAAACAAAATAACAAAAGTGAAAAGGAATTAAGAATTAAATAAATGTTATAAGAAAATAAAAGTTTTCACAAGAAAACAGCAAATGAAACATAAAAATATATCCAAGTCAAATTTAGGAAAACTGAAAAAAAAACATAAAAATAATAGAATAATAAATTTAAATGCTTGCCTCTTGGGCTCCAACCATAAAAATAAATCGTTTGGCAGGCGTGACGCCCTAACCAAGCTAATTAATTGAAAACTGAGGTCAATTCTTTTTCAGAAATTAATTAAGGAATCGACCTCTAATAAAAGAACATGATTTGAAATAAAAATTAATCAAAGTAATGAAAAGTTTCTCTGGCGGATTAGAGTATAAAGTGATGTATTTGGAATAAACATTGCATTTCGCGACATTTGTATCGTGTTGTATTTTTTTAATATTTAATATTTTAATTATATTATGGTAATAAATCAAATGAGCATTTCTGAGTTTTGCAAATTTTTCCAGGAACAAAGAAAAGCTGCAATCTCTCTGAGAACTTACGAGACATTTTGTCTAGAAAAAACATTTTATTCCTACCAAGCAAAAGCTTTAATCAAATATTCGTTGTTTATTGCCTCTCATTTACCAGAAATGGATTGGAACAAGGTATATGTTAGATTTGGATTTGTTTTTGTCGCTAATAGTTTATGTTGCAATAATTGCTTAAAAATCTTCAGATACAACTTGTGAACAGCTCCATAATTCGATCAGTGCTCGTGTATTTGAACAAATATAATTTTGAACAAATTTTCAGGCAGTAGATCCATTGAAATGTCTTGCGAATGAATCTAATCTCCTTTTTTCTTTAGTAAAAAATCGTTATCAAGAGTTTCTTTCTGTTGATCGGAGTGTGGATATTAGTGATAAGCTAATTAATCCAGATTTTTTCCGTAAGTTTCTTTTTGCGTCAAGTGTATTTTGTAATTCTCAAGCTTTTGTGATATTTTTTTTGCAACTCATATTTCAAGAACATTTTTTAGTGAGTTTATGCTCAAATATTGCTGAATATTTCGATATAAGTCTTCTCCAATGTCGAGAACTTCTTGAGCTAGGTACTTTTCATGATTTCGAATCCTTTACTTATAATTTATGGCGGCATTCGTTGCGTTTTGGTATTTTTCCAAGGTTTGCGTTAAATTTTTTTAGTTGTGATTTTTTCAATTATTTTTCAGAAAAATTTGCTTACGCATCAGTAATTTTTTTTATGCTAATATGTTTATGGTTTTTTGATTCTTCTTATCTCATCGTCTAGCCAATTTCAGAAATGAATCTTAAAGTAAATTTGGTTGAGAAGAATAGTCTTCATCAGGTTAATTGAAGTTTTATTATATTATTTGTTTTTTAAGAGTGATTTCTGCGGCAAACCTTCTTTTGTCTGGTGTTTTAATGGCAAAAAATACTCATATTGATGCAATATTTATTCAAAAAGTGTTTAATACGTATCTGAAGGTTTTTAATTTTTCCATCCTATATTTTTACATTGAAATTTTTTGTTCATTCAAGATAGTTATTTTTTATATTATATTTCTTATATATTCTTATTGTGGTTCCTTTTTCTCGCCGTTTTTATTTTTTTTTTTTCAGACATCTTCTTGCTCATACAATCCAAAAGATATTAAATCTGGTGATAATACAGGGTTAATGGAATTTCTTTTGCCGTCAACTTTTGTTATTCTGCATAAATTATTAATCTGCATAAATCTGAATTAACTTTCAAGATTTCCCTCAAATATTATCAGTCCATATTGTCAGGATGAATAAAAATGGTGAATCTGATGAAAATGGTGAATCTAATACGACTAATAATTCGAAAAAATCTGGAAAAAAATGTGATTGTACAGTTTGTCAGATCTGTGCAATCAATTTTCAGTTTTCGCTAGATGTGGAATGCTCGAAGTTTTTTCTCAGCAAATGCTCTTCAGATTCATTTCGGAAGGTTATAGAGAGGTATTTTTTTGAATTTTTAATTATAAATGCTATTTTGAATTATAAATAATAAATTGACGGGTTCGTTTCCTTTCTGTATTAGAAATTTGAATGAAATATTCTCAGATAAATTTCTGAGTTAAAAAAGTATGAGAAAATAGACGTAAAATTTTTTTTTTCTCGCAGTTGTTTCTCTGTTTTTTATAATATATTTTGTACTGGCAGATTTTATAAAGCAGAAATGAATGTTTTTCAAATTTTGCGTAAAGTGGCTGAAACCATGAATTCTTCCTATAAAAAAGTAATCTTTTTCGTGTTTTATTTTATTTATTCTTATTTTCTGTTTTATGAGTAAAATTTTTTACTAACCGCTCATAACTTAAAATTGAAAAAAATTTTCAGATCAAGGCAATTAGGCCAATGCGTGATAGTCTTTTATTTGCGGCTGTACAGTGGATGATAGCAACTGAAGCATTGGCACTGGAAAGTATTCGCAGTGAAATTATACAAGAGATTTATAAAGTATTGTACTAGAATTTTTCGTTCTTGGAACTCATATTTTTGAAAGTTAAAGTTGTTTAAAATTCTCTACATTTTCCTATAGAGTTTTTGAAATCTGTATTTTCCGATTTTATTTGTAGTATGGTAAAAGATATGAATAATCTTTGGAATTATAGATTTGTTGCCAAAGTCCCTTACAACATAGACACTACTGGCTTCTCACTCGCCAAATCGCTCGCAAACCACTGCCTTTAATAGATGGTCCATGGATGAAACGTTCACCTGGATGTCAATCTACTGAAAGTGTCGATGAATTATCAGAAAAGTTTGAAAAAATGTAAGCCGTTGAATAAACCCATAATTTTAAGTAGAATTTTAAACATGATATATTTAATGATAGTATAGTAGATAACCAATCCTCTTTATAAAATCATTATCTCACCATATGAAGCTGTGAAAAAAATTTGAGCAGGTTATAAAATTTGTTACTTATTCAGAAAAGAAAAGTCGAATTATTTCTTTATTTTTACTTCTTAATTTTCATTAATTTTAGTTCGATAAAAACTCGTCAGAATCGTCCTGGCTTGAAAAAAAACAATAGTGAATTAATCCAATCTATTTTTACTTCTTATCGAGAACATAATTTTATCAGTATCTTAGAAGCTAAAGATGATTTTTATAAATTTGGTCATCTATTTTATCGGTTCGCATTTATTATTCTAAAAAAATTAAATATAATCTTTAACATCGTATCGGCTACAGTCGACATTATTCACTTCCTATTTTTAAACTACAATAATTTTTTATCTTGGTTTTTAGAAATTTGAAGCTTTAACCTAATAATGTACCCTATTCCAGTGAGTGGCGATTCTTAATTTGTTCTTATTTGGCACAAGTTCATTTATATTCTTATTCCTTTGCATGGGATAGCGCATTTTATTTCACTGAAGCTATGTGTCTTGCAACTCGTCAAACAATGCGAACTATTTCTGGCGAAAACATATCGATCTGCTATGAAAATGTGGAGAGTTTCAAAGAGTTTATTCAAAATATACCAAAAGGTTTCTTCAAAACTGATTTAAAATTTGTTAATTTTCAATTTAAATCGAGTATGTCTTTCTAGAAGCTGCTGCCTTGATGATGAAGTAGAAAAGTGAGAATGAATTAGTCTTTTTTGATTGATGCAAATATTATAAATTAATTTGAAATTCCTGTTATTGATTAATGCTTAGTAGATCATATTTGCAACTGAATGATTTCCTTATGCATTTCACAAAAAAGTGACAAATTTCTTTTTTTTTCAGAACTGACGACAATCCAGCTTTTTCTTGATCATAATCGAATACTTTGGCTAATCCGACTTCATTCCAACCAAGTTCCTTTGATCATTCCAATAACCAGCATGCCTCAGGTGTTTTAGTTTTTCATATAAGAATTTATAAGATTATGAAAGGTTTTATTTTTTCAGTTTTTTATTTTTATTTTTTCAAAAAATTAGTTTTAACCTTTCTTTTTTCTTCATCTTCTAATAGCCCACACCATTACTGGTTATTTTGACTTCGCTGGCATTAAAAGATACTTCCAACTCTCTGTTCTTTTTACAAATTTTGATTGTTTTTTTGGCAGAGTGATCATTTACTCTATCGTTTGCCAAAATTAATGGAAGAGAACGAAAACGCTGCAAAACTGCTTGATAATGCACAAATTTATTGGCAGTGGCGAAATCGATTAGACAAAGAACTTAAGGCAGTTTTATGAATAATTTTTTAGATGGAGATTTGTTAGTTTGGATTTTCCGGATTCTTACCATCAAATAAATTATTTTTTCATGTTGCCTATTTGGTTAATTTAACTCTAATTCATTTTCGTTTAGGAAATTATCTGTAATGTTCAAGATCAGTGGTTTCGAGGTTTCATTGGTCTCTTGCTTCCTTGTCGAACATTAACAGATAAGGGTGTCCGAATAGCAAATTCTATTGCAAAACAAGGATTTTCCCATGGCTCTGCAAAGGTTAGAGACAAATAAATTTATTTATTGTATATATCCCCAAAATAATTTCGTTTTTCTTAGATATAATATGAAAATTTATCTAAAAAAATATATGAAAAATTAATTTTGTGGAAAATCATGTTTATTGAAGATCATCACCGAGAATTTGTTCCTTTTGAGTGACAAATGTTGGCAGATGCTGGTGGAATACCTTGCAAGTTTTGAAAATGTTCCAAAAAAATCAGTGTCTTCTATTTTTCGATTACATGGTAGTTGGTATAGTTTTGGTGAGCGATCATTAATTCATGCAAATAAACCAGTTACAATTCTATCAGTCAGTCCTGTACGTTTATGTTTGGTTTTTTATAGCGAAGTGCACTGGCAAAAATTTCTTGTTTAAATTATCATTTTGGGGCGTCATGATTCGACTTTTTTTTTCCAGCAAAAGTGAAATTAAGAAATCTAACTAGCGCTGATAATTTCTCTTTTGTCCTCAAATAATTCACTGATAAAAATTTCTTATTATCCACCGGAGCAAAGTTAGCCAAAAATAATCACTTTTTTAACCTAAAACAAATAAGAAAGTTCAATTTTATGATAACATTATTAAGGAATTGGCTTTATTTCCATTTGAAATGATGCCAGTCTTTGAGCACTTTTTTCACATAAGCCGCATACCTTCTATATATTTCACTAAAGAATTGCTCAATAAATCAAAATCAAATAAGGTTTCAGATTTTCTTTGATTTTACATAGAAAATATTTTATGAAACTTAATATATTTCGAGAGATATATCCATGAATTTCGTTTTCTCTTTCTTGCAATTCTTTTTTTTTACCTTTCACTATTCGAATCCATTTGTGATATTAGCAACATTCATTCAGATTCCTTTACACGTTGATGGAAAGAATACGTATTATTTAGTAGATCCTGGTGGCGATCTTCATGATACTCGAACGCTTTTTTCAAAATTACTCAAAAAATATGATTGTTGGAAGGGTTGTGTTGGAGAAGCGCCTCAATCGAAAGATCTGTTGCAGTTTATGGAAACATCTAATTTTTTTTTGCAAGTTTTTTGCAAAATTCTGAGATTAATCATTTCGATTAATCACTTTGATTAATCATTTCTTTCAAGATTATTCAGACGAATGTTTTTTGCCGTTCGGTTACTTTTTGTCTATTCGAAATTTGCTAATCTTAAGTTTTTGTCTTGCCTATAGCAATTATTGGCTTGATAATCAGAAGACCTTGGTATTCAGAAAATGTATAACTGTTGAAATCAACGAAACCGCAGTAAACAGCGAATATGATAACAATGTTGAATCTAATTGCCTTTTAAAAGATTCCATCTAGTGGGAGTAGTCGCAATATTGAACTCTACACTGGAGGGAGTGATACTAAGTGTAAGCTGAAAGCAGGTGGAGTAAGTTTTGCTTCGTGAGATCTTTTGGTTGCAGATAGGTCTATTTCTCGATGTGGTTTGGGACATTGAATAGCAATAATATCATTTGTCGTACCAAAATCCGAAAGAATATAAATTATTTGTATTTTAGGCGGTTGAATTTATGGCGTAACAACGAACATCCAAAATGTTTATGTTAATGTTTACTCGTAGATGAGTAAAGAATTTCACCTGGAAGAATTCATGCGGTACCATACATAGGCTTAGATGGTTTAATTTTAATGTCTAGCTTAATTCCTGAACGACTGCCGATGATTAAAAGAAGCGTTTCTGTCCATGCGACCATTAGCTGTACTTTGAATGAAGCTTTAAATTGGTGATGAAAATGCTCAACAAGACAATTAGCTTGGTATGATAAGCAGTTCGACAACAGAAACTGATCAGATCTAGATCTAGATAGGTAGGTAGTTCTTATTGAGGTAGTTCTTTAAAAAGAATTGAATGGAACTGTCCGCGGTCCGCTATCATCCGATGTTTCAAGGCAGGCTGCCCATCCTGAAATTTTTGCAGCCATATTCGTTATTAATATTGCTTCAGGCCACCGAGTAAATCTGGCAATACATATCAATATATTTCTAAAATTAGGAGAAGGTGGAATATCGAGATGATCAGATCGTTCGTACAATTGAACCATATGGTGATTTTTTGTGTCTCGGAATCTTTGAAGTTTGATAGCCGATATAGGAGCGAGTCCATGACTTTTTTTACATAGGTAGCCAGTCTCCGATCAGTCGTGGAGTTGTGATATGCCTGAATGACTAAAGCCACGAAACTTACCAAAGCTAATTTGCAGAACTAATTTAATTTCCGGTACTCATGTCGTTCCAGAGAAATCTGAAAAAGAGGAATTGTTAATGCGTGAGTAGCTTATGATCAGTTAATACAAAGAATTTTCTGCCCTCTAAGAAGTATCGAAAATGTTCAATTGTGGGATAGTCCTGAAAGAATAATCTTTTGAGCTTCAAGATCAGCATTTTCTGGCAACTGAGCAGCTATGTATGCATAATTTGGGTATTTTACAAGCTGAAAAATATAATTCCAGGCAAACAAACCATAGTTCGACCATTGTTAAAAAGATCAATGAGAAGCTCTGAAGGCTTGCGAGTCCGCTGAGGTGGCAATTTGAGTTTTTAGCTTCTGTTATGGCATTTAACTGGATAATAAAAAACTTGGAATTCAGATTCATTTGGTCGAAGTAATGGAGTTTTAATAGCCTTACTTCACTTGAGAAAATGCCTTTGCAAGTCAGAGTTATACCTTCGAGGTCACCAGTTACCAGTTACATAGCTGCTTTTGTTTGGTAGAGATAAACAAATAACTTTAATGAAACCATTACATTACACATCACCTACACTAAATAGCGAACAAAAAAAAGATAAATCATAATTGCTTTCTATAAGATTCCAACCGGTGTATAATCACCTTATATATGTCTAATATTTTCTAGGTATATGGGGCATGGCAGTGGCATTCGGTATTTTGGTACAGATGACCTACGTAAATGTTGCTGCCGTGCTGTTTCAGTTTTAATGGGTTGTTCAAGGTATGTTATATAGTATTCCTTGCTTTCTTTAAGAAATGTTTTGCCATATACGTATTATTATTTTCGGTACATCAATTTAATCATCTTGAAACAATTTTTTGATAATACTGTAAATAAGAATTCGTTAAAGCGCGAGAATCCTGCATGAAGGTCGAGGGTTTGATGGACGAGGCCATGTTTACGACTATCATATTGCGAAATGTCCTTGTCTTATTGGATGCTTGTGGACGGTAATCTTTATTTACCAAAGATGTTTTAATAGGGTTCATGATGAGTATTTTAGGTAAGTGATGGTGAAATCGATCGTTTTATCAGTTGTTTCTTGGAATATTGTTTCGCTGTTGGAAAAAACTTTTCTGATGATAATGGCGAAAGGTTGATTTTTGTTTTTTAGTATATGGTGGTTTTATGTGAATTGTTGCAAATATTTGTATCGAATAGATCCTGCGATTCATTTTGTCCTTTTTTTGTAGCAAATTATGGAAAAATCTCTTCTTTAATTAAAAAGTAAAGTAAATCCATTCTCAGTTTTTCGCCACTAATTCATATTATCTATCAATAACACCACTTGAAATACCCATTTTTCTAAGTGAACTTATTTTCTGTTTGAATGGATGATAATAGATTTTTTAATGGCTAAGTAGTTTCACATATATTTTGTTCGTGAGAGCTTTTTTTAGTTCAAATTATCGTTTTCTACTCGATGGCATCGGGATAGCTCGTTACGCTTGCAAGTTACGTTATCTGACAGGTGCTTCAGTTGTTTCTTATGGACTTCCAATAACTGTAGACATTACTGGTATACGTGCGAGTAATGGTGAAGTAGAACAATAAGCATAGATTCTTCGCTTCTTGTGTGATTGTCAGTGATTATATTGAATATATATTTTTCATTAATTCCTCTGGTGTATTGTTTTTTCTTCTCTAAACTTGTCGAATCAATTAATCTGATAAAAATTGTGAATAGCTGAGCATTTATGAGATTTTCTTAAAAAGTTTATTATTTCATTATTGCCTTATGAAATTTTAACGATTTATGCTGCGTAAAAATACCAATAAATTATATGCTAAATGTGTTAAATTGTATTAATTCGCTTTGTTGTGTTTTATCACTTAAAGAATTGATAATCAAATTGTAAAATTGATTTCGGGGGTGCAATATTTTATTGAAATAATTATATATAATATCATTTTAATCGGTGGGATATTGAGCGATTATTGACACCATGGCTATATGACACCATGGCTATCATAGTTATCATAGTTTTTAATCGCTTTCTTTGTCCAATTATAAAGGTTACAATAAAACAAGAATGTGGTAGCAATGTGTATTACTTTAAAATGAACTAAAATAAATATGAGCACCAGTTGAATTGATAAATTAATGTTTAAACTGCAAACATTCCCGTGGTTATCCTATGGTTGGAAATTTTTTGCTAATCAATCATAAAAATGATGGGAAAAGATTTTTCAAAATGATTTATTCACACCAGTGGTGAATGCATATAAAACCTCGTGATCCGTCTCATGGAGGCGCACTACAATTGATTGCCAAAATGAATTTTTTAGTTTTAAATCAAATTTTTTAAATGGAGTGTTATACCTTCATTAATGAATAAAAAAATATTTGGCAAAATCCACCAAAAGCGAGGGACTGGTTGACTGGATGTGTATACGGTCCAGCGACATATGAGATGGAGAAAGTGTGAACTTTTTCAAGGATGGCATTGGGTCACAATGCTTGGAAACCACAGTAGCAATCGCAGTCGGATAAATCGAAAATTCTTGATGATTACATCATTAAAACGAATTAAAACATTAAGACTGCCTGCTGTTTAATGAAGAAATTTATTTCGCACAAAAGCTGTTAAGTTATAATTTTTAACAAACATATTTCTTTTTTTTGAAGAATTCGTAAACCGATAGTTTTAAAAAGTAAGTGCAGATTATTATTTTTATGGAAGAACCGATTTCCATGCTTAAAAAAATAACTGGAAGTTTCTCTTCCAACCAAAATTTTTTGCACGAAAGTTACAAAATGTAATGAAATCCATTGTAAGAAAAGTTCAGATTAGCTTAAAATATGATACATTTATTTCAAGCTTAAAATATTGCAAAACAATGTATAAACTTCAGCAAATTTTTCAACACGCTTCTTATAAAAATTTCTGTTAACAAAGAAGCTAAAGCAGAAAGAAGTATTTCTATCGTTCAAAAAAACATTATATGGAACAAACATGGGCAAAAAAATTGAGATTGAATAAAAACCAAAATAAAAAAGTGCTAAATTTGAAATAACAACCACCAACAATTTTAGTACAATGGATAAGGGAAAATCGCCGTGAAATGGTAATTTAAAAAATAATAAGTACCGAATTTTCAACGATAGAAATAAATTTGAACAAATCAATTATTTAAAAAAATTTATGCAGATCTAAAATAGAGAATGAGAAGTATATCATACTAATTTTCTCTATCTGCTTGTAAAATTATCTACCCAACTGTTCTTCTTTACTGGTTAATGGAACATAAATCACTCCCATTAACTCACGTTTCGTCACTCTACCATCTTCATCTTTATCAACTTGCACGAACTTTTGGTTGCTGCGAGCCGCCCCAACAGGTATCAACATACGTCCACCACGCGCTAGTTGATCAATCAACTTTAAAACAAAACTGATGAAAAAAGTCTCATGTACTACTAGCACAAAATACAATAGTACAATAAAGCAATTTCGTTAACGAAAAACTCGCGAAAGACCCATTAGATTTATTACAAAATGAAAGTATGAAAGATCATGCATTAAAATCGAAAAACGGTTTAAGAAATTTAAAAACAAAAAACTCACATTCTTCGGAAAATCCGGAGCGGCAGCACCAACATGGATGGCTTTGTACGGTGCACTTGGTGGATAACCTAACCGACCATCACCCTCGACCATCAAAATACGGCCACTTGACAATAGTTCCGGGTGATTCTTCTCAATATTCTTAATAGAAAGATCGACAAGCTCCTTCACATGATCGATTCCCACGACTTTGCCCGTTCTTCCGACCTTTAATTTCAACAGACTATAAACATTGCAAAGCTGAAATGCTTCGGAAAAAAAAGGAAAACGCTTCTTAAAGCAGTTTTATATCGAAATTGAATATATACCATCAATGCCATACAGGTTGTCAAATATCCAGACCCTGAGCCAACATCTAGTGCTGTATCACCTTCTTGCAAATGATCTTTTAATCTTTCCAGAGCAGAAGCATGCTATAAATAAAATCATTAAGCATTTCATTGATGCATTTCCCATCAATTAAAAATTAAAAAAAAAGAGAATTATTAATATTGCATTAAATACATACAAGAACAAACACTCACGCCATAAATTTAATACTAACTTGGAAATGAACCAAAAATTCAATAAGAAACATGAACCATAATAAATAAATTATGCATTTTCAGGGAGAGTTTGAAGATTAATGTAGAACAATCACCATATGCGGTGCACTTATAGTCGCACCATAACCAATTGATTCTGGATGGTCTTCATATGGATTTTGCGGACAGAAATCTGCTCGATCTACACTTAACATCGCATTTTTTATTCTCAAATCTTTGAACAGACCATTTTCTGCAAATAATACAGCGACATTTAGAAAAATTAGAAAAGCAATAAATGAGAAAAATCCAAATTCCTTGAAAAAACTAGTCTAAGCTTTATTATCCAATACAATATATTCCTTACCACAGTTGTCAACCACAGTTCCTTCTCTCGAATCCTAAATTTCGACAAGCCTCAACATCAACAATTTCATCTTTTGGCTTCCGTAAGGAGTTATAGGGCTCACTAATTCTGGTTAGACCTGCTCCACTTATTATTAGTAAATTTTTGCCGAAAAGCAACTTGAAAAGAAAATTCCAGCTGAATCTCAATACAGACTTATCAGTGGCAAATCAAGTCTTGGCGGAAGTAGGATCTACCCTGGAGATCGAGGTGATGATCTGAGCAAGATCAATAACCACTCGGATGCGCTGCTCCCTCTTGGCAACCCATTTCACGCATCTGAATCCCTTGTTCCTATCATTCTGGACATAATTTTTTGATCAATAACTATCTATTACCTGGCAATTCTTAAGTAAAAAACTCGACTGATTTAAATTTTTCTGGCAAATATTTGAAAAATTGTCCAATAACCTTCGAAAATCAACGTATGTATCTTAACATTCAAAAAACCATTGCATTCTTATGATGTCTCTTAATACTCTTCACTATTTTCACATTACAAAAAATCACCAATATTTCTTCATCGATATCCTTTCCCTCTTCGCCAACTTCTGTATACTCCTCTTCACCGCTGGTCCCCCCTCCTCCTCCATCACCGTTATTTACGCGCTTTTCTAACCTGTATCTGTAGCTAAAGTGTGCTACCAGATTTGAGGTGCTAATGGAAAATAATATTGGTGACTGGTGTTACAATGAGTGGTTTAAGAAGTAAAGCTTTAAGAGTATTACAAGAGAATAATACGCGTTTTGATGATACGTTTTAGAAAATATGATGGATTTTATGGGATAGGGAAGGCTTCAATATGATCGAACGAGATTTCGCAGCAAGACATTCCCATTTTTACTCTAATATATATACCCACGTATGAGCCACGTGTTTTTTTATATAGATACTACTGCATTTTTCTAAAGCCATGTTTACGCCTTCTCCGTTATACTCACATGCCAAGGAGAAACTGATAGAGTAATTTACGACCGTGAGACAATAGATCGAAAAATCGACCAATATGTTCCAACTGACAATAAAATAAGATAGTAATTTTTATAAAAAAGATGAAAATAAAAAATATGCACTCATAAGATTTTCAACGAGAGAAATATTCGAATGTCCATGTGATCTCCAACTCATTTTTGATTTGATATATCGACCGTATATATTTAACCCTTCGGCTTCAGTTAAACGCGATTCATTCATCCATTCATTGATTAAATTCAGTTGAATTTGTCAAAAAATAAAAGTGAACCAATCGATTACTTTATTATCTGATAAATTATTTTAAATATTTGAATAAATTTTTGTTTTTTTTAACTTTTTTAACGAAAAGAATTTTTATATTACCAATGAATTTTTGCTAGTGTAGTAAATAAATTTAGAAAATTAAAGTCAAAAAAACTTAAATTAAAAAACATAAAACAAATTTAAAAGAATAAAAAAATCACAACTAATAGAACGTCTCAACTCACACAGACTCTTCCAATACTCTGAATAGAACATAAATAAAAAACCATGCATCCGACGCTCGACTGCGAAATAGTGTTCTATATAAATTTTGGTATTTAGCGTCCATGTTCCACTCATCTAGTTCAGTGTATATTTCCAGGTTATCTTGACGAGTCGAGCTGTTTGCATTTCTGTGGATTAATTTGTTTTAGTTATTAGGTTGGCCTAGGTCATATTGCCAGTCAAGCATTACTTCATCTTTAGATCTTTGGTTATATTTCAAAATCAGTTCAACGAGACGATAGAGAATGGCTTCTATCGAAGGTTATTAATTTCAAAAAAATTAGAAAATTACCTAATTTTTGGCTTTTCTTAAAGAATTTCGTTGTTTTAAAGTTTACATTTAGATTCAATTGATCTGGATTTCGATTCAAATGAAGACGATTTACTTATTAACATGGAAAAATCCGATCAAAAACTTCATCGGGTTCATTTTTCGTTCTTTTTTTCGTTTGTTTAGAAAGGCGCCTATGTTGATAACAAAAGCATAAAACATTCATATAATAGAATATTTTAAAAAGGAGATAAATGGGAAAAGAAAATAAAATTGTATTTGTGGTGGCGTATTACTCCAGGTGGAAGTGAATCAGTTTTTCATAAATCCGTATTTTGCTGGCAACTCACTTGTACTTCTATCGCCAAGTGACTCCTCCGGCAAAATCTTTCTGCTGCGATAAGCCAGCGAACCTAACCTGAAGTGATGAGGAAAAAAAACTTATCACATTGTTCATACTAAACGATATCGTGAATAAATGTATTCAATTTATTTTTAAAATTTGATGTTGAATCACTTGTCAGTTTGTTCCAGTGCTTAGTGTTACTTATGGAAAAATTATGATAAAATTAAAATCAATTTAAAATAAAATTAAAATTAAATAAAATTGAAATCATTTTAGTCTTATAGTTTCATTATATTCAGTCCATTATCTCCAGTATTATTCAGATTTAAAGAGAATTTCATACCTTCTAGACCAGCAAAATCGTCCAGGAATCTTATTTAATTTCTTTATGAATCAAACCAGAGTTTGAGTTTGAATTAATAGAATTTAAACCGAAAAAAATGCACTACCAGTAACAATTTTTCGCAGAAATTTAATAAATTTTTTTATGAAATTTTAATGAATTTTTATTTTAATGATCTATTAATTAAATTTTTGAAAAATGATTTGAAATATTTCTTTCAAATATAACTATATTTTTTTTTCTACTTTCTCTCACGATTTGTTGTTAGGTTCGCTCATTTGGCTTGTAGGACCAGATATTTTTCCAAAGAGTCGCTTGGCTACAGGTGAATTACTAGCATCATCCGAATATATTTTAATAGATATATTTGCTTTCGTCAGAAATAGCCCACTGAGCCATCCTATTCATCTCCTTCACATTTTTAAATGTTTTTTCTTACTGAAGTTGACTAATTGCAATATTTTCAATGTCTAATTATTTGTTCTAATTATATCGAAATTCAACTAGAAAAATTATTAGGTTGAGAGTGGCAAAATTCATGATATATTTTATGATTTAAAATCAAGTCAGTTTTTAGTTTTTTAGAATTCTGAATTTGTGATTGTTTATAGGATTTCTATTATTAATTCTTCTGAGTAAAATTTTCGGTTTTACAGCTGATAGCGTTAACTTTTATAAAGCTGAACTTTAAAGTCACAGGCTGGGACGCGATTGTGCTGACCAGATATTCACATCTAAAGGTTCAGTTTATAGTGTTTTAAAGGGTGATGGAATATGACGGTGTTCCAAAGTAGATCGTTCGATTCATAAGGGCATTTTATTAGCGTACATCGGCACAGGTCTATGTATATGGGAAAGTGACAAACTGAAATAAAGAACTGTTATTAAGGCTGCGTCATTTCCCCTATAATATTCAACTGTGCGGTAGATTGGAAAATGGACACCACTTGTCGGTATTCAAGACTTATTAAAATCAGTCCAGAGTATAGTATCACAGACGCTGATAATCATTTTTGCTGACAATTATGACTAAATGCAAATAATACTAAACAATGTGTCGACGACTGCTACGAGAATCAGATTCATAGTCAATATAACAAAACGAAAGCATTTTCGTCTTATAACCAGAAGCTGAAGAATACCTATTTTTTTCGATTCGATCGCCGGTTAAGCGAGTGCCACACCTTAAATATTTTGGATATCTCTCCATTCTAATTCCAGATGGCCAAGCGAGAGACGAAATTACAACTCGGACTACTAGAAATAGTCCTATCGGTTAGCGAAATCTTTCAGTCGTGATATCACCATCAAAATGAAAGTCTGCATCTGTATACTTGTTATCACTATGTTCAATCAGTGGAAGATATTAAGAAGTTATCTGTCTTTGATCACTCATGTTTAAGATATATTATACGACCTACATTAGGAATACCATTACAAAGACTCGCCTTCACTGTTTAGTGCATATTCTTCGTCATTCACTTCATGAATATATTTTGTTGGTTCTTAAACCACATGATGATTGGCGTCAAAAACAAGGAGGATCCAATCAAGGCTTAGACTAATATAGTCAGGAAAGATTTTAATCGTAGTGATATGTGGACTTGGATGACGGAAAAATGATGAAAATGATGGAATGGCTTCTATTACTGTCAACGATGGTGTCGGATCGAATAGCTTGGAAATTCTTACCCCTGTAGTCAGCGGAGCCGGCTTAATCAGTAAATTATTCCAAAACAGTAGAACTGAGACGCTAAGGCAGTACAATAATCCAAAAAAAAAAGAACTGACCAAAAACTTCATGTTTTGTGAGGAACACGCCCACAAAGATAAATTGGAGGAGAGATAAAATTTTTTTGTGTGGAGTGATAAATATATGCCGGCATCGTGGAAGTTATTCATTATGGTAAACCCTCTTGCAGGGAATATAATCAGATCTATTGTTGAAATCGTTAGTTTACGTTCATTAACATTTAAAATAATAGTATATAGGGTCAGGCAGAATAAATTAAACATAGGACTAAACAATGGATATCTATTTAAAATTAAGTGCGCAACTATTTTCTTTATCGCATTTCACATTCAGTAAGAACCTAGTCGGATAATTAATTCAAGTTGGTAGCTTGTTTTCTACCTTTGATTAATTAATCTTATATAATTCTTTTATACCCATATTATAAATAATAAGTAAATACTATTTTTTGGTGTTACGAATAATAACTGTCTAATTATTAAACGGCGAAGTATTTTGCAAATTTTTGATATAAATGGTTTATTGAAATTTGATTTATATAAATGGTTTATTGAAATTTTGAAATATAACAGATTTTAAATGAGGATTTGTGTACATTAAGGGAAAAAGAATTATAGATATATTTCTAAAAGTCGGAATGAGTAATTCAAAAGTAAAGGTTATTTTAAGTCGTAGTTAAACTATAAGAGTCTGAAATTAGGACTATTTTTAATTATTAAACCAAGATTCGAAATGTACAATTCTAAATTCATACAGTTCACTTTAATATCATCAATTTGGACGAACATCGGATGATTTGTATTGTGCAAAATTTTGTATTTTAAATCACGAATACACCAGATACACCATATCTGTGACCAGAGGAAATTTTGCTAAAGAATTGTTTGTACGAACAACTGGAAAAAAGAATGCTAAAATATTCTCTTAAATAAATTCACTTAAAGATATCCCTACCAGTATACAATCTTATTGCATCATTGAAAAAATTCGGGCTATTTCGTGTCGTTTGTTTTGTAGGACTATAATTTTATTTTTTAATTTTATTGAAAATTAATATTTTTTTCGAAATAGGTACTGTTGCAGTGAAAAGAATTTTGTTAGAGTAGGGTATACAAGTTTATTTATGTCCATTTACGTAAAATTCTCGGTTTCTGTGATCATTGAATCGCTGGGATCCTCTTGTTTCCGAAAATGTTTATCCTTGAAGAAATTGTCGAGGAAGTGGAAGAAGTGAAAATCTACAGACCAAAGACTTGGGGAACATGATGGATGAGAACGGTCTACGATGTTCAGCTGGGCAGATTTTGTTAAATAATTTTTACGATACGCGGTCTGGTGTTGTCGCATAGAATGCGATGGTTAGTGTGTTGTTACTGGTGACTATTTCTATTCCTCGAAAGGTCAGGTTTTGGTATATGCCAAGGCTAATTCTTATCCAGTCATTGCACCGATTCTTTGTTAAGGAATTTATTTTTTATCACAAACATCAATCCATGAAAAAGATCGTTTTTATTGCATTAGCAGAGAACGATTTGTCCAAAGGCCTTCCTCATCTGACGCTCAATCAATTCGTTGGTACCCATTTGCTAAGTTTTCCCCTCATTTCACATGATTCTTCTTCTAACAGCTCTCACCATTACTGGTTAGGCTGGCTTCAACGGCTACAAAGATAAGACGCTTCCAAGCGGTGCGATCTGATGCCATCGTCGACAGTAATAGAAGTCATTCCTTTTTCCATCTGTCTGAGTCCATATATCGCTGGTCCACCTATACGTTCAAAATCTTTCCTGACCGTATCAATCCAGGTCTGGATTTCACATGATTCCACATCTTATTATATGGAATGCCAAGCTGTGGCGCTAAGCTTACTCAAGTCCTGCATTGACTTCTACCATCATATTCAGATATTCATTTGTAGGACAGCCTGGATCCATGCTTCCGGGCTCGAGTTTCACGACCTAATCTTGCTCTGTTCTTTGTTTCTTCTTACAGCTCCTACCATTACTGGTTAGGCTGGTTGCGCTGTCTACAAGAATAAGATGCTTCCAAGTTGCATTTCTCAATTCACATATATTATATTTGGTACTTTGTATAAATTTTTTTTGATCCACACACACTTTGTGTGAACAACTCGTCGTCTATAGTTTTTATAAGACTCAAAGTGATTCGTATCTTTTGCTAGAGAGACTCATCCATGATTTAAATAGGCTGTTAAATGGACTCAACGCTTTTTTCTATCCTCTCAAAGGAGTGTTTCGCCTTCGCGAAATTCTCGTTGTAATCGGTAGGGTTTTGGCTTTTAAAAGCAATATACTTCATAATCTTTTCACTAAATTTTCACGCCTTTCATACTTTTTTTTTGAGAGTCTTCACCATTACTGATTAAACTCGCTCTACAGGCTTGTCGCAATTGGGCAGCATGCCCTTTGGCGATAGAAATACAGGTCAGTCACCAGCATCACTTGGATTTTATACAGTTTTGCTCCTGCGAGGAATCGAATCTCAGCATTGGCGCTCCTAATTGAGCAACAACCCACTGAGCCATTCTATCTCCAGGCTTTTCGTGCTATAAACATTGAAAAAACATTTATCTTTAGGACTATGTGGATATAAATTTTATAAATTTTATATAAATTTATAAATTTTATAAATTTATATAAAATTAAATAGATTATAAATTTATAAATAAATAAATTTATATAAATTTTATAAATTTTCACGAAAATATTCGCCGAATTTTTCATTTCTTTTATAAATCATAAAAAGGCGTTATTTTTTTGAATTACGTCGTTTCATTCAGATTTTCTCCTCTTCTTTCCTCTATTCCACTCGTTTTCAATAATTTTATTCACTCGAGTTTTCGAGTTTTTTTTATTAATTTTATTCATTGTTAGTTTATTTGCGTGTTCCATGTACTGTGTGTTTATGGAAGAAACCTTAAATCAGTGGGAATAGTTCCACTAAAATTTCTATTTCCATCTTATGCGTTTTATTATTCATGGATTTCGAGAGAGAGAGAGAGATAGGTTAATTGTGGTCTTGAAAAGAAAATAAAAGTAAACCACTGTAGATAATCAACGTTAATGATGATTCATTTTATATTGGAGCAAAATTGTATAGATTCAATTGTTAATAGCAATTATGATCGTGATGAATTAATGCGTGAATTAGTAAAAATAGAGGTCAAAGGTCGCAGTGTTGATTTATTTCACTGATTGTCACTGAAATTATTAAGCGGGAAAGGAATTTCTTTCGATGATTTTTTAAATGAATAAAGAATTGGGAAATTTTGAAAATAATTGAGTACAAGAATTGGGAAACTTTGAAAATATTTGAGTACTTTTGATAAAAATTAATAAAAAATTTTAAGAAGGAGTTTATTATTGCAATATTTAGCGATGCGATGCGATATTTGCTTTAATTATTTTAGATTTTTAAGAAATAAATACGATTTCGAATAGCGTTGATATGATAATATGATAAAACGTGCACTTATCATAAATCATTCGAGACGACGAATCACAGACTGTAAGATTTAATTCGCAAGAAACCATATTAGCGTTACTTTATATAAATATATCGGCAAAGAGAGGAAGTAGAGAAGACGTGGAAAGTGAACGTGAAAGTAGTCTCAGTGATAATAGAAGACATCTGAACTGCGAAAGTGGCTCGAACAAATTCCAGGAACGACGCTGGAGATCTATCCGGGAAAGCGCATAAGGGAGCGCACAAGCTGAGATATTTATTGCGCAGAACCCTCGAGCCTCTGGTAGAAGTAGATTGGAGGATGACTGGGAGTGAAGAAGGAAGTCGAAGTAGCAGAGTACTCAGATTTCAGGTTCATGCTTAATGAAGTTCTCAGCATCATGAATTAATTAACATATAACATCGTTCTACCCGTTTTCAAAATAAAGTTTTAAAAATAAAGTTGACAGTATTTGAGCTCAAAAAATCAGTCCATTGCTAAAAATAGGCATTCCTTCACTACACTATATTATTTGCAATTTCCTTACGATAATTGCGGCATGTTGAGATATTTTTTAGGGTTTTTTTATATTTCATATTTTCTTTAATTTCCATTTGTTCTATTTTGCTATTACTTTAGTTTATTTCTTTAATAAAAAATAAGTAGAAGAAAATCCTTGCTCTTTTTCCATGGATTTGGAAATATTTTAGCGAACTTTTCGCTTTCATTGATTGATTGAGAAAGTTATTTGCGTTTTGAAAAGAGGGATGATCGTTGGCAAAAGTGAATCATTAGTTTTTTCATTTTTTTTTGTTTCGAAAGTTCTTTTGAATGGAAATTTTTAATATTAGCGGGAAAAATTCAAATTTGCCCATATTATTATTGCTATTAAATTAATAAAATTATTTATTTCTATAATAATTTTAGTCGTTTTGATGAGGGATTTTTGATAAATTTTATAAAAGTAATTACATTCATAAAAGAATTGTTCTTTATTATCCATTCAATTCGTTCTTTTATTGAGCGAAGACAAAATCGATATGCTTATTGGCGTTTTTAAGCGATTATTAATTGTTATAGTATTGAAGAAAAGGAGGAAAGAAAAAAAGAAAATGGTTTTGTTTAAGTGAAAAGGAAAAGAATGAATGATTTGCATGAATAGCGAATAATGATGAAGGTATATATGCGTAAATAAATAAATAAATAAGTGAAGACCTTACATCTGTTATAATTTTTTGTACGAACAATTTGCTATTGCTTTCTGTCATGCGTTTTTTTTTTTTCCTTTTGTTCGAAGAAGGAGAAAATTCGGATATAATCTGAGCGAGTTTTTTTTATGTTGCATTTCGGTCGTAAAGCTGTCATTAGAAGGCAAATATGATTAATAGTTGAGGATCGAACTGTTATACGATCGCTGATGATCGTATAATTCTCGCATAGTCTAATTAGTTATTGAATACGCTTAAAATGAAATAAAGAGAAAAAAATTTCGATTTACGATTTATTTTTTTGCATTTGATTATAAATAAGTTCGCCTTCTAAGACAATTGTATTCCTATTCCTTCACATTTGTCATTTTTCATTTCTCTCTATTTTTCTCCTTTTTTTTTTCTGAAGTGATCTCAGTTCTTCGTCTTTCGTCGTTAATGAGAAGTAGCAGTTGTTGTCATACGCGTGCAATCGTCGCGGCCGTCGCCGTCGCTGTTCTCATTATCACCATCGTTATCGCCATCATCTTCATCATGGTCATCGTTATGCCTTTTCCTCATTTTCACCGTTGATTCAGTCGTCAAATCGTTACTAACTTTGTTTAGTTCAGTTAGTATTCGGTGGTGGTAAAGTTGCATAAGCAATTTTTTTGTTTACTTCTCTTCTTTCGCATTGATCATTATTTCGTTGAACATGCGTGAATGTTTTTCTATCCAACAATCTTTATGTTACATGTTCTCTAATAAGTTATTTTTAATTCTGCTTGGATGATATATAATATTTTGTGAAAACTTTTGATGTCTGGATGCGTTTCTGGTGTTGTCATTGTCGCTCCTTGCGTAGACCATTTTATCGAAGTTCAGGACGATGGGGCGGCGGTCGATTGCGGTTCTCCTTACTGTGGAGAGGCGAGGGAGTCTAAGCAGGGGATGTTTGGATGAAATTATTCGTTGAGTGAACGTTTATTCTTAGAGAGGGATTTGAATTTTTGAAAGCGTGAATTTTGAACATTTCATCGCTGAATTATTGTTGTGTTTGTTCTTCGTAAATTAATGTTGACGGCGTTATCATTAAATGATTTCGTTTATCTGTGTAAATTGTGGTGAAAATAAGAAAATTGTTAAAAAATTCGAAAATTTTTGATGAAAGGGATTTGTTTGTTGATGAATACAATAGGGCGTGGTGGAGGAGGAAAAAGATGCAAAGCAGCATCAGCAAGCATACACAACTACTATAACATCAATTACTCTTACTCATCGATTGTTGGTCTTAAGAAATAAGCATTGCTGAGAAGATAAGTTGTGTAGATATTTATATTTATAATAATAATAATAATAATATGAAGCAAGTTGCTTAATATTTATTTGAACTATTTGAGAAAAGGAAGGAAAAAGTGCTTGAAGCCTGGAACTTCGACTCAACCTTAGTTTAATAAGTGTAGGTGAGCAAAGTTTCAGGTGTTCAAGCGCATTCACATTTCTCATTAATATTTTCCGCCATTTTTTTTTCTATATTTAATTCAACATTTAATCGTCTCTTTACTAAGTTGTGATTGAATTAATAAATCTTTAATAAAAGTTGTTTATTCTCTTCTGTGCTATAAAAATTTTTTTTTGGATGAAAAAAAGGTAAGTTTCTAAATAGAAAATTTCGATAAAGTCGATGGCTGAACATCGATGAGAATTAGGAGAAAAAGGAAAAAAAAAAGTTCAGAAACAAAGAAATGATGCTTCACTTATATTAAAATTGAAAAAATTAACTTTGTCTATTTTCAGTCGACATTATCACGACCACCACTGGTATATCATTCGGAGGATGCGAGTGGGGAGCATCGAGAAAAAAATCGTCAAAGGGAACCGGTGAAGTTCCATGTTAATGCAAACCTATTTGGTATTGAATCAGAAACGCACGATGAACGTTATAATGTAAGTTTTAATACAGCCACTTTGAATTTTCTTAATGAAGGTTTTTTTTGCGGTTCGTTAAGTTCGAACTGGCGTGTACCACTTGAGGATAGCAGAAACCACTTTGAAATAAAATTTTTCTTTGCGTGACTCCAGTAACTTTAGAGTGAGAATTTTTAGCGGAGAAGTCTCACTTTGGAATGAGTCATCAGCAGTTCTTCATTTCCCTTTTAAAGGACACGTTGAACCCATTATATTTTGAGGATTTGTTGTGCAACATGCCAGCGTCTATGAAGTTCTTCATTTAATTAAAATAGGTTTAGTCGTGGAAAGACGGCCTTAGGATTCAATGATCTCACTTGTCATCATTATGCTTATTCATATGTTCATCGTTTAACGCTTTTTCTTGATTAAATGCAGATGTTGATGAGGAAAACTTTTCCTTATTCATTTTAATTTCTGTCTTTTTCTTGATAAGTAGGGGTCCTTGCGTTTATTTATTTGCTTTTTGAAATGGTACGAATTTTCTTCGAAAATAAGAAAAAACGAAAATGATCTATTATTGGTAATAAGAAAAAAAAGCATTTGTCATATTGATAACGATTAAAGGAATTATGCCGACTATAGGAAATGAAATTTGGAAAATGGAAGGAGAAAAACTATTGATAAATGATGTTGAATGGAAATGATTTTATGGTTAATTAAGAGTTAAAAACGTAAAAATGATAGAACTATGAGAGAAAATTTCTTGCTTTTTCAGAAACTTTTTGATCTTCTTTTTTCTGATAAATTTTGTTGTTTTTTTGCGAAAAGAGATTTGCTCATTGGTTTAATAAATATTCTTCATTGTTTTGCAACATTTAATCGTTTTAATGTGTAAACTATTTGATCTTTGAATTCTTATCAACGAGTATTATACTTTTGAAATTCCATTTAACATTTCACGCTTGATTGCTTTATCTGGTTGTTACTCTCATTTAACAATTAGACTTATGCAACATTGGTTTGTAAGGTGAAAATCTATGATAGTTTGAGAAATAACATTTATTTATAGCACATCGCGGTTTTCATTTATTTCACATTTTTCTATAAATTTCTAGAAAAACTATGAAATAGTGAATGAGGAAGGAAGGCAAAATGTCGAATCGTTCGACATCATTTTGTAGCTTATAAGAATTGGAAATAATTATGTGAAATAAATGAATAAACAGAACAAAAAGAAAGTTTTTACACAAAATTTATGAGTCGAGAATATAAATTCTCACATTAGCTGATGGTGATTGATTGGCCGATTATTGTTTTAAGCGATCTGATTGATACCGCAGTGGTAATTCGGATGAAAGTAGTGAATAAGAATTAGGGATATTGTGTTGGAAGCGAAATCGATCAGATGAATTGGACTGTGATTGTGAACGTTCTTGATACACCTCGCGATAAGTTGATAAATCTTGTCCACTACTACATCATTAATTAAAATTATTTTTAAAATGAATGTCTTTATTGATCACTATCAGTTATTTTTAACAAACATTTATCGCAGTCCTTTATGAGATTGTATGTGTATCTCTTATAAAGTTGATAACCGAATGTGGTGGTATTTGATAAGATATTGGGAATTCATTGCGAGATTTGAGTGGGTGTTAACGTTTTACGGGGTTTTTAGAATGTTTTCGAGGATACTGAGGGAAATAGGAAAGAATTATGATATTATAATTATCAGTTATTTCTGCTGATATCAAGTTTCATGGTCTTGTTTCTTCTTCTCTCGCCAGAAGTAAGCATTAGAGGTGGTAACCCACTTTAGCCTTCATTTCCCATTTTCGCTTCTCCCTCCTAGTGGATTCTTTCGGAGAAAAGATTAGGGCTAATGAAAGGGATAATAGTGACTGCAGTTTCGAAGATAATTCTGTATAAATTGATCAAGTACAATTGAAATAGCACATAATAACTAGTTGTAATTAATTAATTAGAGTGGAGGACAAGGGCGGTTTTTTTCTTTTTAAGTTCAAGAATTGGGAAGTAATGGGAAGTTAAATTATAATTTCCTGATAAACTAAAAAAAATTTACAGATATAGTTATTGGAATTGTGAAATTCAAATCAAAATAGAGAAAAATAAAAATTAAATTAATTGCAGAGAAAGGACGATTTTGAAATTTAGCACTTAATGACCTTGATGCATTGATTAAAACGCATATTTGACTATCTGATTGATAGTTTTTCCATTTGCGTGAAATATATTAGATTTGCTAGAAAAGGAAAAGGTCAAGTTCATCAATTAAATGACATATGCCAATCAATGCTAATAAACGTTTTTTCGTCAGATTTATCGGCCATAATACACACCTGTTGAATCGCATCTCCATATGATTCAATAAAAATTGTTAATTGTTGTCAACTTTTTATAGTTAAGTTGTTATTGGAATAATTATTATGATTATTGTTTCAGATAACGAAAGAAGAGATGAAAGAATTATATGAGTCGATGGGAATCAATGAATTAACAAAAGAAAGTTATCGGCTTAATTCAGTTTTTCTTCGTGGAATTGATGATTTAAATGAATATGAAATTGAAAGGTGGTTAATTTTATTATCCAAAATTAGTAAATTTAATTTTAGCTTAAAAGAGTGTAGAATTGTTGAACGGATTGCTTACTATTTCGTTTCGGAGTGCGTGAGGTATTTTCCCTTCTCTGGTAGGAATGAAGATTTCTCTAAAGCCAGCCACTTATATAGTTCTCTCGCCTATTCCCTAACAGAATTTGTCTAATTCGGCCAGCCAAATGAGAATAAATAGAAAGAGTTAGCGATGTTAGCAAAAAAATATTCGAAAAGCGTTTAAAGAATTTGATTATCGAACAGTTATATTTTTTAAAGTTATTTTTTTTGGCTTTATTGTGTCTTTAGTAGTTTTTTCTGAAGAAAAAAATTAAAAAATTCTGATAAACGATGAATAGATTTTTTTTTTGAAAAGATTTCGGATTTAAAAATTTTGAAATATTTTTTTGAACTTTTTTAAAACATCTTTCTAAAAAATAATGAAGATAATCAAGCATCACTGATTAGTAAATGGCTTAAAGGAATGACGCAAAATAATTTGAGAATGATTTGCGTGACGTAATAAATCATTTGATGGTATTTAATTGCAGTTTTTAAGGATGTTCTCGGCTCAGAGAAAAAAGTATTTTTATAGGTATTTTAGGTCGTAATGATGTAACAATAATCAGTTTGTTGTTGATTCTTTTCTCTTTACTCTTTCCTATTATTACACATTGGTTTTATTTAGTAGTTATTGCATATGGTTTGGATTCACATTATGTCACATTTGATTTTGACGTAATTTTTGAGTCTTTGTTGCTTGGCTTTTCAAAAAAAAAGTTTTTCCTATTTCAATTAATAAATAATTTATTTTGAAACGAAAAAAAGAAATAAATTTATGCATGGGAAGATATGAAAAAAATGAGAAAAAATATATGGTAAATTTTAAATAAATAAATAAACATTTAAACATTGTCCATTTTTGAAGGTTTTTTTGAAAAATGAATATAAATTTTTCTTTGTTCAGTTAAGATTCGATGATTTATTTGTCTGTTTTTTTTAATTATCAATATTTTTGGAAAAAAACAGTTTGAAAGTTAGTGATTTTGATTATTTGTTTCTTTTTAAAATTAAGAAACGGATTTTGTTTGTCTAATTACAATTACGTAATTGGAATCATTTTGGGATTGTAACATTCAATTTTATTCCCCTTACCCCTCTCCCTCTTCTTCACTCGGCGTCGCTCACCCTCTCTTCCCTTCCGGCATCAAAGAAATCTTTGTGGATCGATTTGTCTGAATCATTGAAAAATTTCAGTTGCTAATTGCTATTTTTTTCATTTTACTGACGTTTAATATAAATCGTTCAATTTGAGAGATGTTTTTTCCTTTTATCTTGATAAATTTATTGAAAAATTTGGTTTTTTTTTTCTTCGGATCGTTTTGTAACTAAATAGAAAGGAAAGAAATATAGTATTCTCGAAAGTTCTTCACGAAATTTATTGAAAAAATTTCAAAAAAATTTCCAGTTTTAGTCTATCTTAAATAAATTTAATAAAAGGTAAATGGAAATGAATTACTTTATTTAGAATGTTTGCTGAATTCTCACCGTCACATGTGGAAATAATTGATTCGACGACTTGTGATGTTATATGGAATAGTCGATTTGTTGTTGCTAAGGTTTTTTTGCGTTATTTTGTTATTGGTTATCATTGAAATTGTTTTATTTTAGCATAAACAATTGAAAGTTTATTGTGAAAAGCTGATTTGTTTGCTTTTGTGGAGTGAAGAAAAAGAAACTAAAGCAAATTTGAAAAAAAAAAACAGATTTTTTTCAGATGATGTTAGAGATGACGAAACCAGTACGCCGTGTTCGAGGTGAACGCGAATTTGAAGAAGGTGAAGTGCATGACGATAGCGATGAAGAAGAAGATGGTGAAATGAAGGAAGAATGTGGTGATGATGTTACGATTAATTTTAAAAAAAAAGGTGAAGTGAATTCTTTTTTATTCATTTTATAAAAAAAATTTTGCTCAATTTTTTTATTTCTCTATTTTTTAGTTATTTTCGATTCTTGTAATATTAGTATTGGAATACATATGTTGTTTGAAAGTGGATTTGTTCAACGCAAATATAGTATATTTACATTGGGCAATTGATCTAAGACTAGATTACTACTACTTAAGACTTTCCTCTTCTTCATCATTTTCATATTTCCTTGCCTATAGCTGAGAAAAGAAGAAAACAAAAGAGCGATGCGTGGCAATAACGATATTAGTTAAATATTTAAAAGGGATTTACGCCTTGATTTTTTTTCGCTTATGAAATATGCAAGTATTAAAGTAAATTTGTCGATTATAAAGGAGAAATGAATTGGGATAGAAATGATGTGGAATTACTTTCGAATTAATTAGTTAAAATTTTTGAACTTAATTAAAATACACTCTGGGAAATTTGTTTTGTGATATTTTTACGAAAAAGGAAGTTAATGTAAAAGGAGATGATTTTATCGATGATGCTGTGTAAATATAGCAGCGGATTAATTAATCAAACACAATTTTTTTTCTTTATTCCGATGTGTATTAGAAAGGAAGATCTATCGAATTACAAATATGAACCAAAAATGAAGATGAAAAATGAGATAAGAAAGAATTTATGGAATAATGCGGATAGAAAATAGTAAATACGTTTGTCTAAATATTATAACACAACTTTTATAGTTTTTCTATTTGATTCCAATTTCTGAATTGATTTAGGAGAAAAGAGACCGTTGGCAAAAACATCAGATAAATTTATTGAAGTGGATGTCGATTTCGTCGATGTGCCACCAGGTGCTCTTTTTATTTCTTTTTTTTTACATTTGTGTTGAGAAAATTCAGAAAGAGAAGGAGAAGAGGTTCAAACTTGAACAAAGAAATCGAAAGGAGAGAATAAGAAAAAAAGAGGAATGGATTTTATTTTTCTTAGATTAGAAATTGAGATATGAAATTTTTTCTAAGATTTTTCCATCTGTTTAACCAAGAGTTGGTTTAGGAAAATGGCGTGCAATCACAAAACATGTGAAACAAAATCGATTAATCATTCTCAAATTTAGCCTTTGGGCAGAGGTTGCTAGGGTTAGTAAATTGAATTTTTTTTTAGTTTGTGCATCATCGATATCTCATTAGAAATTTTAAAAATTCTTAACTTTGAAATTTTTTTGGACTTTAACAAAATCCACTGATTTCTTCATTTAATGTGTTTATTATAATTTTAGAGATACAAGGAAGCAAACCGGTTGTGTCGATCTGCCAGTTCAGGTTTATTATGATTGTCATAGTTCCATTAATGTATCTTTTGTTTCCGAGTAAAAATTTTTTCATTTGAAAAATATGCCACTTTATGCTGTAGTGTTTCTCAAAGCATATAAATAATTTAGGTAGTAATTCATATCAGCGACCGATTAAAAAGGCCAGAATTCGGCCTGGCTTGAATATCTTTACAGAAGCGGGTGAGGAACTGGAATGGGATTATGAACATGATACAAGGTTCAAGGTTTTTCAGTTAAACTAAATTTTATATACGGTAGATATCTGGTTGTGTGTATCTTTCTATAGTTTTATTCACTTATTTTATTTTATTATTTAATTTAATTAGTTAAAATAAAGCATATTTCGTATTGTTTAAATTAAGCAATGGTGGTTTATAGATTTTATGTGGAAGATAAGAGTTCATCATCGAATTTTGAGAAAACAACAGAAACAAAAGGGTCTTCCGAGCTGCTGTTAGGAAAACGAAAAATTATAAGTCGTGGAAGGGGCGCAAAACATCTCAAATGCTTGGATGGAGTGCCATCCATCATTGATTCAATGGCGGCTGATGACGAGGAAAAAAGGTTTTCATTTTTTTTATCATTAAGAAGCAGGTGATCGAAATAGTCAATAATATGTTGGTTATATTAGTGATATTAGAGTCTTTGTAATTTTTGCACTGCAAAAGATTTTTGCATTAATTTGTTTTTTTCGTTCGTAGATATTTATAAGTCCTTGTTCAGATTTCTGGTTAAAAAATTAATTTCAGTAGAGTATCAAAATCATCATGCCACGCTTGAATAAGAAATTTCAAGCGCTTCAAGTGAAAAGTTTATTTTTTCCAATTTTTGTACTTTTGTAATTTTTTGTATTTTACACATTCCTAAATTCTCTTTACTTTCGCAGTCGAGTGCTAAATATTTTTTTGTAGTAATGTTTTAATAAAATGTTTTCTTTTATCGCTATTACTATATATGAAATTAATATATTTTTAGATTATCTTGTATTGGAAATTGTCTATTTTCGATATTTATTTGTAAATCCCTTTTCTGTTTCCGCACCAATAAATTACTTAAATGCGTTGCAAGATAAATCAAAAGTGCCATAAAGCATTTAATCTGTACATCTGGAATATAAAATATTTTTTGGAAATTAATAAAAGGCCTATGGTGGCGAATAAAAAAGTGCTAATTTTGGGGATAAAGAGGGAATTAAATCCAAAAATCCAAAATATGCATTTTATTACTTAACACGTTAATAAATACGTTAATATACTTTATACTTTATTGTTCCTAAATTTTTTGAATATTCGTCAACGACAACCAATAAAATTTTGATTCTTGGATTTCGCAACGGTTCATTACGATAACACACAAGTGAATATCACTCGTAAATTGTTGAAAGCGTGGCGGGATACACGTATTATGTAGCTTATAAGAGGACTCGCACGTTCGTGGCACCGCTGGAAACAATTCCCTGAAATTTGCTCGCGGTGGGGAACGACGAGAATGACTTGGATAGCGTGGATGGTGGGCGCGCTGTATGGGACGGCGATTGTGTTGTGGGTATATGTCCTAGCAGAGGCTCGCTGACGGCAACGGTTTTTCGCAAAATTTGAGGGATATGACGATTACGCGAATATTTTATTGCTGTGAGAGAAAGGGGAAGGTGCAGGGTTTACATGGTCTTTATCGTAAGTGCCGAACTTTGAGAGTCCGAAGTTTGGATATTTGGAAAATTCGAGCAATTTCTAGAAGTGACGGTTGATTGGCTGGATAAATTTTCAGCAGTTCAATTAATTTTCTACTTGGTTCTTCCATTTGTCTTTTGGTAGATTGGAGTAATTTTGCCCTAAAGAATATTTGGAAAATAGAAGTGTGGGCGCTCTGCCACTGTTGGGATAAGTTTGTCGTTGCCAAAAGTCGTGCCACGATGCAATAACCCATGAATAAAGTTTTAAGAAATAAAAAATAAGAAATAAGTTTTAAGAAATAAGTTTCTTTTTTTAGTCGTCCAGTGGGTGAAGTTAGCCGGAGAAGTTTGCTAGCATTGCCCAGGTTTTTGAAGGACGAGTTTATTACCGTCGGGAGTGGGACTCAAGTAGTGCTGTTGTGCTGTGCCGCTGCGATACGAGAGCAGCAGCTCTTTATTTATCATTATTTTCAGTAAAAAATAAAAAGAAATGGCGAAGTGGGGTGAAGGTGATCCACGATGGATTGTCGAAGAACGGCCCGATGCTACAAATGTTAATAATTGGCATTGGTATATTCGTTTTTTCAGCTTTGCCACAATTCTGCTACACTTTAGATTATAGAGCAGGGATAGGATGGATGGATGGTCGAATGATATTTTGTTTCGGCTAATTTCAAAGCATCACTGATTGATTCTCTCCTTTGATGGTAGTAAACGTTGCTATGGTCCCACTACACTAAAAATTTGACGATGCTTCACTGTTGTGAAAAAAGTGATTTTTTTGTAATCCAGAAGAAGGCTAAAAGAACCATTAGTGGAGAGTTTTCTGTAAAAACTTTCGTTTTTGAATACTATAGGACCGAGAAGAATGCTACTCCATGGTCAAAAGGACGATTAAAAGAATTATTATGTGGGCAGAAAATTACGAAAGAATTTGTTCATATGAGATTGGACAATGAATTTAAGAATTTAACCGGTGAAGCAACAGCAAATAATCGAAAGGCAAAGCTAATATTTTTCTACGAATGGGATATCGACATGGGATTTAAAGGTTTTTTGTATATTTTTATTTTAGTGCTTAGTTTTCTTTTAAAGTTTATTTTTACTGTCATGCAAAGTTTGAGATTGTCTTCTAATAGCTGCGCAACACCATTTTTAATTCTGCTGACTTCCTTCGTTACCATACCACTGTGCCAGCGAGACTCTTAAAGAGAGAGTTATTTGGTTGATCTTCGTCGATTTCCCTTTTCTGTTAGGTTTATTGGCACCTAAAAGGGCGGGAAGCAGAATTACTTGCTTAGAGGAACGTATAACTGAACCATCAGTGCTCATTAATTTGTGATTTACAGTGAAATTAGCTGGAAACGACGACGAATATGAAGGTCGATTAGAAATACCAAATCTTAGCGATGAATTTGATTCGCGTGAACTTGAAGTGAAATTTTTAAAATTTTTTGATATATTTTTATTTGAGAAATTTTTTAGTTTAATTATATTTGGAGCGTTATAACTTATAATTTTTAAATTTTTGCATTAATTGATATTGAAGGTGACAATAAGTTTTCACGCGAACTGTCCTCGATTAGCTGAAGTTCAACAGATTTTACGCACAGATTTAGTTGAATTTGTAAGAAAACAGCTTGCAATCTACATTCGCGAGTTGAAAGAAGAATTTAGTAAAGGTCTTATACTTCCAACTGATCGTAAGCCTCAAGTGATTATTTCTGAGAACAAAAGCATTCCATCGACAACTGTGAAGAAAAGTGATTTCCAAAGTCACATAGTATGTTTTTTTCTTTTTAATTTTTTCATAATTCGTAATTTCAATGCTTCTAGTGTTGCCAGTGCTGAATTATTTTTTTGTAGAAATAGGAAGACTTTTCATAAACGTTTTCTTCCATTCAAAACCCTGTTCTCTAATAGCATTTTAAATATATATTTAAATACATTTTAAATACAAGAGATTTCGAAATATTCATTCTGTCTGAACGTTGAAAAGTTTTTTTATTTTAGTTAGTTAAGTAAATTACTCAGAAAAACATTTTTTAATGACTAAAGCTTTTTCAGGAGGTATCTGGTAATCAGTATGTTCCGAATACCCAGTCAACTGGTATGTTTTTTTCTTTGGTTAAACTTTCGTTGTAAATGGTTTTAAATCATTTCGTCATATTTCTTTTTTGTATAAAAATTTTTTACAACTATATTATATTGTCATATTATATGGAATTGTTTATATGAACTGGAGAATAAATTGTATTTTTTAAGTTGAGCCGTCATCGTTAAAATCACTTTCGATGACAGAGTCGTTCAAAGTTCAGCCAGATATTTTATGGAATATTCTAACAGATTGCTCGGTTAATTTTTCTTTCGATTTTCCTCTTTTTATGCGACTTCTTTTATTCTTTCATTCTTGAAGTATTTTTGTCTTAAAATTTGAAGAAATTTTTGTTTATTTTTGTTCCCATGAAGGTTTCCATTTTTGCCAAATCTTCATTTTTTTGTTTCATTTACTTAGCTCTTTCACATTTATTTATTTATACTTAGCTCTTTCACATTTATTTATTTTAGTTCATTAAAAAATGGACGAACAGCGATGTGAAGATTGATCTGCAACGTGGTGGTACATTCTATTTTTACAGTGGTATGGTTTCGGGGAAGTTTTTAGAAATTGTAAGTTATTTGATTTTTGTTTGATTTGTCTCAGAATTTTTTGAATGAAAACATACTAGAATTAGTTTTTTTGACGAAAAAAATTTGCACTTTGTAATTCAGCATTTTTCGGTACCTTTTTTCCTGGTTATACTTGGTATTTTTATGTTTTGGTAATTGCTGTCGTATTTTTTATTAATCGGAATATCTGAATTAAGGATCCAATCAAAGAAATAAAGATGAATTGGCGGTTGAAGTCATACCCAGGCAGTCATCATGCAGAAGTCACTTTCCTTTTGGAAGATGGGGTTATTTTTATTCAAATTTTTTGGTACAGGAGTAATTCTGTCGTAACCTATAGTTTAATAATTTTGTTTTTATGCTGATTTTAATGGAACTATTTGAATTTCTATTGATTGTTTTGGCTGAAAACATTTCTTTACTAAGAATTGTATTGTTAATTTTAAATGGGTTAATTTAGGTTTTTAACACTTAATAATTTTATAATTTTTTAAAATTGGATTTTTTTATAAAATGATTTTGGAATTTCGTAAAAACATTTTCTTTTTAATTTTAATCATTGGAAGATTTTTAGAGTGATTGTACAAATTTACATATTAAAGCGAATGGAATACCACCTATGCAGTACGATGAAACAGAAGACGGTTTTAGGCGATTTTATCTACTCAATATTGGTAGAACATTTGGCATTGATGCACATATGAATTTTTTCTAAGCTTCTTTCATTCCTTTTTAACTCGTAAAATTAAACATATGTAACTAAAAGAAGACATTCTGGTTTATTTTTTATTTAGTTTTGTTGTTTATGTGGCAAAAGTATGATATTCATATGTTGAAGATTCTCATTCTTTTTGTGCTTTTCGTTTGCAGCAAATCTATCTATAATTATTAGTTGTTCGATGAGTTTTAAATTTTTTACTTGTTGAATTCATGGTATTCCCCAGAAATTTTTATTTCTTTTTCATTCATTAAATCGCTATGAAGTTTATAAAGTTTGATATGACTTGCTTTGCAACAACTTTGGTGTTTTTACGTTAGATCACATATCTTTTATTCGTTTTTTTTGTTCTGAACATTGTCAGAAAGTATGTCGGGAAAAAAGAAACAAGCTAGCTATGATGGCTTTAGATTATTGTGTTAAGAAGCAAGAGTTCGGTTTCTTGATAGTTTTAAACCTGTCGTTAAAATATGCTGTTGATGGTAGCATAGTCATACTTTTATTGTCGGGTGGATCCTATGAAATTTTTAACAAAAATGTGCAATCTGTAGCAGTAGAGTTTCGAGCCTTACCAGGAGTGATGTGTGCCAATTAGTTAGAAATTATCGATTTTCCTTAATCAGTCTTTTGGAGTGAAACGGGGAAATGGAGTTTTGATAAAAATCTTAAATTTTAGGTTTCTCTACTTATGTTGAAAAAATTTGTGGATGCGAAAGCGGTTCGGGAAATACTTGTGGTTTGCTTTATCTGATTGATTTTTGAAAGTTGGACAAATTCATCGAAAAGTTAAATTTATTAGTTATTTCGTATATTCAAGTGGAACATTTTTTTATTTGTGGTATGGGGATTCGGGATTAGGAAAAGGACTGCAAATAGTGGATAATAACAAGTGATTATGTTGGTGGGCGAAAAGCCAGAGAGTAAACTTTTTAAGGCTGTTGATCCCTTTTTATAAAAAGAGGAGACATGGAAGATTTCTTTGCATGTTGATAGAAATTGCGAATTTTCTAACTGGAAGTAATTTTGCCAGCCAATAAATTTACAAATAATAGAGGAAATTGAAGATTTTGCAAGCGATGTAAAAATTTAGAATGGTGGATTTGCGGCTGCCGGTGGTTATAAATTGCTGGATTGTACAAGTGCAGTAATTGCGCGGTCGCATAAAGAATTCCGTCAATCATATTACGGTGATTTTGCTAAACTTCTGGCTATGGAAACAGCGTATGTTATTTTTTTGCAGCAAAAGTATTTTGAAAATCTTGGTTTTATAATTGTCGAGTACCATACTTTTTGAGCACATTAGCAAATTTTTCTTCAAAAGGAATACAATATAAATCCGAATTTGTTGCAAAAAAATGGTAAAAAATAAAAAATTTTTGTGCACGAAAATAACCACATACAGGATGGAGGAAAAATTTCGAAATTCTGGAAAAAATAGGAGATAAATATGATAAACGATATGAAATAAAATCGTGTGCTTCTAATTTTTAATGAATCTGGGTGATATTGTTTAGATGAAGTTTAGATTTAAATATAAATAGTGGAAGTGGTAGGATTTAAACATTATCTGATACCTCTGATACCTTCGATTGTTTCAATTGAGCTATCAAATTTAGCAGAGAAATATGAAAAAGTATGGTTGGACAAAAATCATATTTATTTATATTGAAATGTTATCTAAAATTTTACTATGCCTAGTTGACGTTAAAGATTTTTATGCAAAATCGAGATTTGAAATTTCAGATATACAAGTTATATAGTTATTAATTTTATAGAAAGTGGTGGATTGGAGGGTTTTGAGTTAAACTGTAAAACTTTGCATTTCTCTGCAATTAATTTGATTTGTCTGTCTTTTGAGCACGCAGTTATATCATTCAAGTCAGTCTGCATTATAAACAAATTCTGTCTTCTTTCTTAGAGTATAAAATCATCAATGAATAAGTACAATGGAATTGGAGACAACATTTAATATACCATTAATATGCATAAATAATGAAATACAAAGAAATATAGCTATGAAGTTGAGAAACTATCGAAACTCGGTTATAAACCATTTATTAATTATCACTGATAGTGCTTTAATAGTAAATGGCAGAATTGTTTTCAAAGCTTGGAGTAGCTGTTGACCTGAAAGAATTTTTATATTTTCTCTGACAGAGTACAATTAAGTTTATGGAGATATTGTGGTTGGTTTTAGTTAAAAAGTGCTCTGCATGAGGATATGTGTTAGGAATTTCGAGTCATAATCTAGAAGACTGGTATTATGAAGAGGTTTGATGGAGCATTAAGGAATTGGCGTTTTGAGGGATGTTAAAGAGGTTCAGCAATTTTCGGGAAGGTTCAAGAGAAAGTTAGAGATGTGTTACCAGTATATAAGAAGATTACTAATGGGTTGGAAACCGGGATTTTGTAATGGAATAAGGAGATCTGATGAATTCGGGTAAGTATTAAGGAAGTATAAGGAGAGGTTAGGAGGAAAGTGACTATGGAAGATTCTCGCAAAATATGGTAGATTTTGGAGGATCTAATTGAGTTTTTTCTCGCACACCTGCTCATTAATAAAACAGTGTTATATCCACAATTGTTATTGCATTATAATTGTTTTTTTTGATTATTGTTTATTATTATTATTACTCCTTATTTCTGGTTGACTGTTTGACTGGTCTCTGTGAAATGAGGTCTTTGTCAAAAAGATACTTCAATTTAAAGATGGAGGTAGATTCCTAGCAACCGCTCAGATTTCACTGATTTATTCCTGCTTCAACCCCTTTATTTAATTATTGATTATTAATTGATTATGAATTATGATTCTGGTTATTAGATACCAATTTAGAGCATGGAAAACTTATAAAAGTGCTCATATTCCTGAAGCAATTCATGTGGATCTGAATGTTGCAACTTATCCGGGTGAATTTGATCAGTACATGCATTATCCACCGAAAATTTTCGAAGAATACGTTCGAATTCTTGGCATTAACGTTGATGATTATTTAATTTTATATGATCGTGGTCCACTTGGTGGGATGATGTTCGCAAGCAGGATAGCTTGGTTGTTCAAAGTTTGCGCCTCTCGCATTAATAATTTTCTTTACTTTTAACATTGTTTGCATGAATATGCGAATAATTTGAGAATATTGCTTTTGCTTTATAGTACTAGAAAGAAAAGATTATTTTTTGCTGCGTTTCGGAAAATTATTGATGCTTTAGTTTCCTTTTTTTTTAGCTAGGTAATCACTGTATTCAGGCTTATGATCATGAGAATTTATCGATATTGGATGGAGGTTTAAAAGCTTGGCAGAAATTTGGCGGTGAACTTAGCAGCAGCATTCCTTTTTACGAGGTGAATGCGTAAACCGTTATTGATCTAGTAGAAGGGCAAAATGTTTGCAATGTTGATATCACTTTTTTAGAAAGGCAATTGGGTCGCAAAAACTAATGGAATGTGCATGGTGACATATGATGAGCTCACGGAGAAGGGAGAAAAAGGAGAATCAACGTTAGAAAACCTTCATTCTAATGTTATTTTTGCTTGCTTTTCATAAAACCTACTGTTCTGGGTAGATTTTTTTAATTTTTAATTGGTGTATTCTATAGTTCTTATGCCTAAACTTAATGTTTTGCTTTGAACTGATTTGCAGATCAATCTAATTGACACGAGGGTTAGAGGTCATTACCAAGGAATTCTTGATGCTGGCTTCAATAAAAGTAAATTTAGAAGCATTTTTCAATTTATCATATTAATGGTTGCTATTCTAACATATAATTTATGAAACGTTAAGGCCAATTTTAATTTTTTTCTTTATTTGTTACCTGAAAATTACTATGAAATATGATAAATTGAACCAGAAGTGGTATAGCTTATTGTCTTTGTTTTCATTTTCATTTATCATTATCATTTATTTATCATTTATGCTATTTTCTTTTCCAAATAAAATGGCTTAGGTGTTTTTAACAGGTGTCAAAGGAGTACGTATTGCTGGATCGATATGTGCACCTGCAGCGGAATTGCTTAATGAAAGTGAAACTATGAAATCAGAAGAAGAAATTAACACATGTTAGTTTCGTTATTCTTAGTCCAGAGTAAGTATATTATATCTAAATAAATCTTTTTTTTTTGTTTATGAACTATTAGAGACTGTTTATTTTATGGATTTTATCTAAATCGGCCCAGGTATTTTCCGATTACTGGTCCAGAGCGACTTCTATTTGTTGATGAGAAAAGATTAGGTTCGTTTTTATTGATATAGTAAATTATTGGTGAGGAAACAATTCGGCTATGAAAACATAGGAATGAAAAGATAATGTCAATTATCAATTATCATTATCAATGACAGTCTGACGAAAGCAAGCTAAGGTGAACAAGCAAAGAAAAAAGTTATGAGTGTACCAGATCAGTGCGTGGTGTGTGTATATATAGTCGTCTCAGATGTCGTTTTGCTGTGGACCGGGTAATTCAACAATATGTAATTATTTTCTTTTATTTGTTTAATTTGTTTTTCCATTTAATTTTTTCTGATTTACCATTTTTCAGGGTTGAATTTATGCGGTTATAAAGGAAAAAAACCAGTCGTCACATTCTGCATGCGTGGTTTGCAAGCTTCCATGGTCGCTTATGCATTAGAATACGCTAATCAAAAAATTCAACCGAAAGTCTACAGTGGATCTTTGAAGGAAATCGAATTGCGTGCTCCAGAATTAATCTCTGATGGCAGTTTGTCGGTGCATTCTTAACGCTCTGCATGGAGTTTTATTTTTTAAGCTATCCCACTTTACCAGATGGATGTCTATTTAAGATTGTTTTTCTGCATAGATTATATTTTTTATTTTTCATAAATTTTTTACTGCATTCCATCTTTATTTCTCTGAAGTATGCTTAACTATTATGGAAAATATGAAAAATCATAAAGATTTTATCATTAATACAAGAAAACACTTGGTAAATTAATTTAATTGTAAAGAAATAATTCAAAGAAAATACACCAATCTTTAAATAAAAAAATCATTTAAAAAGAAGCATAACTAGATTTAAATTTATTAGTATTTAATCTATGAGTTTGATAGTAAATTCTATTTTAAAAGTGAATTGAAAGCAGAAATCGAAAAGCAATAAAAATTATCATTGGTCTGTTGAGAAAATCGCGCGATACTGGAGACTAATGCTCAAAACCAGTTGCCAGTTTTTTTCGGTCGGAGCTCAGTCGCTTTCGAATTTACGAGAATATGCAGTTGGATTAGATAAAATATTTGGGCCAATCATAAAATTCTTTTAAATACTTTGGGAATTAGCAATAACGTTATTTGCCCATTTAATTTTTGAATCGCGTTTATTTAATGAAAAGTACCGAAACGAGTAGGTCAAAGTGCATTATTAATATTTGCGAAGCCATTATAGAATTTTAAGCGATTGCAAGCGAATGCACTTTACAATGAAAGCACTTGTTTAAGTAAAATTATTGTATATAATTGAGGAATTTATAAAATATTAAAACGTTTCGAGAGAATATGGCACTTTTAAGTCATTGGATTTTTCAGGAAGGCATAGAATGCCCAATTAATTTAATTTCAAATTTATCAGATTTAGCTGAATAAAACCTATTAAAACCGATAGCTTTGAAGGATATATCGTTTAATTGAATTTTAATTCATTTTGTTTCTTAAACCATTCGATTAATTTCCGAAAATTTCTATCCAACCATAACTGAAATTTCGTAAAAAACAGTTTTTCATTTCATTATTGTCATCGTTGTTTAGAAGCAAAAATATTCGAATTAATTAAAATATAGTTTTTGTATATGTTTTAGTAATAGTTTTGAGTAACCTTATTGGTTTTCGACGTCTCAAGTTGAATATTGAAAGTATTAATTTTACTGGTTTGACTTTGGAACTTCTTCATGAAATTTTCTAGCTGCAATTTATTTTTTAGTGAAATAAGAAATCAACCGAAAATTTAATATAGCTTAGTTTCAACAGAATTCATTATAATAATATACAGTAATATGAATATGCGAATGTGCAACGGCTCAGTAGGTCGATGCTGAATTTGGTGCTCTGATGCTGAGATTCTATTTTTCATTGGAGTAAAACTGTTTTCAAAAATCCGGGTGATGCTGGCGACTCACCCGCATTTCTATCGTCAAAGGACTCTATAGCATATTTGTGCAGTACAATAAGGGGATTGGGTCTAACTAGACATGGTGAGGGCTCTTAAAAAAAACGAATATATAATGATAGCCTTTAAATGCCATAAAAATAGAGTTAAGCTTACTTGTTTTATATGTCGTTCATGTTTCAGCTTGATGGAATGTGCTATTATAGCTCTTAGAATGCTCGGTTGTTCTTTAAAGCTATAAAAAGTTTTCTTGAAAGAGAAATTATACAATTTTCTTGAAAGAGAAATTATACAAAAGTTAAGTGGGAACATTAGGACAAAATGTGTATTTAGTTCGAGATAAAATTTTCTAAACGTGGTTCGAATTGCAGGTCTTAATGCTTGTAACGAAAGCACATCACTACCACCTATTAATTAGCAAACGAATTAACTCGTTATAAAGGCATTGCCAGTTGTCTAGGAGGTAGTTGAACATAAGAAGGCTTCCAACACTCTCGCGAGCAACACTCGCAAAGACTCGAGAAGTGTCCTGATAACGGATTGTTGTGTCGCTAACATTTACGGCCAAGTTCAAGAGTCTAAAATATTTACAATATAGCACAAAAATCTGTTTCCACTATATTCTTCTTCCTAAAAAAAAAAAAACAAAAGAACTACAAGCAACAGAATTGGACAAGTGGATGTGGATTCGACTGAGGAATAAGGAAGAATCATCGATTTGGCCTGTACGGAACTAGGCAATCCAAAAGTGACATAAGTCATGATGGAGCTAAAAATAGGGACTAGAAAAATAAAGTACTTTTTCAATGTGAACGAGTCCCTCGAACAACAAAGTGCTTGTAATAATCGTTGACGTTCAACCTCAATTTTTTCGCGGCTATAAATTTTCTGAACATTGTTCCAGACATCTTCAGCTCCTTGTTTAACGCCTTCACAATAAGCCAAGGCTCGAATTGATAGCGGCACTCTATGCAAAAGAAAAAGATGCAAATTTTTTGCTCAATTTATTTATTATACTTATTTCTATTAGGATTCTTCAAATTTATATATTTTTTGTCCTCATTCCAAACGAATTTTTATTCTCTTCATTCTTATCAGTAAAACAGATAAATCTCTTCGTTCTAAGCTAATCAGCCATTAGCATATTATCAACTAACCGACTACAGTCACTACTCATCTGGTCACTGTCTGCACATTGTTCAAGAAATTTTTCTTCGAAAAGGCGAGCTAATCGTTGCGTGCAATTTAGATTTCGAACAGCGCAATACATACCGATTATATTTTTCTGCATTTCACTAAAATTCCAATCGAATTTTTTCTTCATTTTTATTTTTTTTAATTCTCTTTTTATAAATATTCAGTAGTTTTTCAGTTAATTCATTTAATTGAATTAATACTTATGAAATGCTAAAATTAATGAAACAAAATTTAATGAGAATTTCATTTTTTTAAAAAAATTTTTTTAAAAACTAATTAATAATAAGATTAATAATTTTTTAAACATCAAAAACTTAAAATTTTAAAAAAATTTTACTTTTCGAAAAATTGAGTGTCGTCAAGTTCGTCGATTTTGTTCCAATCAATTTTCTCGTAAACTGGTGTTAGAAGATTTTGTAGATATTCCTAATTATTTATTCTTCGTTAATTCTAATTTTAAAATTTTAATTTTTTTTATTTCTTTCTATTTTTCCAATTGTAAAATTTATATTATCTTCTTAAATCAATATTTTATTTAATATTTATTTAATATTTAAATAATTTGCATTTTTTCCAATAAATAAAAAATAATTTGTTTTCAACTTGTAAAATGGAATATAATCAAAAGGCTTTCATGGTTAACAAACATTACAATAAACAATTATTAAATACAAATATTATTATTATTATTATTATCATTATTATTGTTAATTAATTATTATTATTAAATAAAATACAATTATTATTATTAAGGAACAGATCGCTTATTTATACAATTTTCTTCCTTTCACTAATGATTATATTTTTGTGGAAAATAGGATACAATAAATATTTGTGTACCACAGTAAGTAAGTGGTTTACGTTCATAATTTCAGCTAATATTCGCTAAATTGGCTATTAGTATTCAATCTTTGTCAGAAAATCACTTGAAGATAGAAATAGAGGCGCGTGAATGATCTGTGCACATGCAATTTTTTTAATGAAAGATTTACTCTTGTGACAGTTTCGAAAAATTATTAATTCAAAAATTGGCAAATGACCTACTCGAATTGTTTGAGTTTCAGGTTCATCGCCGAAATAACTAAGAATTTTCTTCAAACCAATTATAATAGTGGCCGACGGCAAAAATTCATTTTCCTTTACCAGATACAGACTGATATTTAACGCTAATTCATAGGGAACTATATTTGCTTCAGCTAATGCAAATAGATCAGCCATTATACGACCTCGAGACTTTACATCAATCTTCTTAAAAAAAAAGGATCAAGAAAATATGGTATTGAGCATCGTAATTCCTCTGCGAATATTTCTCATTCAAAGCTTAGAATATGAAAAAACAGCCATACGAAAAACGGTTTGAATTAGAGCTGAAATTTTAAACTGACTTCAGCTAAGATTGATTTGAGTCAAACAATACCGTATGGTCCGTCATCAACTGCTCTCTAATTCGCTCCCATCCAGCTTGATCATAATTCACTCGATAGAAGCCTCTTGATTGACTATTTACGATAAACAAGTCGTGCGGTTTTACGCCTATGATTTCAGCTAAAATTCGAACTATAAATAAATGAGATTGGTTAAAAATTCACCCAAATAAAAATTGAAAATTTCATGAACCTTCATGAAGCCATGTCATTGGCTTTTCTTCACTATTTATTTGGTACCAAATTGGTATGTCATATTTATACCTAAAACGAATTCACATTATTATTATTATCATTTATATTTCAAGGCAATTAGAAACTATTTGGAAAGAATTTTTTTCAATCCTATCAGTCTCGCTTATTTAAAAATCACATCGATGTTTTCTAATATTAAAAAAATCCCTTATATAAAAAAAAACGAAAAAAATAAAATTTTTTCCTAATTTTGCTTGATTTTTATTGTTTTATCCAAATGGGCTCTCATTTTAGTGTTAATTTTTGTTAAAAGGCGCTACCAAAACTTTGCATTGCGATATTTCTCCTTTTCCAGTGTAGTTTCGCTCCACTTAAACCGATTTTGATGCAATTGAATTGTTTCAGAATCTAGCCGACGAACTTCAACTACTGGATAACCCATCTGCCAAACGACATAGATGAAATAAATGGACAAAGAAAAAAAATCACTAAAAATCACTTTATCCTAGCAATGAGCAATATTAATGGATGATAAAGACGAACAATGCTTCAAAAACCTTGGCCCATTATTTATAGGAATTTATTTCATTTAACCTGTTCAGTCCACATAGAAGCGAAATAATGAATATTAAATTTCTGTCCATCCCAAGCTTTTAGTTCTTCTGGTACAACATTATTTAATGATTCCCACAAATCATCGTGGTCTGTATTACCGTATTTATGCTTTTCGAGATAAATCTAAAATAAAATACAAAATAAAGAAGAAAAAAATTCATCAGACTGATGCTTATCAAGAGAAAGCAAGCTGGCAAAAAAACTTACATTTAAGCCTTTTTTGAAATTTTCTGCTCCTAAAATATTTTCAATCATATGAATAATGGATGCCCCCTAAAAAATAATTTTCATGATTATTCGATATTACTTTTCGTGCAGAAGTCGTTGTATAGTGCAAAATTTTTACTAAATAATTTTTTTCTGTTTTCTACTGATAAATTTCTTATATGCTTAAAAGATAACCTTCTCATATGTGATACTATCGAAAACTTCGCTAACGTCTTCCGGCTTATCAATTGAAAATAATAAAGGATGCGATGTTGATTGAGCATCTCTATATAACGCATTTGTCAGTGATAAATATATGAAATATTCATCCTGCAAATACAATAAAAAATTTTATTATGTCCAAGTTTTATGCGTTCATTGATGAACTGCCTCTAAAATACAACGATTCAGTGTTACCATACGAAAGCTTTTGCCATTGATCGCATCAACTCCCATATATTGCATAAAAGTAGCAAATCCTTCGTTTAGCCACAAATCATTCCACCACTTCATTGTTACTAGATTCCCAAACCACTGAAATTATTCATTTAAAGCAAATTTTTGCAAGAATGAAAAAAAAAGACATTGCAGAAATTACAAATACTGGATTCTTCGCCGAAATCAAATTAAGAATGACACTTCGCATCAATGTAATATTATAAATGCAGATAAGCTGCACTGTCTGATTAAAAGATTTCGACTGTTATATGTAGGAGATGGAAGAAAAATAAAAACTAAAACTTATTAAAATAATCGCAGAACCGAGATAATATTTTATAGGAACTAAACGGATGGATAATGTGAGTTTTTTAAGTGGTAAATGACATACTTGATGCGCTAATTCATGGGCAACAATTGCAGCAACCTGGCATTTTTGGTAGATAGTATAGGCTTTTGGGTTGTATAAAAGAACTGATTCACGGTACGTGATTAATCCCCAGTTCTCCATACCTCGAGCAGCAAAATCAGGTATCGCTATCATGTCTGAAAAATAAGACTGGGGTTTGAAGGCATCTGCGGAACTAAAAAGATGACCAAGTGTAATTGTCGCATCTCGAAATAATTCAATAAAAAATTCGACACACATATTATTTGTCTATATACGAAGTACTTAGTTCTTAATTTTTAAGAGTCCTCACCAATACTGGTTAAACTCGCTCCATTGGCATGTCGCATTGGGCAATATGCCAAAGAAGTCGGTACATATAGATTAGTCCCTTGGCAATAGAGATACAGGTGAGTTACCAGCATCACCCAAAGGCGTACTTAGTAGACATACATTATAGAGTATTTAAAATTCAGTTTAGTACACTCATTATTATCCACATATTATCATCACTGTCCGTCCTAGCAAAAGTTTTACGATTTCCATAGTTGCGGTTTTGATTTAGGAATGCATTATGTTGTTTTCCAGTTGAGTAAAGTTGATAATAAATTATTATTATGATAGTATGTTATAATAATTTTCAATACATAAAGAGAACAATTCAGAAGATACAAAATCAAATCTTACAGTTCTTTTTATCTATTGCTGAGGTCTTATATTTTTAAGGGAAGAGTGAGATAACCTTGCTTCTTCAATGGGAAGGCTATTTGATAGTAATCTTCAAAAAATTCAAGTGCTTTAATTCCTGATTCAAGAGCAAACATTGAGTCGTTTATAGCTTCCTTACGAGACCATACTCTGAACTATAATTTCAATTGCCAACTATCTGATAAATAAATTATAGAAATGATAAAATAACAAGGATATTGATATATTGATATCGTTTTCAAATAGAATAAAATAAAGCATGAAATATTTAAATATTTTAAATTCATTTTCAAATATCAACACTAAATGTCGAAATGAGAAATATGAAGGTTGTTAACACGATTCGAATAGAAGTAAATACTAACCCTGATTCCTTTATTAGTAGTTCCCTCATTATAAGCGAAATCTGTAACAGCGAGAGCAAGCAAATATGACGACATAGGTAAACTTTCCTCGAATGAGCTTAGAAGCCAATTTGAATCATCCCTTCAAATCTTTCAAAATTTTAGGGTTAATACTTTTAAAAAATGAAATTATGTGAGCAAAAGATGGATATAAAAAGAATAAAGTGAAGCATAAAATTCTGAGAATTTTTCCTTCAATTTGGTTCTTCCTGTTCATCTCAACTTGAAGGGCTCAGTGCCTTGCTTTCCTCATTTCGAAGCAATGCTGAGGTTCTATCAAAACTCCGAGCGATGTTAACGACCCACCTATACTTCTGTCTCCTAGTGACTCTCTGACGAAATTTATCTAGTCCAAAAATTGAACCTAATCAGAAATGGTGAGTGCACTTAAAAGAAGAAGAAAAAAGGTATTCAATTCAGTTCAAGGATGGTTCAAAAAGTATTTTGTTAAAAAATAAAATAAAAATAGAAAAAACTAACATTTGAACGGCACTGCCAATTTCCATTCCATTTGATATTGCTGTAGTCCCACTCGGATGAATTATTTGTAATTTCCACACTGCTTTAAACTCAGGTTCGTCAAAGCAAGGCACCATATATCGGGCTCGAGCAGGTTCCATTTGAGTGATTGCCATAAACCTAAACGCTTTTAAATGTGATTGACGTTATCACTTTTAAATGCATATTTTGGCATCAAAAGCTGATATATGCAATTTTAAAGTATAATCTCAATTAAATTAATTCAGTATAAAATTGCCTATTAAAAAAAGTGAGAGATGAAACTTCTAACAGAATAAAAGTTACAAAAAGTTATGTATTTGTCATCAAATTAGTAAATGGAGGAAAATGAAAATACTTTTCGTGAAAATGAAAATTTCCAAAAATTTCCACCAGATTTCCATAAGCCGAAAAAAGTTTACAAATATTACAGTTTGAATAAAAAATGGACAATTGCAGTACAATAAAAATTATAAAATTATAATAAATTATAATGAACAATATCTTGAAACTCATTAATTTAGCGATTTTTTAGGAAACATTTTAAAGATAATATTAGCTTTTTTATAAATTTCAAAAGTGGGGCGGAATAGCTTTATGGTTTATTCTCATTTCAAGGCTGGAATTCTCTTCCTAGTAGGAGCACGACAATTTTCAAAAATCCTATGCTAGTAACTCAGCTCTACTTCTATTGGTCAAGTGGTTCTTCCTGGCAGAATTTGACTGATCTGGCGAGTGAACAGAATCCTAACCAGAAATGGTCAATGTTCATAGAAAAAAAAAAGCTCACAACTTTTTTTTATTCAAATGTAAATTCAAGCATGTAAATTGAATATTTGTAAGTTGCAAGTATTATAAGTTCCTTTCTTTTCAGTTTTTACAATATTTTTTTTTAGCAAATATAATATAATGGATACCTATTTTGGCCAAAATCATCAGTGTAACGGCTCAAGTAAAGACCAACGAGTTTCTCTTCGATGGACCCAGAATAATTAAACTGAAAGTTATTCTCGACTTAATCCATTTTCAACTAATTAGTGTGAAAAATTACCAATAAAGTAATAAAGTGTTTATATTAGAAATGTTAGATTGAAAATTCCCATCTGCATTGATTACTATTGAAAGGTGATAAATCCTAAGATTTTCGTAAGGAAAAATTTTGTGGAAAAAAACGGACCTGAAGATAATAATTATTCCCTTTGATAAGTTCCTCGCTCAATTCAAAAGTCACCTTTTCGCGAGCTTCATCGACATACATTGTAGTAACCTACAATATGACAAATTTCTGAATTTTTCATTCAACGTTTAAAAGAAATTTTGGAAAGAAATGATATAAAATCAATTGATTCAAGTAAATCTTTATTCTACAAAAAAGAAATGAGAGAAATCCACTAATAAACGAAAAACGATGCTCCTTTCGAGATCGGAATAAAAAAATACCTGAAAGTGCATTTGTTCTTGGACATCATTGATGCTTTCACCATCGTACATTTCCAAATTCGAAGAATCATTATACGAGCGTTTCTCAATCTAAAAATAAAAGGATTTCAATAGAATGGCTAAAATCAATTCGATATTCAACTTCCAGCTTAATCATTTGTTTAAAAATAAGGAATTAATCTGTTAAGCTGAAAACAATTTTGTTGAAACCAGATTAAAATTTCGAAAATAATATATTTTTTATGTTAAAGAAATTTAGATTGAATGAATCCATCATAAAAAAATCTTTAATTATTTGAAATTTCTATCGAAATATCACCGTTTTTTCGCTCGTTTCATGATACATTTCTTCATCCTGAAAAAAATATTACTGGGCATTAAATGAGTTATCACTCCTGATATTTCTTTAATTTTCTAAAAATACCTTCACAGAATCTCAGTGAATAATATTTTCTTGCAAGGAGTTTTATATTTAGAGTTTTATTCTTAAATCATCATTTGAAAATCATTTCCTTATTCCACGGTTTCATAAAATTGCTTTTCTTTGTGTCAGTTGAAAAAGCCAAAGATTTATCAAAGTTTTAGGCTATCGCATTTTTCATGAGGGTTACTGCTATCTAAATTTCATTTTGGCCACTTATTATTGCCATTGCCACTGTTATTATTGTTATTGTTCATTATTGTTTATTATTTGTTTTTATTTGTTGTTATTTATTATTATTTATTATTATCATGGATGTCGTTGCCATTTAATTTCTGTTCTTTTATTATTTTTTTGTACTCATAATTATGCATTTGTTGATAAAAAGAAATGATCAAAATAAAAATTTTAGATAAAATAAAAATTATGAAATTTAAATACTGTAAATATCTCATAGTAGAACAGATAGCCTATCTCCACTGCAGAAGAACCTCAACAGAGTAGCCATCTGTCTATATGACAGGCAAATTTCTTTTTCTTTGCATTCTTCATTCTAGCGTAGCATTCTTCATGTTAATTCTAAAGGTTTCGATTTTCCTAATCTTTTTATTAATGGTAATATAATCAGAACAATCTCACACATTTCCGATCTTGGAATATCATGGATGCAAATCTCGAGTTCGACCTGCAGAATTATGATAAAGAAATCCTCAAAGACACTAAATTTTATTTTTTTCGTTCGTTTAAGAATAAAACTGAAGGTTTTCTTATCAAAATGTACAAATGTACGTTCGTTCAGCCACTTCTTGACTACAGTACTACATGTTATTCCCCGAGATTACGTAAATCAAGTAAAATAATTGAAGGATTCCAAAAATATTTTATTCGACGCCTCTTAATTGCAACTTTAATTATAAAACTTCTACAATATAACCTGGATTCTTTGTCAGTTCGTCGTATTAAACAAGATTTAATTTATACTTATAAGATTCTGTATGGTTATGTTAAATTGTTAGATTGTTCAAAATACTATAATTTTAGGCTAAATTTGAATCCAATAAGAATTGAATCCAATAAGAACTAATGGGCTAATTACTAAAACCTATATGAAAAACAAAACTAAGGACTCATGATTTCTTTATTCGTACTGGTAATAAATTACCGAACGATATAGCTTGTGCGTCATCCTTAGCAATCTTTAAAAAAAGATTAGCTAATATCATTTATGATATCATTTAAAAGGTTCACAATATACAGGAAATGTGAAATCTCGACTTTTACCATCTGATTATACATAATAGAGTTATTTCGAATTGTACTATATTTTATTATTTCGCAATTTCCTCTTTGTTTCCCCTTTAAACTGTGTTAATTTTCTATTTTTCATATTTTCTATTTTTCTTATTACTAAATTTTATTATTTGTTTTTTTTTAACTTTTGTTATTAATACAAGCATATGGAGTCGTCGCCTTGCCTGGCTGGTTTTCAGTAAAACTATAATTAAAACAAGAATTCAACAAGTAACTCACATTATTGTTATTTTCGATGATTTCGTTAGCAGCTTGTGTCAACTTATAACTCGATAATTCTTTCGGAAATTTCAATCTGTGAGTGTTTAAGACAATTTTGTTGGTCGCCTCATTGACTTGAAATTTAATGCAGATAGACCCATCGAATGTCAAATTCTTTTCATTCGGAAAATCCACAAAACCAGGCAAATATATTTTAATCGTCAGATTATACCTGAAAATAAAAATAGCCGCAATGAGAAGACATTCTTCTTTCAAGGCAAGGCTGTTTAAAGCCGACTTCAATTGTTCATTGTGCTTTAGCTGTTCACCAGTTTAAAGTTCTCAGTTCTTTCCACCAGGTGATAAAATAAAAAAGCTTTTTCGAGAAAGTGATATTGATTCTTTCCATGCGCCGAATTTTTCAGCGAATTTGAAGAACCATATAAATCCATTCATGAATTTATTTTTCATTCCCAGTGCAATTGGATTTACACAGATTATGTCTTTATAGGGATGGAACTACATAAAGAATATAATGATTCGACGAGTATAAAACATGTAATAAAATTAATCCATAAATTATGGCAGATTGAGTTGAAAAATGACTTCTCCTGAAATTCTGCATGATTTCCGCTGCAAATGGGAATATCTTAGAAAATTTTTCCAAATGAGGTAACTTATAATGATAGATTAAAGGATAAAGGTTCGAACATTAAATATAAATGTTACAAACCACAATGGCGAAAGATCTGCAGGAATTCGAAGTTCAGCTATTGTTGGTCCGCTTATTTCATCGACATTGTTAACTACCGTAGGTCTTTCATGACTCTGATCATATAGTCTGTAATTTAATGATACAAGTTGCATGTGACATGGTGTACATGAAGTCATATCAAAATATATTTCAGTTTTTTTAACACTCCACACATAATTTATTTTATAATTCAATTTTTCTTTTTCTGAATTTTTTTCGTTTTCTAACAGCTATAGCTGGTTCCATTGGTTATAAAGATGAGATCCCTTCGTCAGAGATTCGTTTGGGATGAAAATATAGATGAGCCTCCAACATCCCTGGATTCCCTGGATTTTAATCTTAACCATGTTGCGTGAGTGTTGAACCTATGGGGAATTGATTTCTGAAGCCACATATCGGTAGCGACATATATTCGTAGTGACTGTTAACCTGCATAGCGCAATCGAACCAAAGAAAATTTTGATTATTTATAAATACCCCAAACTTACATAAATAGGAATTCAAACTTCTTTCTGTTTAAAAAAACTGTTAGTAGCCACTTATATCACAAAGTTATGAGCTATGAACGTGTGTGCCGTTTATCCATTTATTGTGGCCTTTTTCTCATCAGCGAATAAATTTTTTCTAATCATAGTTTGATAAGAAAATTTTCATCTGATTTTATGATTAATATGATCAATTAATTTATGACTTTGTTAAGCTCACGATTTTAAAAATTGTACAAATATTTCGCCAGCAATAGGCCATTAGCAACAAATTTTAATGAAACACAAACTTTTCGATACTTGTAACATTTTCAACATCGTTATAAGGAGAATGGCTGTTCAATGGTTGTTCATAAATCCTTTTCGTAATCCAATAAGTTATAAAGGATGATAACAGTACGAGAAGAAGTACGACGGAACATAAAATAATTGCAGTTGTTTTGGTACATGAAATTCGCTTTGCTTCTCGAAACGATTGAAATACCTCATTTATTTTTTTAGAATTTTTTTCGTCTTGTTTTTCGAAGGTTTTTTTAAAGGTTCCATTAACTGGCACAACGATGTCCTGAAAAATTCCTTCGTCATTGAGAATAGACTAATAAGCAATTAAATTTGGGTTGAACCAAATGAATTAATGTTGAAACTATTCTTTGCAAAATTTTTATGAATTATTGGAATTTTGCAAGTGATTATGAGATATCGGCCAATTTCTACTTTAAAAAATAAATAAATGAAAGTTTGACTGCGCGAGGCGATTTTAAATCATGAAAATAAAAATTTAGCTCCTAACAATTTAGATTAATTGTTAACCTATAAAAGCAAAAATCAGACATCAAAAATAAGCTTTTTCCTCAGATATTTGTTAAAAAAACTGCCCACCGTTTCATAAATAATCTCTCTTCCTTTTTCCATTATTTATTTCTAATGCTTTCTAAATTTAAAATGGCTAAATATTTTACACTTCAAGCCACAGTAATTTTATTGCGACTTTATTGACAACCTAATTTCAGTTGATTTAGTTTTAAAATTTTTATTGTACCAGATTTATAAATTACTTACAGTGAGCTTATTGCGATTATAAATTTGTTCGTTGACTTCTAATTTATCCTCCATTTTATAAAAATTTGATTCGTATCAATCTACTGATCGTTAATTTATGAGAAAATTCTGTGTTACGGCCAATATTTAATGAATATAAAAGTTTCGACAATGTATTCTTTGGGAAACTAAAGGGAAATTAAATTATTCAACGAAATATTTTTTATCATAAGCTCGACCATAACACTGCAAAATATTCGTAGAAAGAAATAGAAAAATCAAATCATGCAACGATTAAGCTGAAAAGCAAATCGTCTCAGAAATTGGACAAAAGAAAAAAAAAAGCATTATAACGCAATATTTTCAATAAACATAAGCAATATTAAATACTAAAATAAAAAAAGAATGAGCAAAGTTCTATCTTAAAATCCTAATTTTTCTGGATGATGAAAGCAAAAGCATTTCGTTCAAAATTTCATCAATATGAAAATATCTCTTAAATAGAAAAAATTAGAATATAAGTTTATTAATTAGGAAAAAACTTGCAAATAGGAAATCTAAGAGAATTCGACATATACGAAAAATTATGTCACTTATAAATATATATAAATGATATTATAAGAAAAATTTAATTCTCTATATATTTGAATATTTCCATCTTTTTCACTAACAAATTTTGAATTTAACAATCAAAGAATTTTTTAGAATAAATTTCATTTTTACTATATTTAGATTTATTGTATATTGCTGTCTTATATATGTTTATTAATTTTTTATGAGTGGCGAAATTGGAACCAAATTTCTTCTAAATACTTTCATATTGCGAGTTTTACTCAATAGCCATGAAATTCTGACCAACCCTAATGGAAAATAAAACAGCTTACATCCATGTTACACAACACAATCGTCTCGATCAAACTATAGCGTTGTAATAATGGCGTTGTCGCTTATGAAAATTAAACGGAAAAATGGTTGCGAATTCGAAAAAAAACAATCGTTTCATTATGAAAAAATAGATAATTTCAAGAATTCTTCTCGAAAAGTTCATTCTTCACTGATCGCCACGAAATTAATAAAATACGATTGCGTATTATGAATAAAAGTGTAAAAAATGGAGAGTGAATAAGAATAAACTGCTTAGAAATCTGATACAGTATAAATAAATATGATTTACTTCGAAATTTTCATAATTTATTTGAAAATTCAAAATTATCAGCAGATTTCTAATTTTATTGATATAATAGCATTGTAGAATAATATTTTCACGCAGATCTTAATCAACAAATGGAATATCCATCGGTAATAAATTACCGTATGATTCGTCGTGTGATTTATAACAATAGTGACGAGTGAAACTGATTTAGAACGCTTTCATAAAAGACAGAATTTTCTATAAATTCGTTTATTTATTTTTTAATGAAAAACTGCTTGATTCTATTCCTTAATTCTAGTCATTTTGCCAATTCTGCAAATCCATTAATTTAAAAATTCATTTATCTGCTTTTCACTGGCTTTCTTTGATATATTTTAAAGGTTAACAAATGCTGATTTCCTTAAAAAAAGAAAAAAATATTGATGCGATGAAAAAAACTAAATAAAAATGAATCTGTTTTTAGTGAAGGAGCCATTAAGCTGATTCGTAACTTGGCGTTCATCTTCAATAAACCGCTCACCGCTGGAATAAATGCATAAAAACCTACGAAAACAATTTGCTTAATTTATCATGCCTTTTAAAACAAGTTTTCTCGGTAGTTGGCGCAATATTCAACATGCACAAAATCATTCTCAATCCTCAAGTTCAGCCAACTTCTAATAAAAGCTAATTCAACCAACTAATTACAACAAAAGGATGCAGTAATATTCTATTTCTAGAAACTAAGTCAGCGAAAGATAAATGAAAGATAACATGTCAAAATCAAAATAAGAATCAAGCTTACTCGAGATTATTTGAAAATACACTAACCAATTTTTGTTTCCTTTTTTCCTAATTGGCTGAAGACATATATAATAAAAATTTTTTAAATGATACTGATTAACACTGATCAAATATTTGACGCAATTTTTTGTTGTCGAACGAAAAATGCCTTTCAAAGTGGAAGTGATTTTTGCTCGTTAAATTAAGATTTCTAAATTTTTTTTCCTTCACCGCAAAAGAAAAATGGAAAATTTTTGAAACTTTGTGAGGTAGCGGCAAATATTTATGATTAATAGCTTTTTTTCAAAAAATGATTTTTCTAAAAGAACTCTGAAATATCGGAAATATCTGCAAGCTTGCATTTCATAGAAGCATTCCTTCTAACATTCATCGCAACCTTGCAATTATCTATTCAGGAAAGAAAATTTTTCTTCAGTTCAAATCAATTTCATTGTCGTTCTTTAAATTAATACCAATAATTTTAAAATATTTTTAAATTAGCTTTGATGAGAAAATTGAAAGTCATTTTTCCTGTCCTTTTGCAGCACTTTTAGTGGAACAGAATTTAATATGAAATGGGCGATTTTGATGAGAATTTGCGAATGGAAATCGGGTCCTTATATTCTTACCAATAATCAATAATCAACTTTATTCGAGAAGAATGTATTACAGCGTAAATGTTAAGGAATCGTAAATTAGAACCACATATTTGGAAATTGCAAAACTGGAGATTCATTTCATACAATTGGCTAAATATTGGCACAAATCATAATGACACTCTGGTCAAAAGAGAAAATGAACTTTGCAAGTCCTTAATCGAAGATAAATCGGCGGACCATTATTTCACATTTGGTACTCCTAACACATAATTTTAAGTTAAATTGATGGAGTTTTAATAAAAAAATTATACTTTAATAAAATTATATTAATTATGTGTTAATTTGATATAAAATTTGCGTGAGTTCAGTGAAGTTAACGAATTCCAGAAACATTTATAAGCCTTTGAAAACTTTGAAACCTTTTCGAACAAGTTTCATGCAAGAATAGGTTGAAACCATGTAAAAGTGGAAGAAAAAGTGAAAAAATTGACCAATATATCCATATCGGTTTGACACATACATGTAAGAAGAAATCATTTAAGAAAATATCGAAAAAATGGGTAACATACATAGCGTTAAAAAGTTCTTTAATATACTTCTCGGAAATTTCTACAAAACGAATTTCTTGCTTAGTTAAAGTGTTGATATTTTTTAGGCGTTGCAGCAAATTTTCGATGATTCAAATAAATAACTCAAATAAATATTTGTTATTTCTAAAAGATTCGAAATCTTTAGATGAATTGTTTGAATTTTTTTATTATTTCAGCATTGGACTCAAAATAACTTCAATTTCAAAATTGTAAATTGTACGAAATACGTCTTTGTTGCATGTTATGGTTAGAAATTCGCAGAATCATCAAAGCAGTGCTGCTTAAATTGGAAAAAATTGGAAAAAAAGCGATTAGTTTTTTACAAGAAGAAAAATTGAATTCCGGCAGGAAATGGTTTCTTATGAAGTTGCAAAAATTTCGAATTTCTTCCGGAAGATTTCTTAGGCTTAAAGATTGATTATATAAAATTATTGGGACAGATGAGATATCTTCGTATAATTCTCATCATAGGCTTATCTGCAGTTTATTTGATTTAGTTTATGGTATTGC